TAAATTGATGGAAGTTTGCTAGGTTATCCCATAAAAATAAAGAACCCCGGTGATTTTCAATCCATTGAAACAAATATTTGTTGGGGTTTACAGGCCCGGCGGAGATGGGGGGCTAGCCCCCCCCCCCCCAATATTTTGGCCGCAAGTACCCTTTTCTCCAGGTTGTTGCACGCAAGTAAGTATTCTATTAAAAACAAAAAAGCTTCAATTTAAACATGCATTATGCAAGAGCAAAATCTGCTTATTGCAAGTCTTTCTTTAGGCCTGAAATGTTATCTAAATTATAAATTAGACATTAATTAACTTATCCAGACCATAATAAACTCTCGATGTCAAGGCTAGCCTTCGATGTTGGCTGGATTAGATTCCTATATGCCGCTAACGGCCATTGATAATTAAATCAGAAAAAGTGGATAATCGAGACTATGCTGTTTATATTAATGATTTTAGTAATGATGACCGAGACTATGAAAAAATTTCACCCGCTTCTTTCTCGGCTCATAGTGGATTAATTTGACTGAAATTTCCAGCAAATTACCTTTACACTATCTAGTTTTTAACTATTATAGCGAGAACTGCCATCTCTTTATCTTATCTCCCATAATGAACATAGAGGTGAGTAGAAGTGAGACTTCTAGAACGTAGACTTTCAGAATTGCGAGGGTCGCAATCAGATAACTTAACGGTCGATCTTTATTTCAAGTCCATCTCATGTCTGTTGTATCTATGACATATTAGGTAATTAGAAAAACGACGGGATAGAGTTTTATTTATACTCTTTCCTTGTGCCCCTTATCCATCAAATAATTCACTGCTATGTCCAGTTGAAACAAGCGGTTGCATGCAAGATATGCCCACATTTTGTAAGAAATGGACGGGGAAGAGGTAAAATCAAAAGGGCTATCCTATCATTCAAGATCATTTGATCCGTAACATATTTAAGGTTCATCAGAATGGGATAACAATGGTAGCCCCCCCCCCCAACATCTGGAGTGCCTACAAAATCCGTACATATTTCCGATTTTGCGTGAAAAGCAGGGGCTATAGCTCTAGAATGTAAGGTCTGATGCTACCAAAGTCGAACTGTTCCAAGAACTTTTGATCCTTAACAAACAGTTGAAGTTCATAGTGAAAGGTACACAAACTTCATTCATATTTAACATTTTGTGTAAAAGGCAGGGGCAGATGCGCAAGCAAATGGAACCCACCCATGAACTAGTGATGCTCTTTTTAAGTTTCATCTAAATCGGATAAAATTGTGACCTCTAGATGGTCAACAACCTGGGTATTACATGATTTTATTATACTATTTTCGAAAAGGGAAGTGGCTATTTGACGGGGAAGTTTCGGTCCGATTTTGCGGAAATATTATTGTGTAACGGTGATATATTTGAACAGTTTTGAAAATAAGATACAAATTATGACCCCGTAAGCTAAAAAAGTTGATATTTCCTACAATCAGAGGATCAGAATCCAGAAAGTTACGGTCCAATACGAGCCAATATCGAAGAAACCCAGATCTTTGGGATATAAATATATATTTTAAATTTCATCAAAATTGGATAAAAACTTCGAACCGCTGGATGGTCTACAACCTGGGAATTAGGATCAGATCCTAATTTTAAGCTACTGGCAGATTTCGTCGAGGTCACGACATGTAAACAGGGTTAGAGCAAGTGATTGTTGAAGAGGATTGTGAGTTAGGGTAAGGGTTAGATCTTTGGTTAGGGTTTGCACTAGCCCTGTTTACATCTCGTGACATTGGCGAAATCTGCAGGTGGCCTTAATATTTAGATCTGAACTGAATATTATATCCTTTTAGGGGAGCGGCCATTTTGTCGGGCAGCAGCTGGGTCTCATTTTCAGGAAATGTGAACTCAACCGTAATTATGGTGTAACGGTGATATATTCGAATGCCGTTTAAATCGGATAAACATTGTAACCTCTAGAGGGATCACAAGCTAAAAACGCGATTTTTCGTACAATCGGGGGCTATAATCCAGGAAGTTACAATCAGATATGCGCGAATATGGAAAGGAACCAAACATACATTTCAAGTTTCATCAAAATTGGATGAAAATTGTGACCTCTAGAGTGTCCATAAGCTAAAACTGTCATTTTTCGTACAATCAGAGGTCATAATCCATGACGTAAGAGTCCAATACATGCCAGTTTCGAAAGAAACCGAGATCTTTGGGAGATAGACCTATATTTCAAGTCTCCTCAATTTAGGATAAAAAAAAATTGACCTGCTATAATTGAATGTTTTTTACAATCAAATAAAAACTGTTACTTCTACTGGGTCCACGGTTTGTAAAATCAGGGACCATAATCCAGGAAATGACGGTCCTATACGCCAATATCGAAAGGAACCGAGGTCTTTCGGTAATAAACGTACATTGTAAGTTCCATCATGCATTATGCATATATTTGTCAAGTTCAGCATCACAGGATTAAACCACCATAGATTGTGTTTTTATGGTAAGGGAGTTAAAAATGAAATAAAATTTCACTTCATTGCTGAGTAATTTATTAGCCAGAAATCGCTTAGAAAGCGTCTCCGACGATCTAGATCCCCAAGAACTCGCGGGGCCTAGGCGGCCCCTAGACCCTCGCCTAAGTACCTAGGATGGTATAGCCCCCCCCCCCCCCCAATCAAGAATTGCTTCCGCCGGCCCTGGTTTATCCTATTGAAAGGACGAACACTACTGACTTTCAAGGATTTTATACAACACCCCATTAGGGTCTAAAATAAGGTTAAATTCTTGCAGCACGGAAGCCGACCGCCCGTGAGCGAAGCGCGCCAGCGCGGGGGGGGGGGGCTGAGTGGCCTCCGCCAGAAACTTTTGAAATTTCAGAGCTAAAAACGGCATCTGTGGACTGTTCTGGCGCAGTTTACATAGGAGTTTATTTGGCTTTGCGTATAGCTTTTTTTCGCTTGAAAACTTAGCACTAGGAAGATGACAACAATTTTGTTACGATAAAATTTGAATTATAATTCAAATTCTATCATCACATCAACATCAGAACTAAAATTCTATCAGTAACAAGGGTACACCATTTTTTTCAGAGCATGGTTTTCTTATTTTCGAAGCACGGAATTTTCATTTCGAAGCACGGAATTTTCATTTCGAAGCGCTTTCGTGCTCCATGGCACGCCATTTTAGGCCCGGTTCCCCAATGACCGCGCTGCAGTGGACGCTCACGGCTAGCCCCCGGATCCACTCACTTAATCTGATATGTACGTTTGTTTGTGATTTCTGCGTATTGTGTCTTGTCCGTAGATTTGTTTTGTGTAATTGTGTGTGGTGCAGTCCCCGTGCATTTACTATTAGAGGCTTCAAATGGTTGAATCTTTTTGAACTGACGAGCACATTCCAGTAAAAAAAATAAAAAAAATACGTGTTTACGCGCGCGATTTTTTTTTTATTTCCATGTGTAGGCCTACAGAAATACCCTGGACGGTTTAGGGATTCCCATGTAAATGACGCCATAAGTGAGGATTTCTCTTTACAGAATGGAGCCTGATATTGTTAACGTTCAGTCGCTGCATTTTTTTTAAAAAAATTTTATAATAATACCATATCCCAAACATCGACTGAATTTGCAGAGACAGAGCGGTTGATTTGATTGGCTTAATTATTTTGGGCGCTCGACTTCGTACATCGCGCGCTCCACGAAAATATCTCTAGCGCACCACTTGGTATCCCGCGCGCTCGAGTTTTTTTGTTGTTTTTTTTTCGGCATGTCCTAAATCAGTCGCCGTATTTATCTAATAACTGTCGGGTGACTTATCTGCTAGTGAGTGGATGTTTAAAAAATATATAGACTGCATGTTGGTGAAAAACGGAACATGTCCGACTCCAGATTCGGGTATCTTTCTAGACCCTAACCCTGATCGGGGGGATGGATGGCCGAATGGTTAGCACGTGCGCGCTGTATCATAAGGTCTGTCATTGAGCCAACTGGCGTGGTTTCGATTCCCCGGTTGTACGTGACAAGGAGTCGGGTCGTCTATCCAACCTATCGTGGGTTTTCTCGGGGTCCTCCGGTTTCCTCCCACTGCTAATGACCCCTACGCGCAAGCGAATTACTGAAATAAATTAAACCATGTGTTAGTCCCGAAATGACCTAGTTTGTGTCGAGTGAACGTTAAACTCCATCTCTCTCTATCTATCTCTCTCTCTCTCTCTCTAACCCTAATTTCGTCAACTATACGTGCCTTAACCTTATTAACATCGTGTGACCTATGATTAAGGGGAAATTACTCCATTTTCCCCATTGACCGGAAGTGATCATAAATACCGCGGGAAAGGGTGGAATATTATAAACAAATCATGGCGGACGAAGAAAAAATGGAAATAGATGAACCTGAAAAATCAACTGTTACGATAAAAGATAAACCCAAAACAACCAGTTATGAAGTTCCATGGTATTTAACCTTTATTTTGCCATTTTTAGCCCATTTTGACTTCTGGGTGGCTCCTGTGGCTATTACATACCATTATTTTTGTTTTTCTTTTGGACAGATGTCGACCACCGCACGACACGAGACGCCTTCTCTTGGTCGTCTGGTGTTGGGATCACCCCAATTTTTATCAATGACAATAATCGAAATTGTCGTGTCAAAATGATCAACTATGATTGTGGACACTACCTGGTAGAAGTGAAAGTAGAAGAATCATGATAAAAGTTATTAAAAGGAACGGCCAAAAATTGGCAAAATCCATTTTGGTTAACGACCAAAAAAGAAACATTTACATCGACAATGACATGACATGTGTAGATAATGTTTACATAGACATTTAAATTATTTAATAATTTAAATACATAATTTCAAAAAATAATGACGGAAGTTTACCCTTAAAGTTAAATATTAAAGCTGAGCCCAAACACTGTATGCGTCTAAATGGATTAGTTTGGGTTGTTTCTAAAAACCTGGATTAATGTTCAGCTATAATCAGATTAGAGAGGTGTGAAGTACTTAATTAGGGATTACCCAATCATTTAATTAATTAGTCTTCACCTCTTTCCTTGCAAATATCACAGTCAATAGCAAATGATGACAAACATGCTCAAAAGTAAAGAAAGTCCTTAGAACGATCCACTAGCACGTACTGTGGCTGGAGCAAGACAGAAGACATAAAGTAATGGAACCATTTTTAGATTTACCTCAATCCAGCAATATTTCAACTGAACTGGTATGACGTTAATTACTACCATGTTTTGTTCCAGTGCATCTGTGGAGAAATGCTAACATTACTCTGGGCTCCATACAATATGATATAGACATAAGATTGTAATCATCTTACCGCTTTATTATTGGTAATACATGTATGTATGTTGAATGCAGATTTCACCTCCCTGACAGATTACTCGCGCTCTTGCACAAGTCTCTGTCTAATATCCGTTGACTAATCTGCGCGTGCTGATCAAGTTAAGACATATCCAGGGTATTTAATGTATAATCCGCCTAACCATACTCGGTATTGATCATGGAACACTGTGTTAGTTTTTTTTGTTTTAATCAATTTTGTGGTAGGCCTACAATAAACATGCATTATGCAAGAGCTAAATCTGCCTATTTCAGGTCTTTCTTTAAGTCTGAAATGTTATCTAAATTATTAATTAGACATTAATTAACCTATCCAGGCCATAATCAACTCTAGATGACTGCGCTAGCCTGCGATCTTTAGTGGATTGTAAGTCGATTTACTGCATAACTTTCCTTCTCATTAAACGATTAAATGGGTAATCGAGACTATGCTGTTTATCGTACTGACTTTAGTAATGATGACCGAGGCTTATGGGAATTTCAGTCGCTTAGTTCTCGGTTCATAGTGGATCAATTTGAATGAAATTTTCACCAAATTGCCTTCAGGGCTGGCCACGAATAAATTGATGGCGAGCAGATGACTGCTCACGCAAATTTAGGTTTGGGCGAGCAAGGCGAGCAATAAAAATTGCTCACGCAAAATGTTGTTTGCGTGAGCACAGATTTTTTAACAGTGTTCCAAGTTAAAATCATAAGAAAATTGCTATTCCTGGCACAGAGCTTGCGGTAAACATGTGTGACCATCGCTTTCGTTTTTGACAGTCATACTCTTCTTTAATTTTTAAAACCAATTTCCGTATGGATTTATTCACCCCACGACATAAATGTGGATATGGCCATTATTACGCTTAGATTAAAAATTATACGACTGCACAATGGAATAAAAACCAAAGTTCTGAGTTCTGGGTTCATAGTGGATCAATTTGAATGAAATTTTCACCAAATTGCCTTCAGGGCTGGCCACGAATAAATTGATGGCGAGCAGATGACTGCTCACGCAAATTTAGGTTTGGGCGAGCAAGGCGAGCAATAAAAATTGCTCACGCAAAATGTTGTTTGCGTGAGCACAGATTTTTTAACATTGTTCCAAGTTAAAATCATAAGAAAATTGCTATTCCTGGCACAGAGCTTGCGGTAAACATGTGTGACCATTGCTTTCTGTTTTTGACAGTCATACTCTTCTTTAATTTTTAAAACCAATTTCCGTATGGATTTCTTCACCCCACGACATAAATGTGGATATGGCCATTATTACGCTTAGATTAAAAATTATACGACTGCACAATGGAATAAAAACCAAAGTTCTGATAAATAAGAAATACCGATAAATATTAGTTTGAAACGTGTACATTTAGCGTGAATGCCAAATGCCGGATGTAAACATTCTTTACTTTAGACTCGATTATCACGCGTTTGTTACTGGTGTTCGTAGGAAAACCAGTCATGACGTTCAGGTCTGAAATGTATTTTTAGTAACACGAGTGGCAAGTAACTTCATTAGCCAATCAAATTTAAGGCGGAAATGTCGCGTGCAGCACTGTGAATCTCAGTTTGACAGACGAAATTATGACGTTATTGACATTGTCGGGTTAGTTTCGGCAATAAACTTGTCAATTTTTTGATTATTTTTACTGGTTTTTCTTAAAATTTTGCGCGGGCAACAAACTGCTCGCGTCTCGTGGCAAGTCCTGACCTTCTACCTTATCTAGTTTTTAACTATTATAGTGAGAACTGCCAACTCGTTACCGAATCTCCCATAATGTATCTTAATAAAGCAAATTAAATTAAGTAAGACAACATCTGGTAAATGATGTCCCACTGAATGAAAACGTCGTTTCAGACCCATACCACTTATTATCATTATTTAATTGAATTGTAAAAAAGTAATTTAATGGACCACGAGGAGCCCAGGAACAAGTTAAGAAATTTGTAAACAGTTTAGAAATTTATAAGCTGTCTGTTGATTATCAAAGGTTTCCGGTAACTTGAACAGCGTAAGTTATCGTCTGATTAATTGTAACTAGACTTAGCTGTTCAGGGCATATATCTTTTTGCCTGGCAACCAGTCTTTGTGACTATTTGTAATCAAGCATATTCACTAAACAAACTGTCAATGTACCCAGGATGTGTTATACTTTGCCATGACTATTTTTAGGGTGGAGAAATACAGACCAATTAAAATGACTGATATTGTTGGAAATGAAGAAACTATTAGTAGATTAGCTGTATTTTCTAGAGAAGGGAACGTTCCTAATGTTATCATTGCTGTAAGTAAAACTTATTTTGTGATCTGTTATTAATAAGCCACAAAATTATGTACTGCCAAATCTGGTCAGGTATTATTGACACTGATACCACAAGAGGTAACTTTTTTGGTGGATATACAATTTGGAGTAAATTTTAGTATATGTATGTTGATTAACCCCATGTCTCACTTAATGTTACAATGCACTGCACATTGATTGTCATTTATTATCAGGGACCGCCAGGTACAGGAAAAACCACCAGTATACTATGTTTAGCTAGAACAATGTTAGGTCCATCCTACAGAGATGCTGTTTTAGAATTGAATGCTTCAAATGATAGGTATGTATTGATTTTAGGGGTATTTTTACTCATATTCCCTCAAACAAATTCCCATCCCCCACGAAGATAAAGATGTTGGTTGAGTCCTTTTTAATGCAAAATAGATCTGTGTAGAGCTACATATAGTAACTTTTATTTGAAGACTTAAATATATTTATATTTTATATCAGTACACCTGATGTCTCAATAAAATGAGTAATCCATAACGTTTGATATAGAGTGGTATTTCGCTCAAAATGAAGATAAATGTTAAATTTGATTTAGATCCCAATTGATAGACACGGGCAAGCAGTTGAGTCACCATTAGCATGTAAATAATAATAATACATGTACACAACACTTTATCACCCTGGGACACCATAATGCAATATAATAAACAATTAGAAATATAATTTTCCATTATTTATGTAGAATAATTATAATGTAGATGGTACTTATATTTATTTTCTAGGGGTATTGATGTTGTTAGAAATAAGATTAAAATGTTTGCACAACAGAAAGTCACTTTACCTAAAGGTCGCCACAAGATTATTATACTGGATGAAGCTGACAGGTAAATATACCAGTATATAGAAAAAAAGTATTTCTTAGGTGTTATTTTGGATTTCTGAATGTGGGTACTTGTTGTGGTTGCTAATGCCATTTAACAGAAGACAGGAAATGTTTTGACGAGTGAGGTCTTGGGAAGAAACTTGACAATCCATTTGTTGTAATTTGGTAAATGTTTAATGAAAACTTGTCAATTTAATCTCAAAAGTAAGAAAATATAATCTGAATTTGGGCTCCTGTGTATAGTATCAAAATACATGTAGGCTGTGAATACCAGTACCGGTAGGTGTTTTAATTAATTGAGGTTATTTTTTACATGTTTCGGAACCAACTTGTTTAATTTGAGAATGCACAACTGGTGTACATGTTCTCTTTCAACTAATTGTAAATGACGTATGTGGTCATAATTTGCCTTGCTGTATTCTTTGACTTACCGTTTGTCAAAATTTTCTGGTGGCAAGTGATAACCTTTTATGAATATTGTATATTCTAGTATGACAGAAGGAGCTCAACAGGCATTAAGAAGAACAATGGAGATATATTCTAAAACAACTAGATTTGCTCTGGCTTGTAATTCTTCAGAAAAAATTATTGGTAAGTTTAATATATTTTTGAAAATGATAATTATTGTTGTAGATAAATGTGGTCTGTGAATAGTGGATCTGTGAAAGGTAATATAACTTAATACTCAGCAATCTAAATCTAAAATTTCTTGATTATTATATAATGTTAACAATCTTTAAAAATAAAAATCGAAAGTTCTGAATTCGGATAGGGGTTTTTCCTCTCTGTACGTACCATCCCAGCAACTTTTTAAAAATTATATTAAGAACTGTGTACCATTAGCAAAAGGCTACTATAAAAAAATATCTATTAAGAGCTATGTTGTGTAGATGAAAGATTACTATTAAAAACTTGAATTTCGATTGACTACATTATTTACATTAAATGGCATGCTGCTGTACAAAATGTGTTGATGCTTTTTTGTGTGTTTCTATGAATATTATAGTGTATTTAAAATTTACATTGTTTTCATTTAGAACCTATACAATCTAGATGTGCTGTATTAAGATATTCTAAATTAAGTGATGCTCAGTTGTTAAGCAGATTATTAGAAGTATGTAAACAAGAATCAGTTAGTTTTACTGATGATGGTCTAGAAGCTATAGTCTTTACAGCACAGGGTGATATGAGACAGGTATGTATTGTGTGCATTAGAATTCAAAGTTTTAGCCTTTAAATGCTGTCTTTCTAAAGAACTGATAAAGAAAGTGTCTAGTTTTTTTTCAGATGTATGGAATAATTGAAATTTGCCATTGTCACTATATGGTGTATATGCTGCAGGGCAAAATTCTCCTTCCTTGTATGGCACACATAACCATAATTACAAGAATGGGTCTCAAAATGAGTAAATCATGGTGTTGGTGAGACGTTATACCTCTGTTCATTCCATTTCCATATATTAAATTCTTTTTTACAGGCATTGAATAATCTTCAGTCTACCTATCAAGGTTTTAGTCATGTAAATAGTGAAAATGTTTTTAAGGTAAGGAGGATCATACATATTTTTATCTGAATGTAATTTTTATTTCTAAATCAAACATTGATTGATATGTAGTAGCAATATTTCAGGTATTGAACTGCCCAAGTCCAATACCTCACAACTATATTGTTTAATATTACTAGCATTGTAAACTTTGCCATATCTAATGTTTCATAAGATGGTGGGGGAGTGGTCGAGTGGTTTAATGTGTACGCTTTAGATCATAAGCTCTGTGTCTGTCAAGTGGCATGGTTACGAGTAGTAGGTTCTCCCCAGGTCTTCTGGTTTCCTCCCAATACTACAGACCACTATGCGCAAGTGGATTGTTGAAATAAAGTTGTACTATTAAATGATTAATCTGAAACAGATTTATCTTTATTTATATTATAGGTGTGTGATGAACCACATCCTACATTAATTAAAACTATGTTACAACATTGTATCGATGTTAATATAGAAGAATCCTATAAAGTTATGGCACATTTATGGAAATTAGGATATTCCCCACACGATATCATCACTATTATATTCCGTGTGTGTAAAAATCAAGAAATGCCAGAATTCTTGAAGTTAGAATTTATCAAGGTATAAATTTTATATTTGATATTCAGAAGTATAAATTAAATTTAATTGTAAGTGACGTCTATAGCATATTTTCATATATACCGGTAATAAATGTCGAAACATTGCATGTTAATAAACCAGTAATTGTTATTCCATAAATAGTTGTTAGTGTAATAAAGATTTGGTTGTTGAGAAATAGGGTTTATTCCGTTTGCAAGATAAAGTTTTATAATTTTATCAATGTAAGTGGGTTTTTTTTCTTTAATAGGAAATTGGTTACACACATATGAGGATAGCAGAAGGAGTTGATTCTTTACTTCAAATGGCAGCTTTGTTAGCAAGATTGTGTAAAAAGTCTGCTGCACCTGAAATGCTAGCAAATTGAGACAAGACTAAGTGTAAAATACTGTGAGATCCTGTTGAGGGTTTCACTGATCAGAATTTATAGTTTCCAACTAAAATAAAACTTTGTGGAACCAAATCATCAGAGTATCATACAAGTGCTATTTGAACTCTCAACTGACGATATTCTACAACAGGACAATTATAATTTCATTTTCCCCCGAATTAATATCGGTGTTAAAAGATAAAAGTATATTGTTATATGTCCACATTGAAATATGGTTGTGTATTGTCATCACACCCTTGCACACTCTTATGCTGATGGGTAACATTAGTATTGGATCTTTTAAAAATTTGTAAGAATGGTTTGTAATAGTAAGATGATACATGTACACTTATTATGTGACCTCTATGGATGTATGCTTTGTTGCCTGTGAAATACATTGAGGATTCATCTTTCTTGTCTTCAATCCTTTATTCCAGCATAAATGTTCAGTGATATCATGGGGACATGATGTACTGTGTCCCCACCACTTATTTCCGATGTTTGCTTACTGTTTATTTTTTGAAATTGAAATCATTCCAGAGCTTTTATTGACATTTCAGAATGTGTAGAGTTGGTTCTAGGCACTTGAGGCCAGGGTCCTTAAGTTGTACAGCTGCACCCGGTGACCGATTTTTATTTAACAGGGAATAAGTGATAATTCATATTATATCAGTAAATAATTAAAATATTCCATAGGGATTATAATATGTATATCATGTAGGTGTGCATATCTGATACGCTGGGTATTAAAGGAATAACTGAGATTTTGTTTTTATCTGGTATACTGGAGAATAAATCACCTAACTAAAGGATTTAGTTTGTATATCAGGGGAACCCTTCATTGCTAGATTTGCTGCCATACTAAATAAATGTATTTTTTAAGACTGGTTTCTATAGGCAATTAAATCTAAAATTTAACCCTTTCACTGTGTATACCCGGTAGTACCGGGTATTATAAAATGTCGGTAAAATGCGCGTACCCGGTATTACCGTGTACTCAGTAAAGCCCTCGCTAAAATTAGTACCGTAACTGCAAGTGCCATCTATTGTATTTTCTATACACTAGAACATATTTTCACGTGTTTCAAAGCGGCAAACTGTAAAATGGCGGAGTGCATATTGACAACGTAGACAATGCACTCTCGACGAAGTCGTGAATGACGTTTTGCTGACCAACACGTGGACAATTTCGAGGCGGGTGATACACATAATTCGTTTCCAATTACTTGATAATGATAGTAGTCAGGACAGTGATTGGTATTATGAAGTGTGTGATTTGTTCCGCCCATGGCTAGCTATGTCTCCCATGAGTGATGAACAAGCCCAATGTGAACACGATAGCCCTGTGTCTGCAGTAGATTCTGACAATAATTCTGATGTTGATAATAATGCTGGCCTGCTGAATTGTAAAAGACGTAGGCAATTCCTGAGTCCCGAACGTGTAGATCTATTGACTGACTATATTGATAATGATATGGGACTTGGGGTGAAAGTAAAAACAAGGTTTTGTAATCCACAGCGGGAGACGTGATGCGCGTGTTCGTGGCGGCATTGCTCATGGCTGCTATTGATATTTTTGTATTAAAATCTAGTGAAAAAAACAATATCTTTTAAGTATTTCATGGAGAAAAATTCGTTTTCGTGTTAGCTTTAGTGAGAAATGAGAGATCCAAAATGGCCGCCATGACGTCACGTGACTACATTATTATGCAAATTTCCAAAATTCTATTTTTTCCTCTTAGCCCAACCTCATGCCCATCCGAACAGACAAAAAGATTTTTCATAAAAGCTTCCATAAGTACTGCTTGGCATTCAGTTCCAACATCCCTTTTTTCCTCAAAAAAGGGTCCAGCACAGGCAGTGGATTTACGTCTAGCATTGAAAGGGTTAAGACTCGAACCCTCTATTTTTTTGAGTACAGTAAGCTGAGCCAAGAATCGTGTACTTATTATTACAAGTAAGTGAAAAAAATTTTGTTTTGAAGATGGTTTAGAAATTTATCGGAAAAAGACATTTTTTAAAACCAGTCAAGGGCCGTCCAGAAAGAAGACAAAGGGAAAAGAAACGGGCAGAATGGATATAAGTGTACTGTTCTTTAGTTTTAAATATATTAAACACTTTATTGAATTTTTTTCTGATTAAAAAATTCCTCTCTGAACTATTTTGTTATTGGTACATTTTGTAACAAAAATTAAAAAAATTGTAAAAGCCCCCCCTTAAGAAGTCAAATTTTGAGAGAGATATTTCTTGTTGGCAGAAGTTGTCTTGTTGTCATTCTATCGTAATGACATTTTCTAGCCTTTATTGAATGTACACCTGACACAGTCAATTTCTTTTCATCTTGACAAATATATAACTCCCGGACTATCAGTAGGGTGGAGAAAGTAAAATATGAGGTAAGAACATTATAGTAGGTTTATAATGTAATTCCATGGAATAATACATGTACACATACTGCTTGAAAGAGTTTAAAAATGACATTACCCATAAATAAACTTAAAACCAACTGGTTTTATAATTTAATCGTTATCACATCAATCCAGCTATATTATTATTAACAATAATTATGTACATAAAACATGACAGATATCAACAATATTACATAAATTATCATACCACCTCCTTAACAGCAGTTTTATCAACAATATATTCAGTAACAAAATTAAGATAATATTCTGGGAAGCTTGGTCACAATGACATATTGAAATAATGAGAATCGTAGGATATAATTAAATGGGGTTAAATATCTCATCAACACAAGAAGGTAATTTTCATGTATTCATTGGTGGACCTCCATTTCAATACCATCCAAACTACTAGTCATACTTTTCTTTTTTAGCCCCATGACCGTCATTTCTGACGAGTCGGAACAAAACTTCAAGTTTGTTCTTGGCTAGCCATGTGGGAATTCGAACCCGGGATATTTTAATCGGGTGGAAAGTGCCCTACTACTTGACCACATCAAACAATTGAGTCAGAAGAATATTGGAGCCATGTTTTCAAGAACAATGAAAAACAATCCGATAATTAAAATATGATTCATAATACATGTTGAAAATCGTTAAATTTTTTACATTACATACCCAAATACAAAATCGTGTATTGCTGCAGCTCCATTAGCCATGGAATTATTTTTTGTATTCTACAGTAATTAAAACAAAATATTTACATCTTTTAATTTCTAACAAGAGCAAGTTAAAATTTCTTACTTGTATCAATAACATGGGGATATATAAACTGAATATGATATTTGACCAACCCTTGAAGCTAAAATGCGTGCTTACATCATGATTATTCTGCTCATACCACATACGTTTTCAGGATTGACAGAACTCTTTACAATTCTTATTATCACAGCTACAATCTATAATTCTAACACTGACGATTGCTATTACCCTAATCATTATTCTAATATTTCCAGCAAGTAAGCGCTTTCTATATCCTTTATAATTTTTTTTGGGTTATAACCTGAATATCAAGAAACCATTTCCAGTTCCCAAAACTTGCTCCCTTCTTCCATGCCACAATATAATTGTGCTCCGGTTATTAGTTATAGATTATTGTAAATAAAGCAAGAAAACTTGGAAAGCCTCTGGAACAGTAAGCGGCCATGTTGTTAATGTACTTCTGATGGCTTATTGTGTTGATACAACTCAACTGATTTATTTATTAACATCACATCCAGAAGCCATTTTAATAATTCCAAACCACAAAATCTTTTTTTCATTTTACACCATCTTTTCAAATGTGAATTAAAAGTGCACAGTTCTTTTCTATGACTAAATTTACCCAAAATATATAACGAAATAGCAAATCATACACTAAGAAAAATTGCACTTCTAATAATTATTTTTTTAATTTTTTAAGGTGATATTTGTATGGATGTCGGGGTAAATTAATTTTCATTTTATAACAACTTTGTGGTTTAAAAATATGAACAAGTTTTGTATTATTAAGCTGCTTCAAACACGACAAACAAAATACATAGCCTAAAATACAGCGATTAATTAAAATAATGGTCATGACAATAAAACATGATGACTTTAGAAATGAAACATATCATTTATACAATTCTTCTCTCTGTCTAGCTTTTTGTATTATTTGTGTTCGTTTCTGTCGTTCTGTGGCTTTATTACTGACTGTATGTTTTAAAGCTGGTAGACTAACATTATCACGCTGAACATATGCTAAATCTGGTCTGAAAAATATATGCAACCAAGAATTAATTAACCTCTAATTCTACTTACTAGCTAGATTTAACAAGACATTAGATATACCCTGACTGAAATTGGTGATCTGTAGATGTGGCTGTCAACCTCATTATTAAAATAAGTAAATGTGAGGATAAGTATATACGTGCAAGGAACAGTGTAACCTTCTTAATGAAATGTTGAACCTTCCTTGCATTCCATTGGATAGTTCGCACTTATGTTTGTATAATTCAAATTTTTCTCATTTTATTTTACCTATTTGTATATATGTATATACTTGTTAAAGACTTGTGAAATCTTGTTGAAGTGTCATCGTGAAATAAACCATAGTAACTGTTATTCCATAAAAGTGTGTTATTTGATTATCTGTATGAATACAATTGCAAGTTATATCAACAAATCAACAACTTTGATTCCAAAGTCAAAATATGAGTCCCATCTAGATTTCATCATAAAAGGGGAGACAAATTTTCTGAAAGTTTTGAAATTCGAAGGAGGAACTAAACTGTCTAAATACCTTAATGTTTTTTTTATACATGTGTACTTACAATTTTCTAGTAGGGTGTTTAAGTGGTATCCTAGGTAGAGCTGATTTACTAGTTTTGCTATCTTTACTATCATCTTCTGCTACATACGCTTTAGCTAATAAATATGCATCGGGCGTCCATTTATGGGAATATAGAACATCACGTAGATCAGACTTTAAACTTTCAAGCTTAAAAACAATATACAGATCATATTAATAAGATAAAAAATCATTGCCCAGTTAATAAGCTCAATTTCCGATATAACCTTTACAGAATTTAAGTTACCAGAAGCTTTTTTAAAAATGAATTTTCATCAATTTTAACGAAACTTTGAATACCTCATGTGACTGTTTTTCATTGACTTGTTGTAAATGTCGTATAATGCCCTGATATTCTGACTGAGTTAATTGCTGTGTAGATTTTTGACTAAATATTTTTTCACTAGCTGCTAACTGTTCTACCATATAAGCTGTTTCTGGACCTTCTTGGTTTGTCTGGGACTTCAAATTTTCTATTGTAATTTGCCTATAGAATAAAGTTACAAAATTTTAACTTTAGCTCAGTATCACATACTCTAATACTTTATAAACAGTTTTTCAATTTGAAAATAAACAATTCTTTTGATCATAAACATTTCTTCATTTTGATCATAAACAGTTCTTCATGTTGAACATAAACAGTTCTTCAGTTTGCAAATAAAAGACAGTTCTTCATTTTGCAAATAAACAGTTCTGCATTTTGAACTTAAATGGTTAATTATTTTGAACATAAACTGTTCTTCATACATTTTTTTTCTGATGAATCTTTTAGATTGTTCTTTTTATCTTATTATGTTATTATATTGAAGATATTGTGCCCCTTTATTATTTATTTTGTCATCTACCCAGACTTTTCCATCAATAAAGCAAAACTTACTGTCTTTTAACCTCTTCTTCATTTTTCTCAACAAGCTGTTTAAGATATGTGTTGGTATTAGTAGTCTCCCTTAGAGCACGTTTCAACTCTTTTATTTCTTCATTCAGGAAAATGACTCTAACTTCTATAGTAATAATATAAATTATTAATGATTTTCTGATTACTTTGACTAATCAACTAACAAGTAAAAAGGCAAACAAACAGAACAACGACTCATTCTATTTATTCTTTTGGGAATTGTAATGATCAGTAGAACACTATTCTATCATACAAAGAACTAGAAGATACAATTAGTAATGTCTACACATGGGCTTACCTCGTGATTTATCTGTACCCTCCAGATATTTAGAATCTATTGAGGCTGTATCTGTAAAAAATCAAAGGTACAAAAGTAATAATTGAATAATGAAAAAAGATGTAATAAAACTTAAATACATACGTGTGTACAGTATCTGAAACTTGAGCAACCTGATTTTGTTTAGCTGCACTGATTGACCTAAAGTACAGTATGTTTTTGAAAATAAATCATTAAAAACAATCCAGCTTTTAAAAACTTTAAGTGTTTTTACTAATCTTACCATCTTCATTGGCAGCTTCCTCTGTTGTACCTCCATCTTGTTTATCCAATTTTTTTGCACTTTTTTTTCTTTTTTGATTCATAATAAGTTTGAACTGAAGCTCTAAATAAAGGAGAAAAATAATAAGTTATGGTTTTAACATGTGTCTTAGTCTATTTATAAAGTATAATGATTTGTTGAAATCAAAGTCCTGAGTGGAACTAGCCATAATTGATTGACAAAATGTTGACCATCATTTTTCCGTAAGCACCATGCAAAGCTCCTCGCCTGAGGATGACCTACTGTTATGATCTGTAGAAATCAAAATCCTGAGAGGATCTACTAGCCATAATTTTTTGACAAAGCTCCTCGTCTGAGGATGACCTATACTGTTATGATGGTAGGAAATTGTTTATTATTTACCGGTAATGTCAACTTATAACATTTGTATTAATTGCTGCTTATATGTAAAGCTCATCGTCTGCGGATGACTACTGTTGTTATGACATGGCATCTGCCCTTAAGGAAATTGTTTATTATTTACCGGTAATGTCAACTTTTGTATTAATTGCTGTTTATTTATGTTAACTATACATCAAGAAAGGTGGTGTAATTATGTAGGTTTTAAATTTTTTTATAAAAAAGTTAACTTCAACCAGAACAGTGTGTCCCACAACACGTTTTGTCGTCGGTATAAACAACTTTAACATATGCACATCTTTTGCCAATTTTACAAGCTTGTTATTTATTTCAAATTAGCTTGTGGCTTGTGAAAAGAGACTATACCTGTATATTTTCCTAAGCAACGATCGACTTGCAAATAGCAATAGATGCTGGCCTACTGGTAGTGAGACAAATCATCTACAGAATGATTTTGACCAGATCTCGACGGAAACAAAGTGGAAATAAAAAGAAATGAAGTATTCATATTATTGTACCTTTATTTTCTTTTTTCACCATATCAATTTCTTCATGCAAACACTTGAGAATATCTTGATGCTGTTGTTTTAAAAATTTAATGCTGCGCTCGAGATAACTAGACCTCTGGGCTGGATTCATATTAAATTCTGAGTCTCCCTCCTCCCCTTCACCTTTATTTGGTGGCAGAGGTTGTAATCTGTCCTTTATAAAAGGTTTAGGGTACCTGGCTTTATCTAGTGTATTAACACGTGTCCATTGTGGTAGCATACTCAAGGGTGGCAGTTGATTCATACTAATATCAGTAGATGGTAAACTATTTTGCAAAGAATTATGTTTAATCATTTTGAGATCCCCATAGGAATTGTGTACTTGTCCTTGCATGATGTGAACGGTATTCCAAACGAATATTCATCTGAAAAAAGATAAATTCGGATTACAAAATGAGACACAGTTGGTAAAAAGAAAAGTCCAGCGTATCTATGGATTATAATAGATACAACAATAGTATTGTGAAAATAATTTGGGTAGAAATTATGTACAATGAAAATTGTGACAATTTGGAATAAATTAAGAGAAAATTATTTTTATTTAGCAATAATATGTTGATCACTATGTAATTACAGTATGGTAGTCGAATTTGCAGTCTGTCAGTTAAGGGTAAAAGAGTATGTTGCTTTAAAACAATGGTTCATACTGAATACAGACATTAAACCTTAAAGTAGTCAATATTTATGGAGAGGGGGTCTATAGGCTTCTGTCTGTTCTCAAATCCAGTTTCTGTGAATAAATATTGTTTAGAAAAAAAAAAAGTAGTCAAAACTTACGAATACATACACATATGAATACCCTCATTCTAAAATACAAGTACAGCATTAGCCTACCGAATATTTTGGAAAGTGTTGTCTATACAGATCTATATCTGTACATCACTGTGTACATAATAACTTATGAATGAGCTATAGTCGATAGTATAAGCCTATAGTATAAATAAATAATGTTAATTTACAAGGTTGTATATTATTGTACATGTACTTGCTATCAGCTAGACCTGGATGATCCCAACAATGTATAATCAATGTTTGTTTTAAAGAGAAACTTACAGCATAACTTGAATAGGTCAATTAGACACAAGATTAAGATAAATGTTTTTTGACATATAAAATATTAAACCTTATGAATGAAATGGGGTTTAATGTCCTAAAACCTACAATCTGATTAAAACACAGATCATATTTCGTTTCTTTTTTTTATAGTTCAAAATTTTTTTTTTTTTTACTTGTGTTTACTCCACTATGGAAGAGTTATTATATGTGAGGGATTAGCCAATGAAATGGTCTGGTGTGGCGAGGTTTTGGCGTGAGGTGCACAGAACTATGGGTAACCCACTAGAAACATCAATGCTGATTGGTTAATCAAATATCTGACATCATAGGGTCAAAAGCCACCCATACGACCTCAGACGCGACCATCCACTACAACCGGTCAGATCTTCTTGTAGTGTAGGTCATCGAAAGTATAAAAAAACGAAACAAAATATAGATCTGTATTTTAATCAGATTGTAAAACCTATGTATGGGATTAGACAATTATTAATCCTTATAATAATGAGACATGTAAAGTATAGCTACCAGTATTATGTACAGAAAAAACATCAAAATATATAATATTAATAAGCATGTAGAATATCCTACTTATTATCACACTACAAACTAATCTATCATCCTTTGAACATTTTAAATACCTGTACTAAATTATTAATTATGAAACTCCTCCAACTGATAAGGTTTTGTCAATAATTGCTTGCCAGTCAAAAAATAAATCTGTCATTTTAATTTGGTACACCCTCCAAGTCCTAATCATATGTTTAGCTGTTTGTAATGCAATCCTTCTGCCAGGTCTATAATCTTACAGAATAGGGTAAGTATGTTCAGCATTATAAAATATTATATACCAACAGTTGCTTGTGGACACTCTGGAGGCTTAATAAATTAATATTTGATTGATTTGATATAAATACAATGTTTATGTTCATGTGATAAATTTAATTATACACAGTGCTGGTTCGGTCTAACAGGGCCTGTCTATCATTACCAGAATCAATTGAATTCAATCAGTGTACCATAATCTTACCTCACAGTGTTATTTCAACTTTTAATATTGGTCAAAAATAAAATTGTTGAATTTGATTGCATTTCTGTGAACTGTGTTGAGTTCTTATGAAATGACAAAAGGTCTTCAAATGTTCAAAAATGCAGTGTGACTTGTTAACACTACAGACTCACATGCACCATGTGTGCTGATTGTCTGGAATGTTCCCAACTGACAGGAATGCAATTGTGTGTCACAGAAGGGAGCATTGTCACATTTCTTCTAGTCTTGAAAACAGATGTGTTGCAAGCAGAATGATGACATAATCAAATATCATATGTCTCAGCTAGCATGGTTGAGATACTCAGATAGTTAAAGTAGATCATGTCTTAAATATAAGTCGCCAGAAACTCAAATGATTATTCGATCAACACCTGTTGTGGGATAGACAGAATTCAAATCCTGAACTTTCAGTATACATATCCCTCTATAGGCTACATGTATTATTTATATACCTTATTTCTAATATTTTAGCTTGATTTCCCAAAAAATCCCTTGATATTTACATTTGCTTGTTGAATATTATTAAGCTTATAGTTTCTTCTTATATTGCACCAGAATCACTAACACATAAATAATCGCATCTATGACATTCTTATAAATATATTATCTATTATGCAGACTAATACACAAGTCGATAGCACAATAGGCTACCATTATTAATCAATCATTAATGGTATCAACATTCGAGATTGGTATGCAAATGTGTGTCGTCAGAGATAAACTTCCGGTAAAATTGTAAAGTTTATAAGAACTTTTTGACTCTCTTAAAAACAAATAAAAACAAAATTACACATCAGGAGATAAGTAGTAAAAATACCATGTTTTAATTACTTACAAAAAATCACACAAAATTGATTGGTAAATACATGTTGTTGGGTTTTTTTTTGTGTTCACAGAGTTTACTAGCTGGTAATCAATCCGTTGTCAATGACTCCACTTCCATTTTACAGCCAGGGGAAGATAACTCTATACCAGACGTTCCTTAGTTCGGAAGTCTTCGGTAAAGGGTTTGAATTTATCATAGAAATAGTATCATGTTTTAAAGATGCATTATTCAACATACTGCACGCAGCGGTCCATCTACGTCATACTTCGAGAATATATGATTATTCAAGAGCTAAATTGGCCTATTGCAGGTCTTTAGGCCTGAAATGTTATTTAAATCGCCTGCGATCTTTAGGCTAGTGGATTAAGAATACATTTTGTGATGGATAATTTAACGTAAAAATAGACAATCAAGACTTTGTTAATTATGGAACCAACGTTGGTAATAACTGATTAGAAATTACAGTAAAAACAGAAACGATTGAATGTAAATCGGTTTATAAACCTTCATATTACATTATTATAGAAGTTAAAATTATGGGGGAAATTCCGCTCCATATTTCTAGGACCTAGAATCTAGGTGCCCAAGAACAGCGATTTAGTTCCTTTAAACCACATTTTTCATTTAATTCTCTCTCGTTGGTAGACCAAATGTATTTAAGAGGAAACGGAAGTGGTGGTGTTGACTTCAAGTATGGCGGCTTGTTTGAAGAATTTATTTCAAGTTCCAGCATGAATTGGATAAAATTTATCATTAGTATATTTAATTTTGAAACAAAAATTCAAGAAAGTAAGAGCCTATTACTTGTTGTTAGAACCCGTAAGAACTCTTTGAGCCCAGATTCTGGGCATTTTAAAGCAGCTAAGTCTCTAACTAACTCATACTCAATATCATCTTCGTCGACATTATTGAAAATGAAAACATGAATTATTTGTCAATTTAAATCAACATTGATGTTATGATCTTACCGGAAAAAGATGCGCTTCTGATATCCAATATTTAAGACAAAATAAACATTTTACCAATGTCCAATGGTACACGAATCGTGTACATAATGCATTTCAGTCCCATTTGTAACAACTTGAACAACTTACAAGGGACTTAAAATAGTTAGAAGAACGAGGCTAGAGATAATATGATTGTTATTCCACAACACAGTCACAAGTAATGTCAAACGGTGATGCCATTCTTATCTGGAGAGCATGCGCAGTATGAATACGGCAAGCCCTCTGATCTGCATATTGCGTTTGTAAACCACAAATTTCTCCGTTATTAGAAAGTCTGAACTACATGTATAGTCTAGTGCATATAAACGTTTTAAAAAAAATCAGCTGAAAAGGTAACTGATAAACAGTGTCAATGGCTTCTTATATTTGGAGTTGTTTAGTTTCATATCTCCCCCAGTGACCCATCACATTTCAAATGTGACCATATGATATTATGATTATATATTACTGGGTAGTAAATAAATGAAATGAAATGGGGTTTAACGTCCACCCCGACACAAACTAGGTCATTTTGGGACTGACACAGGTTCAATTTTATTTCAATAATTCGCTTGCGCGTAGGGGTCTTTAGCAGTGAGAGTAAACAGAAGACCCAGAGAAAACCCACGAGGTTGGACAGGCGACCCTACAGTCTCGAAATCACCACAGTATTGGATCTTTCCTGACTTTCTCAGTCTTTAGCAAAAAAGTTTATCTTAGAGTAAATGAGACAATTTAAACCAAATTTTAAAAAAAAAAGTTAAAACTAGAGCAGCTCAGTGGATAGGTTGAAATTGAAGTAGGCCTACATGTACATATATGTAGTACACAATTTATGCACTAGTATTAGTAGAATAGTGTACAGTCAGCCAGGGTCATGGGATTAATTTACATGTAGTTCCATAAACCAGATATACAACTACATATAAAGCAAAAGAGCTTATAATATACCTCAGACTCTCTTTCTCTCTCTCCCTCTCTCTCTTTTTCTTTCTCCCCCCCCCCCCCCCATCAAATACCCTCTGATATCAATATGTTGACCCCCTGGGCTATGGTCAGAAAAAGTAGATGTTTTCCAGTTCTTTAAACGATTGGTGATTTAAGTCCATCTCCAATTTCCAAGTAATAATCCAGTAAATATTCAAGAGTCCACCATCTGTTAACATATTCATCAGGGTGGGTAAGAGCGTCTAAGCTTATACATTATATAAAATGGCATTTAACATCCATACGTTGAATAAGCTTACCACATATTTTAAAGTTATTTCCATGTAGCACAGCTAGAGATTTGTTCATGAAATTTTATAATTATAAAAATATTAGAATGACAGAATAAAATGTATATGTATTTCAGATTGAACTAGTGTGGCTTAGGATTCATCTTATGAAATACTATAGATAAATCACCAACAATGGCAGCCAAAAGTTTCCTCCAACTTAATCAACTGCAGTTTAATTTGAATGTTCCTCCAACAGCAAATAATTTAATGTATAGACAGTTTAGACCGGAACCAATTAAAATTGAACGACTTAGTGGGCGACCATCTAAGAATAAGAGTGAAGCATGGGCTCCTACCGGACATCCACTAAATACCTCTCAGTTCTCGGCCATTTCTGAAGATAGACTTAGTGCCGCTGTTCTCTTAGCTAAAAGAGATTTAAAAAATCAGAGAATAGCAGAACAAATGAGAGCTAATCAAGCACGTAGTAGAACGCCTTCTCCTAATAGAGGCAGATCTCGTATCAGAACTACTCATGGTAAAAATAATATTGATGCCAAGAAAGGTGTAGGAAATGTACATTCGAAAGTTACTAAAACTAGAGAGAGTTTAAGAAATAAAGCTCCAAGAACTCCTCCTAAACCTGTCGTTAGAGCCAATACTGCCTACTTTCCAGGTTAGTTTGCTTCTTTTATTAAATGAGACATGATCTACCATTTTTAGAAATTTAAAAAAAATGAAGAATTGTTGTAAAATTATAGAAGTCTGTGTTCCCCCTTAATTATGTTATATTCTTATATTATTGTTGATGTTCGAATTTGTTTTGGGGAGTTGGATGGCCGAATGGTTAGCACATGCGTGCTGTATCATAAGACCTGTCATTGAGTCAACTGGCATGGTTTTGGTACTTGGCAGTTGGTATTTCGTGTAATTATAAAAATTATATGTTACATTTATTGCAGCTACTACCAACAGTCCACCAACAAGAGATACTGATAAATATCCAATACATAAAGTCCATATACCTATAAGTGATACAACTGATGAAATAACAAGAATGCAGAAAGAACTAGAATCTTATCTTAGTCAAATAAAGACCATAGAAGAAAAGGCCATTACAGGTATTAAAGCTTACATGACTGAAACTCTGGACACAAAGATTTGGGGTTTTGTTTATGAATATATTTATTCAGATCGCCATCATGGGATGTACATTACATGTCAATCTGATTAAAATACAGATCTTTATTTTGTTTCGTTTTTTTATACTTTCGCTGGCCTACACTACATGAACATCTGACCAATTATAGTGATAGGTTGCATCAGAGGTCATTCGAGCGGCTTTTGACCCTATAACGTCAGACATTTGATTAACCAATCAGCTTTGATGTTAAGATGCCCAAAGCTCGCTGTAACAGACCATTTCATTGCCAAAACCCTCACATCATCGGATCCAGAACACAGGTTATATAACAACTCTTCCAGATCCTGGTGTAGTAAAGACAAGTAAAACGAAATTTTGAACTGTAAAAAACGAAACAAATAGGATGTGTGTTTTAATAGGATTTATTACATGTAAAATATGTGTTGGTAAGAAACTACATAATAATTTGATTTAAAGTATGAAAATTACAAGATTTATTTGATTTTCTTACTTTCTTACAGACGAGAATACTAACTTTTTAATAAACAGACGCAGTAGAAGTAAAGATGGTTATCTATCTGATGAAGAAGATATTAAAAGAAGGGCAGCTAGATCAGAAGAACAGTTAGTGAGAACCGCTAGAAATCTTTATAACCTACGACAACAAGTTAGACAAATACAGAAAGATTTTCTTCAACTGGGTACTACTGATATTAAACAAACAAAAAAGGTGCTTAAATTTGTCCTAACAGTACAATATATAGTGATTTCCTTGGGTGAAATAACAGGAATACATCAAAATGTTCATACATTCGATTCTTGAATAGCAAATCATGCCAGGATGTAAGTGTGCATTATTCAAGGCTACACATTTAATGGTTGTAGCTCACTGGATAAAACTATCGATGTAAGAGAAACTACAGAAGTTGCAATTGGTTATTTTTATGGTTTGATCATTTTACTTTCAGAGTCAGGCTGTAGCTAAACTGACAGCAGCCCATAGAGGAGCTGTTCGCTCCATGCAGGCTTTTGTTCATCAACTACCTCATCAAGATCTACGGCAAGGTTTACCGACATCTTATAGAGAATTAGCTTTGTTAATACGACAACTTACTATGTTAAATACACAGATAGAGAGAGGACAAGATAGACAAGTTAATAATAATATCATTAGTATATTAGATAGAGTTGATGTAAGTTACATTCATATAATATTTGTTGTACTTTTAATATATTTTAAAACGCATCCAGAAATGATGAAATTAAACTTTTCTGCAAATGAATTATTTTGTGATTCTACACCCATTCTATTTGTTACAAAGACTTGCAAAACTGTCACAGTGCTCGACTCTGTTTATGTTGATTGCATTTGAGTCAATGCACATTTTTCAGGACATGTAATCGATTAATTCCTAGTTTCTGTAAATATAGTTTGTAAATTAAATTTTCTGTGGTCACTATATAAACCCGATAACCTACATCGAGGTCAAAAATGGTTTACATATATATATAATCTGGCAGCCACTACCCATCCATTCTGCTCTAAAGACTTAAACATATTCATAGTTTTATAAATCTTTAAAAAAAATTGAAAATCTTGGGTAGTGGGCTGTTGAAACTGTGAACATCATTTTCTTCCCTATTCTTGGATTAAGGGCTAAAAAGTATGGCCTAGAACAGTTCTTGGTTATGAAGTTTATGTACAAACAATCTTTATTTTACCCATTTACTGAATAATAATCTCTCTTTCTTTAATCTATTTCAGGAACTGAATAATATTTGGACTAGTGATATCAGGGGACATCATGCTTCAAAAGCCCAACTTAAAGAAAACTCCCTAACCAGACCTCCTTTTGTCTTAGATTTTAATCAAGATAAACCTCTAAAATTGCATCAAAAATTTTATGGTAAAGAAAATAAAACAAAAGGTATAATAATAGTCACCAAGCAAATTTAGTGTAGTTGGATTTTAGGCGCAATATCTAAAAGTATTATAGATATTTTTCTGTCAACAATTATACAACTTAGTAATTATATTGGTGAACCAAAATTTGAGAGAGGCATTTTACTACAGGCTACTTAACCCTTCCTGAGCTAATCCCGACGATTGTCGGGATAATTTTATAGTCTGTCAGAGCGGCACCCGACGATAGTCGGGAAGTTTATTTAACTTGGTTTACTCCCTTGTAAAAGCATGGTTTTAACCTTAGATGGTTTATAACACGAGTTTTTATTACGAGGGGGTTTCCTCTATTGACGGAACAACCATCAATAGTCAGAACAGCCGAGGAATGGCATCCTTCACAACAAAAAGACTTCGGCTGAATTTAGCCGTGAGTCCCGATGACGTCACGCCTATATTGGATTCGGGTAGTGACTATACTATTATTAGTGGGGATTCTTCTTGTGATGAAAATTCAGATGTTTGTCACAAAGTAAAGACACAAAAAAGGGAGACTTCTCCGGAGGAAATTATTTGTCTGCTTTTATACAGTCGCGCACGTAGATCGCTACCAATATAGACGTATACGACATGGTCAAATTGGTTACCATGGCAACCCTAATGTGAATATTTCGGTATATATTATTGTTATTTTCCAAATATTTAATTTATTTTTATTTTATTGTTAATAAAAACTTGTTACTGATGATTTTTATATGTGTGTTGCCTACCGCAAAATTGTCAATACTGCTCGTTTACATTTTATTATTTTTAGAAAAAAACATTATTATCACAATTTAGTGACTTTTCCCCAAAAACCTATACTATTCTTACAAAAGAGATATCTATCATGTTAATAATCCATATAGCTTTATTCCTGACCATCTTGAATTTTTTAATGACAAGAAAATATCCAATATTTCATTTATGACAATAATATGGCAGCCATTTTGAAACACACTAGTAACCATAGTAACCATAAAATCTAAACTAAACATATGCAAGAATCCCAAGTCATATATAATGGATATACATTTGCAATTTTACAGTTGTAGTCGCATTCATATTCAAAATATGCATGGTTTTTCACAACAGGGTCTAAAGCTTGATTTTTACTCAATATTTGCATAGTCCTCTATGGGTATGAAGTGGTTAGCTCATGAAGGGTTAACATTTAAATGTATTGTCATAAAATGTGTGCAACTAAAGTTAATAAAAACCATATTATGTTCATTTGCTTTGTGTTTTTAAGGTTCAATGAGTTCTCATCAGCATGACAAGAATCTAGTGAAAAAACATACCCATCAGCGTAGAGGTAAATTTTATTTGAGGATAATCACATAAACTAATGAACATGTAAATAAATGTCTGATTAATGTTTATATAACATTTGAAGACAAAATAAAGACCTGAAATATGTAGGTTTAGCTCTTACATAATGTGTCTTTAAAGCGGAAATTGCAAATTTTTAAGTTATATTTTTAAAATTTATTAAAATAAAGCCTGAAAATAGATGGTATCCATAAACATTCCTACCTTGTTAAAGAATAATCCTATAAAACCTATAATTCACTATTGTCAGCTGAGAAATTGGCAAAAATATCATTTTCCTCTTCATTTTCAAACGTTTGAATATTGCTACTCCATGGTGGAGAATAGAAAACAAGGGAGGTAATTGTGTTATTATTTCCTGTGTAAATGAATCTTAAGTGTGAGAATGACACCTATGATCGTATAATTGTGAGTTGACAACCTATTGAGCAAAAGACATAGAAATAATTACGTTTTGACTTTCTTAGAAAATTTGCAATTTCCGCTTTAAATGATTGTTCTTATTTTGAATAGCATTTTTTTTTCAAAATCATATTTCAGGTACATCCCCAGCCAGAAAATCTTCTTTAAGAGCAGGTCTGGTGTCATTATTAAAGCCAACTGGTGTTGCAAAAAAAACAAATGTAGCATTTCAAATACCAAGTCGAAGTAATGCTGTAAGTGGTAAACGTAGTTTAATGTTACCAGGAAAACTACAGGTAAATATAATTTGTGTTATTAGATATCTGAAAATAAATAGTTTTATCTGGTCTGGGTGGCACAGTAAGTATATATATACTGCTGCTTCAGATTTTATTCAGGTTATGCCAGGATAAGTTTCTTGGGACTTTCCAATATGGTTTCTTCTTGTCAGTGGTGCGGGATGAAGAATCTGGCAAGGAAAAGCTTCTAGTTTGATTGTCCGTCTTCATAAGCACATATCATTTCTAGTTTGATTGGAAGAAAAGACTGAGCAAGTCCAGTGTTTACGATTGGCAACATGTTAAAGATCTCCTGACAGTAGGAAATTGATCTAATACTAGGTTGTAGCACACCGCTGTCAAGACAAATTTCTCTCACATCACACTACACTTCATAACATGCTCATGGCCATTGCCCCTGTTGGTGCAGAAAAGTAGATATTAAACCCCATTTCATTATATACTATTCAAAAAAAGTAGGTGATATTTGATTTTGGGGGCATAATACTAAAATATGCAAATGACTACGAAAAAAGTCACTATAGAACCTAACAGAAGAAACATTTCCAGTTACATGTGACGCCCAAACGCACCAATAGCTACCGCATGGAATGCAGGTGATGCTTGGGATCATCATGGGGGTCCAACCCAAGATTTGCACGACTCTGACTTTGAATGTTACAGTCATTGTGGCATTGAATTCCAGGGTGGAAACATCAGTTTAATTGTTTTAGTGACCAGAAAACAAATTTTGATATGCGTCGGCTTACCCAAAATGAAAGGTTACGTGCCCTTGGCATGCTACAGATCGGCACAACACAGGCGGTTGTGGCGCGGACGATGAATGTTTCTCAGTCTGTCATAAGCAGGCTATGGTCCAGATACCGTGATACACAATCTGTACAGGACAGACCACGCTCAGGTCGACCAAGGGCAACAACTCAAGCCCAGGATTGATTTATCCGTACCTTGGCCTTGAGAAATCGTGTCATCACAGCAAATCAGATCAGCGCTCGTCTTCAAACAGACACAGGTGTGAGAGTGAGTGGCCAGACGATTCGGAATCGACTGCATAGGGGTCACCTTCGCGCCCGACGTCCTCGCGTGATCCCTTGTTTGAGAGATCATCACATTCAGGCAAGACGTCGTTGGTGTAGGGATCGTCAACACTGGGATAATCGACGCTGGAGCAATGTGATGTTTTCAGATGAGTCAAGGTTCACTGTCGATTTTTTGGACAGACGTAGGAGGGTGTGGTGTCGTCGAAACGAGCGCTTCCAAGACGTTAACGTCATCAGACATGATCGATTTGGGGGTGGTTCTGTTATGGTGTGGGGAGGCATCACTGTTGCTGGAAGAACGGCTTTACATGTTGTTGCAGGGCGTGTTACAGGCCAGTACTACCGGGACAACATCTTGGCAGTCCATGTTGTGCCGTTCGCACGACGTCATGGCCGCCGTTTCATCTTCCGGGATGACAACGCAAGATGTCACAGGGCCAGGATCGTTACAGGTTACCTCCAACAACAGAACATCACCACATTACCTTGGCCAGCACTGAGTCCCGACCTCTCCCCCATCGAGCATGTCTGGGACATGCTTGGACAGAGGTTACGTCAACGTCAACAACGTCCTGCCAATGTCCAAGAACTTGCTGCTGCGTTGCAACAGGAATGGGACAATCTGGACCAAAATGACCTTAGACGTCTCATTAGGAGTATGCCACGTCGGATCAATGCTTGTTTGGCAAACAGAGGAGGATTTACCCGTTACTGACTTGGTTGTGATGCTGTGGTAACTTTGCTGTTTGACCCCGGGTATCATTTTACCCTTATAATGGTCAGTCTGTGCCTTACTTAGTCTAACGATCATTTGGAATAAATCGATGAATGTGAACTTCATTTCATTTTGTCATTTGTTTCTTCGTCAGTTTCATTAGGTGACTTTAATAACACTTAAAAATCAAATATCCCCTACTTTTTTTGAATAGTATGTATAGACATGATTCTATTGATGCCGGTTCCTTTACACGCTCCTAGGATGAATAACATGAGATTGAAGGCTGAAGCCATCTTTTTCTTAATTCCCAGTAAAAGTAAAGTGTACTTTTAGTGTACTCAAATTGGATATTTAGCATTTAACCCTTAACCGGTCGACGTCATTTTGACGTTATGACAACAAGTGGTCAGGCTAAATAAAGGCTGACATGAAATATTTTGTATGCCTATTTCAATCGACTACTGACGAATAATTATAAGTGATAGACCCTTGACACCAATAAAAAAGTTGCTGGGGATAAGTTGATCTATAATTTGCAAATCATTCTAAATCCTGTTCATCAGAAATATCGTCTTCAGAATCGGTGTCATTGATATAATCCGATTCTGAATAATTCATAAGTATTTCAACCACTTCGAGCATCTTTAACGTTCCCGACACCCTTAAGTTACATTTTTCGTCAAAAAATGTTGAACAAAGACATGGTTTTCTCAATGCCCTTGATAAGACAAGTTCCTGTCTGACACGCATGCGTGCCCATATCAATTAAATACAAAACTAAATACTCAAATGCGGCTTATAAAAAAGGTTCTTGTGACCACTTATCTGTATAACGTTGTGGTGACTATAGTCGACAGTGACCGGTTAAGGGTTAATGAAGGGGCGAAGCTACCCGGAGAAAAATTGTTTTTAATTTTATAGCTATTGGATTTGAAATGGTGCAAGTAGTTAGAAAATGGTATATTTGGAAAAAGCATTCAGACTAACTATATAAGTTGATTATACATAATAAAATATATTTCAGAGTAAAAGGGAGAAGATAAATAGATTTGTTCAACAAGTTCCATCTGACAGTCACTTTGCTGATCCTACAATAGCAACTAATTTAAAAGCTGTGGCAGCTCTATCTAATCCTATTTTAGATGAACGACCATTATCAGCCCCATCTTCACCATCTTTCAGGTACGCTATGTTTGGTTATAAATTTCTTTGTCCACTGATGTCATATTTAGATTACATTTTCAAAAGATTTAAAGTGAGAAAAATGATAATTGCAAAAGAAATACCACTACTGAGAAAATGTATACGGTTAAACATACATTATGCAAGAGCTAAATCTGCCTATTGCAGGTCTTTCTTTAGGCCTGAAATGATATCTAAATCATTAATTAGACATTTATTAACAAAACAAGACCATAATCAACTCTCGATGGCATCGCTAGCCTGCAATATTTACTGGATTTAAATACATTTTGTGATGATCGAAACTAGGCCTAAAATTCAGTAGCTAATATCTCAGTTTAGAGTGGAGCAATTTGACTAATATTTTCAGCATATTCTCTTTATGTTATCTATTTTTTAGCTATTGTAGCGAGAACTGTCAGCTCTTTATCTAATCTCCCATAATGCCCCTTTAAGGAATGCTAGTAGTAGTTATTTTATGTTTTCATTGGTTGCCTATCATATATCGTGAATCTAATAAACTGTCAATATTTTTAAGACGATAATGTTTTATTTCTCTGTTCCGTTTTGATTAATTTTATAATATATATTTCATAAGTGAAGAAGTTGGATTCTCTCCCAGAAGACATCATAAAGAACCCTGGATACCACCTGGATCACCTAATAGTAAAAGAAGTCCATCTGCTGAAGGAAGACGTAGTTATTCAGACAGTCCTGGTTCAACTAAAAGATATCATATAGAAGATGTAGATAACAACCTAATCAAGTAATTGTTATTATTTAATATCATGACATAACAAATAACTAAATTTAGTCAGGATTGAAATTTGATCAATGATGTGTTAAATCTGATTTATGACAACCTCTTTCTGGCCACATTAATTTCATGACACATTAATATTTTGTTTTACCGTATTTGGAAGTAAACAACAGCCATGTTTTGCCTCTCTCCTACATTGTTTACATTTTTATTTCAGACGATTATTTTCAGATAAAGCTGGCACTCAGGTAATTACACATTATATCTGATTAAATTCTGTTATATATTTATTATTTCAAAAAGGCAGTATTCTATTGTCCGTGATATTTTTTTATCAAGGATAACCCACTGTTTATGTTAACATTGCCCCACTCCTCCTGAATTGATATTAGAACACCAAAACCGTAATTTCAAGTCAGATTTATAATTTATTTGTATTTGATATTACGTTTAAATGTTATTTATAAGAATTAGAAAATATTACAGCTGTTGTTTAGAAGTGAGAGGGAAGGTAGAGAACCTATGAGAAAACCTTTTACATTGAATAGATCAAGGTCTATTTCCCCCAGACCAACATCAAGATCACCACCATTGAGAGCTAGGTCTCCTAGAGAACGATCATGGTCACCAAGGAGGTAAATGTGTAACATTAATTATCAATTTTAAAGAACAGTGATGTAATAAGTAGAATCTAAAAGGACCACAAACAGATAGGTGGTATAAAGACACCTATCGTCTCATAATTTATATAGATTGAAAGATTGTAATTTCCTACCATGTTGAAATTTTTGGGGGTTACTATGGTCGAAGTCGGTTGTTTTGTTATAAAAAAGAAGTAAGTCACTGCTGGTTTTATGGAGGCTGGGGTGGTTAAGTGATCTGTGTATGTTAGAGATTGGCCTGTTATTTATGCAAGTCATAGGTTTTTTCCTGGGTTTGTATCTGGGTGAGTTTTCTGCAGGTAGGCAGGCCAACTTAGTTTTCCTATATCTTCTTAGGTTTACAAATTATTGAAATAAAAAAATATCATTTGTTAGTCCCAAAATGACTTGATGTTTTTTGCTCACATATTTGCAGAGTTTTATTACTAAAGGGTACAATATCATTAATGTTCGATGTTTTCCAATTCTTAAATTTTATTTAAAGATGGGTTCCCAGAAAAGTATTTATCGGGTGGTTATTTCCAATAAAAGTATGGCAATTTTGGTATTTAAGGAAAGTAGAGATATTCAATCTTACTAGAAAAATACTGGATTCCCCGAAAAACACTCATGGAGCGTATACAGGACAAAAATGTAAGGGTTCCCCTAATCAACAGCCCGACGATTAGGAACTTCTGCACGCGTGATGTCAAAGGTCACAAGCGAACATTGAGCGCTTGATGTACAAGTTGATAAACTTTATGAAGAGTTAGACGTACAATACTTTCTGAGATAAAAAGACGCGGATAGTGGATAATCCGAGAATTTAATTAGGATTCGATATTTATAATAAATAGTAAGCGATTAAAGACAACATCGTCTTATGTATGCAATGAATTCTCCTCTGGCTCCCAAGACGTGACGTAAACATGACCTGGTTTGATCGAATTTTAATAGCAGGGCATTCCTTCGCAATTACAATGTTTGAGAAGGATTTGAAGCATAATTATGACAAATTAATTAGTTTGAATATGTTTTTGGTCCATATATACCATTAAATCACCCAGTTTGTACGCGGGAACCCATCTTTAACATCTTACAAGTTGTATCAGTTTGTTGTGTTCTTACTTGTGTACTATAGATAGCCAATGAAAAACAGCTTATTTATAAACACACTAAAGACTTGTACATGATAAATACAGATGACATAAATGGTCTAAACACCAGCCATTTGGAATGTATATTAAATCTTATAGGAATCAGAACCATAAAGACAAAAGAAAATAAAGATATAATATTAATTAGATAGCAATACATACTACTTGACCTGATACATTGTAGATAAAAGAAATTCTCTGTTCATGTACTTTTAGATTTTACAAACTATCACTAGTCCATATACCTTTTATTTTATATTTTGATGTAGTAGTAGAAATATGTATAATGTCTGATAAAGTACTATGTATAATGACAAAGTAAACAGTTATTAATTCTAATATAAAACACTTCTTGTTAATTTATATCATAGAAGACGCTCATTATCTGAGTCAATGATAGAAGATATTGCTGAGGAGGTTCGAAGAAAACTAAAATCAACTAAGGTAAACACTTATTTAACACTGCCAGATTTTTGCTGTAAAATGTTTATTTAAATATATTTCACACGTGGCTAGCAAAATTATTAAAGTTCGTCTCTTAGCTAGTAGCATATATATTTATTTAAAACAATGAAAAAACACAAATGTCCATGAACTATAATTTTTGGTTGAAAATTATGATTTGTATACTGTTTTATTTTAGGATGGCCACCAGTTTTATAAATCATATCCAGCTGATAGCAGAAGTAGAAAGGTATTTCTATAAGTTATTATAATACATCTAAATATGATATCAGTTTGATGAAATACAACTGTATATTGAACTATTAGAATAGTATTTTACCAAATGGGGTTTAACTTACATTGTATATCAATATTACTGTATCTATTTTACCAATATTTGTTAAATTCGTTGACACAGATTATATTTCACTTTGTTTTTTTCCTTATTTACAATCCCGGAAAACATTGTAATAACATATAGGCAGAAGCTCACAAAATACATGTTTGTTTTTTAGAATTATTTGTAAGAATGTGTGTATTTTGTATTATATAAGTATATTATATGTAAGATCGTGTGTATTATGTATTATATAGGGTGCTGGTGGAAGAGAAGATGAATTAACTGATATGATATTAGATGATGTATTACGTGATACAGTACATGGTATAAAACATATAGATAATACAGATAGAATACATCAACATGCTATATCATTACAAGATTCACCTACAGTACAAAATCTCTTTCATAGATTACAACAAATGGAGGTAATATCAACAAATATTAGAATCATTACGAACAAAGATTATTTTTTATTGCATTTTTGAGAAAAACATTAAAAAAGAAACAAAACAGTGTTTATCTAGTGTACATTTCAGGAATCATGTTAAAGCTTTGGAACTATATCCTGTTTAGTATTCTATTTATTTTCCCTGTAAATAGCCAACGAATACAAATATCAGTGTGTCTGTATATTTCAACCTATCTGAAATCGTGCTGATATAAACAGTTAAAGAATCTCATGTTAAAGTGAGATTCTAATGAAACTGTTGCCCTTTTTGTTTTAATTGTGATTTAAAAATGAAATATACACTATTAACTATATTCAATAAGTTATGTACAGTAATATGTAAGTTATGGGCACTTGTGAGAAAGAGAGAGAATTGGGTTTTAACATCCACTCGACACAAACTAGGTCATTTCGGAATGAACACATGGTTCAATTTTTATTTCAATAATTTGTTTGCGTGTAGGGGTCTTTAGCAGTGGGAGGACCCGTAGAAAACCCTTGAGATTGGACAGGCGACCCTACTCCTTGTCACATACAACTGGGGAATCAAAACCACGCCAGTTGACTCAATGACCGACCGTATGATACAGCGCGCACATGCTAACCATTCGGCCATCCAACCCCTCAGGCACTTGTGAAATATGGATCTTAAATCTCATATGATCTTACTAGTAGCTGTTTTCCATAAGTTCATTGTTCTATCCAGTTACTAAATGCCTCTAAAAGATGACATACAATGACATCTAAATTTTAGGATGAACAAGAAGATATTAGAAGAAGGTGGGAGTGTGTTAGTTTTCATGATCCGAAACCTAAAACTAAATACTTTTCTTCCAGTAAGTCATTTATATTTTCAGTGGTGCTTTATAATTTATATTTATAAAATGTAGAAATCTTTCTGGTGTATAAAGTACATCATTTAACAACTGTTCAAAACCTTTAATCGTTCTCATGATTTTAAAACATTCATCTTTTCTTCTGTATAGCATCTGTATCTCTAGATGATAGATCTTTATATGAATGTAATAAAAGATGTTTTTTTTTATTTAGGTGAAATATTATCTGATAGACCAAGATCTCCAGTGGCTATTGAAGTTTTATCTTCTAGAGGTCAAACTAGAACAACAAAAACATCTCAACAATCTGTGTAAGTATATATCATTATTATACCTTAAACATACATTATGCAAGAGCTTAATCTGCCTATTGCAGGTCTTTCTTTAGGCCTGAAATGTTATCTAAATTATTAATTAGACATTAATAAACATATCTAGACCATAATCAACTCTCAATGTCATCGCTAGCCTGCGATGTTTACTGGATTAGGATACCATTTGCTGCCCCACTTTCATTCTTGATTTAATCATGAAATGGATAATCAAGACTTAAGTAATGATGATCGAGACTAGGCTGAAAATTCAATCGCTAAAATCTTGGTTCAGAGTGGATCAATTTAACTGAAATTTTCAGAAAATTCCCTTATCTAATCTCCCATAATGTATCTTGAACCATTCCGGAAAAAGGATAAAAAAATACCAATGGTTAATTTTATTTGCTGTATATAGATGTTTTATGTATTATTTCTTTATTGACTTGATTTAAATTCTGATGTTTATCATACTTTTTATATTACTCCCCAATAAATACTTTGGTTTGCCACCCACTCGTAAACACACATGCATGTAGATGAATTTAAACTGTCTTACATATAATTTTTGAGGTGTATTTTACCATCACCAAAAAGTCTTTATTAAGTGCTACAATGTGCTCTTCTTTTGAATTCCATCTGTCGGGGGATCTTTAATATGCTGCTAGTGGTATACACAGGACTTTCGTTTTCTTCCCGCCATCCGAACAACTATGCAATACTGTATTCAAGCCACTGAATTTTTAAGGGAAGGGACCAAATATACTATATGAATAGATTATAAAACAAAAAATTTATTGTAGTGTCTTGTATTTTATGTTTTCAGAGGCTTTAGTAAAGAAATGGTTGCTGAACCTATAATATTTACAAAACCGAAACACGTTCCAAAATGGACACAGAATTATATAGATAGTGAATCGGTTAATGATGATTTTGATGGTGAACCTATTACTCTACCACACCTATCAAAACCTAAAAGACATATCACAATACCTCAAACAATAGTAACAAAAATAGAGGACAATAGGGACAGATTTCAGAATCATCTGAAGAAAATATCTCACCATCCACTTGGACGTTTTGACCCTTGGAAACTTGTAGAAGAGTAAGTAATTATAATATCGTTAGTTGTCTTATTTCAAGTTACAAGTACATGCTTTTAAAGATGTAGAATGTCAAAAGCATGTCATAATAACTAAATGATAAGGATACATACCCATCTGCAGGCATATGACAAAAATGAACACAGATTGTCTATGACATTGATAACAGAGATGGAAGTTGAACAGGGGTTATGAAACTGAAAATATACTTCATCATATTTTTTTTCAAAAGATTGTAATACATGTCTGGATAATGCCAGCATGGTTGTGAGTTTTTCTGATAGGACAAAGAAAAATCAACATGGCTGTGTGTTCAAATTGGTGGTACATGTACAAAAAGATCCCATTGCAGTTTGAAGAAGTGGGGAGAATGCTGCTATTGAACCAAATTCACCTGCTGCATTGCACATGGAGAAATGAAAAAGTCAAATATTTAAGTTTAAAAATGACAGATATATTTTGTTGATGAGATGTTAAACCACTTTTTTGCTTTTATTCTCAGGATTACAGAAAAAATAATGGATGACTGTTTATTAGAAGTTGCACATGAACTGGATGATCTAAATGAAGACATGGCTAACCATATGTATAAGTCAGAATTCTTAATAGACATTAGTCAGTCATCTTCTCCAACCAGTGCACTTATAAAAGGTACAGAGTCTTCCGTAGTGCATTCCCAGAAAATAGATAAAAGGACTGATGAAAATTTTGAGGATGATGACGATAATTCTGATGAATATGAGGACTACGAGGATGATAATGAATTGTCAGAAAATAATGATGAATTTTAAGGGCTTCATTTAAATACTTAGATTGAAACATGGAAAATGTCTGGGGACTTGTTTCACTAAATGTTAAGATGTGAAATGAAATTGATAGTACAGATGTTTCATTAAAAAAGCTGTACATACATAAATGTGATATTTATACTTCTGATGTTTTGTGGAGCATACCTCTGTGCCTAACATTTGATGACAAAAATTACACTACCATGTTGGTTAAAGAATCAGATAGCAAATGGCTTCATTTTACATAGAAGTCAACTTGATCAAAGCAAGTGAAGGTACATGTTTCTGTAAAGATCAGATAAAATGATTTTCAAAATCAGAGATCAATATTTATGAACAATGCTATAGGGAGAGAATTCCTGAAAATAAAAACTAAGCTGTAGTTTAAGCATTGCATCTAGAACGAAATATTTAGTTAAATTTGATGTATTTTATATTTTACCATATGATGTTAATCTTTATTTCGTTATTATGATCTCTGTCTTCAGCATAAGTCATCTGTACTTAATTGTGTCTTTAAATATCATTTTCCATAATACAAAGAGCTTAAGGTCAAATATGTATTGACTGTGCCTTTTTAGTTACTTAATGGTTTATTGTATTTTATATGTAATTACATGTAGTGAAATATGTAGTAGAAATTGAACCACTGTGATATGTAATTATATGTTGTGGTAATTCAAGCTCTGTGATATGTAAATGTAGACTGTAACTTATTGTAATAATAAATACACTTCTTATATAAAATAGGTTTAATACTCTTTAAAGATACATTCCTGTGTACAAACTGGGTGATTTGATGATATATTTGGACTAAAAACTTATTCAAACTAATTAATTTATCATAATTTTGCTTCAAATCCTTCTCAAAACATTGTAATTGTCAAGGAATACCCTGCTATAAAAATCGATCAAAAGAGGTCATGTTTGTGTCATGTGACTTACCTCTCTCGGTACTTATAGCAACGGAAGCGAAGTTGGAGGAGAATTCATTGTATACACAGGACGATGTTGTCTTTAATCGCTGACCATTTATCACAAATATCAAATCCTAATTAAATTCTCAGATTTATCTCAGATAAAGTTTATCAACATGTGCACCAATCGCTCAGTCTTCGCTTGCAACCTTCGATGTCACGCGTGCAGGTATTCGATTAGGGGAACCCTTACATTTTTGTCCTGTTTACTCTCCATGAGTGTTTTTCAGGGAATCCAGTATGTTTCTAGTAAGATTGGATATCTGTACTTTCCATATACAGTATACCAACATTGCCATACTTTTATTGGAAATAACCACCCAATAAATAGGAGTAATGTCAGGATATATTTTAGTGAAACAAAAGAGATCATTTGTATTTGTAACTTTCACTCTTTAAGTGCCTGAATAACCATGTCTATATTGTCTTGCCAAAACCACTTTAAGCAAATCTTGCGATCTTTTTTTAACAGCCCTATATTTTAATTTTAATGTCCCTTTAATGTAATTGGACTACCCATGAAATTGAGATAGCTTATGTGAATAACACATTGTAATCATTGGGGGGGACATACATCTGTGTCAGACAAATATCAAATGAGAAATTAACAAAAGAAGTGAAATGAAATGGGGTTTAGTATCCTACTTTATGGCACCAAGCAGGCTAATGTAGATTGGCATAGTTTTGCAGTGTGGTATAAGGGAAATTTGGCTCAAACAGCAACATTTTCGACTACTTTTCATTTAACACCACTTACAAGGAAAGGTAACCTAAATAACTTTGCACTTTCTAAAACTTACACCCATGGACATGTTTTGAAAAGTAAAGTGAAAGACAATCTCTCTGTAATTGGTAATCAACATGCAAATAATAATTAGTGTATATATTATAACATGTACAGCAAAAACTATATTGAAATGTTTTTGGTAGTCGAGACTCGCTGACTTAACAATCAGAGGAGCCATTCTGTCCCACTGTTACTACTTTTGGATTCTTTCCTTGATAAGCAATAAGCAACACATTCAACAGAAACAATGGTGGGGGGGGGGGATCTGGTTCTTGGGGCTTGGACATTGATAGTTTCAAATGAGAAGTAAAACCATTCATTTTTATACACCCACATTGAAATATGGTCGTTTATTTCATCTCACCCGTCCATTGGTCGGTCAGGGGTCCACAATTGCTTGTGGACGCTCTAGAGGCTAAAGTTAATTTATACACAGTATTTAAGGTAATGTGGATTCTCTAGAGCAGTGGTTCTCAAACTTTTTTTTGCCAACGGCACACTTTGGAAAACCTGAAAACATAGCGGCACACCTGGCTAAATGCATATGAAAAATATTTGAGTTTTGCAAAATAAAAACATGGCTAGTCAGCCTGCATACAACCGTAGACAGAGACTGGTCATAGACACATGGACGGACTCGAACTAAATAAAGAAAAACACAGATATGAACTTATCAGTAGACACCAGTGAATACTCAATTAGGATCATTTGGTATTTCGCCTTTTCTTAGTGTGCGGTCCAAACTTCCACAGCACACTTAGGAAGATCTCGTGGCACACCTGTGTGCCACGGATATTAAATGCAGAGTACACTCATAAAGTTTTCAGGAAGAACTTGGTCTTGTTCCAGGATATGATTTATATAGCATGTACAAAAAACATAATATTTCATAAAAATGTATTTATGTATATGTATAATTTAAATAACAATCCATTTGTCAACTTTTTTTTAAGTAACATTATAATAATATAATCTACATCTAGCAAAATTGTGAAAATGTAATATCCCTGGTCTTTATTATAAAGCTAATATTCATGTTCTAATGACTACCAGTATATCTGTATTTTAGTAAAATATTTATAATAACAACAATGGCTTGATTATACAATATTGGGAGTCAGACTCCAACCCAATGCTGAAACCTGCCTTATACTATTTTATATACATAGCAAACTAGTAAGTAATTATTGTCAGTCTGTAAGCTAAATATATTAACTCTTTAGAACTGCTTTTTTTTAAAAACAAATGCATGTTATGATAAACCAGATTTTTGAAAACAAGTTCTACGCTATCTGTGAAATCCTATTAACAAAAAATACAGTAATGATTAAAATGAATGATGATATTAAATGTAACTATGTAATGGATTTTATAAAACTTCACTTCAATTTCTTTACATTTCTGAGCAATTTTTCTGTGACATACTTCAGTGACATTCTATTGCACTTAAGACCATTATTTCATATTTCTTCAAATCTACAATTGATTGCTAATGACAAATTTTGTTATAAAGAAACTCTAATTTACAAAGACTATACTACTATAACACAAAATAAAATTATTACAACCGTTTTTGATGAACTTTTATCCAGAAAAAAATAAAAAATTCTATTACTGTCATATAAAAATAAAATTGAGATCAAAAATTGAAAGTTATTATTTTTGTGACACATTTTATATATTATATTTATCATTACCAATAAAGCAAATACAGTATATGGAATATATAGCGCACAACCCCATATACATGTTCTTACTGGTATTCTGTAACTTGCAAAACAATTATAACCCATCTCCAATCAACAAAATTAAATATATAATATAATGTATAGAATAATATAAAACTTGATCTAGTAAAAATAATACTGCACTAAATGTATTCATATCTTCGTATCCTATTTCTGTAAAAATCAGCAAACATTGGAAGATATCTGGATTTCCTTAATATAGCATCTGTAAACAAAGCCGTGATAATTTTAAACACAAAATATATATAGACAAAATATTGATAAACATGTAATTAAATGATAGATTTGACATTCAAATGTTTTGTGTTCCAATCATAAGTATGGTCAATCTGGTTAAGTATTGGAACAAAATGATCAGATCAACTTTAAAAATTTATATTTGACATTCAAGCACTGTCATCAATGATTCCAGTACAACTCTATCTTTTAATATGGCTTAAAATTAGTAGTAAATCGGACACATTTATTTATTTTGTGCATTGAATTTAACTGTTCCTCCTCCAAATACACAGTCCAACTGACAACGACTAGTTCTTCTTGTTCGGCCATTGATGTCATGAACACAATCTAAAAGTGTGGCATTTCATGATTGGTGTTCAAGACTTTTGAAAACTTTAATTTGGTAGCTGTCATGGTTTATCTATTGTTAAGAGAATAGAAATAGCGAGTTATCTCATTTATGTCACGAGATAAGTTCATGTATCTATTCGAAAACCTTTAAAACATTAAACTGAAGACATTCAAAAATAGTTTTTCATTTGACAATTTTTACTATGTACATGAATAATCACCAATTATTAAATTACTAGAAAATATCAACTCACCTTTTACTGTAGTTAATGGTTGAGATTGTTCAAAGTCTACAACATTCCAATATGAATCTTTTCGTGCTCGACATATTCCTGCCATCCATGCAGCTGCTATTAAAACCAATATTAAAAAAACTAAACACAAGTAAGCTCTTTCAGCTTCTAATCCCCTGCAAGAAATAAAGAGATAACTTCATTTATAAAAAAGAAATCTTTTATAATTCAGAATTGATGAGTCAAACTACCTTTGTATCAATGGACTGTCACACTGAATATATTCTTGGGAAAGAATGGTTCTTATGATTTATTTAGACCATATTTTTAAAACAGGCATTATATGTAAGATTTAGATAAAAAGCTGCTGTTCTTGCTATAAAAATTTAAAATAGAAAATGAAATATGAATATATTGAAAATTTTACTCAAATTACTTTATAAATGTTTGAAGTTTTGACAAAAAAAGTTCCTATTCTCGATTGTCAAAAACCATTATCATGATAGTAAATGAAATTTCGATTTTCAGTCCTTCAATTGGCCATCACCATGAGTACCACCATATTATCGTTTAACATAGATATGACAGGCAATGTCTAATATACTCAATACCTAAGCCATCTAATTGCCTGAACAGTTCAATATGGATTTTTTTGAATATATGTCTAAATGATAATTTATATGATATTTGAAGCCGGAAAAGAACCCTACAATAGACAAAAAAAGCTCTTTAATACAAAGTATCAGGTGAAATAAATGCACTGAATATACCAAAATTCATCTAATACATGGTTTACACTGTCACTATTTACTAACAAAAATAGACTGTGTAGACTGGGCAAAAAATGAGTGAAATGAAATGAAATGGGGTTTAACTTTCTACCGTTCTGCTCCGAACTGGACTAATGAAGACGGGACAAAAAATGAAAACAAGCAATGAGAACAAGGGTTGATGATGAATGGTGGTGCACTTCTATAATGATATCTGTTCGATCAAGAAACATTAGACAATTCTGATAGAACCAGAAAAATCTGACAGGGTATCAGTGTAATTTTTGAAGAGCCAATTATAATATGTCATTATTTTGCAATAACCTCAATCCAGGTCAAAAATATAGTCTGTTACATTATGAACAGAGGGAGAGAAATGGGGTTTAATATACCCCTCATCGGTCATCACAAACTAGCACGGGGCATCTTTAGCTGTGGAAAGAAACTAGAGAACACCCACAAGATTAGTAAAGGTGATACTACTCCTTGTAACCATCAATCCTTGGATAAATTTCATCAAACCACAAACACTAACTCAATGACAGGCCAAGGATTCAGGCATTATTTCTTTAAATATGTTAATCAAAACATAAGGTGTCCACTTACACAAGTCTATTAATATATAACTGATGGAGATGCTTCTGCATGTGACTTTCATTATACTTATTATACTTAATATGAGTATCTAAGTTATTAGCTTTGGATGTGTTTATAGTTTCTGGCACCACATTTCTCTTAATTATCGTCTGATTAGAATTATTTTCTATGTCTCTATGTTTTAATCTTGCAAACCGTTTTCTGTAAACAGTAGAACTGGATCTTCTTAATAGATTAGAATGATGTTTCATCCATTTGTGTTTTGAAAATATCTGTTTGTTGTTATTGTTATGATGTTCCGGTAACACATCAAAGCTATCCGGAAGACTAAGTATTTTTCTTTTAATTTTTCTGATTATTGCATTGTTAAATACATGTAGTTGAGCTTGGGTTGCTTTAGGTTGTGATTTCATAGTTGATTGGGCAGAAATTATTGTGTCATTTGTAATATCTCTGTTCTGTGAATTTATTCCTGGGAATGGGTTATCACAGTCAGTCCTCTTTAGAATTGCCTGCAAAAAAATAAAATAAATCAAGTTGCTTTAGGAATTTTGAAATTGTTAATGGGATTGAAGTACAATTTTAAATTTAAAAACAGATCTTTATTCAAGCATATCAGCTTTAAACTGAAAGAAGTCATCAAAGTTGATTGTGGCCATGTTGAACATGTTGCAACTTACATGAAGATCTTTTAATTCTAGTGAGAGAGAGAGAGAGGGTGAGAGAGAGAAAATAAAATGGGGTTTAATGTTCATTCACACAAACTAGGTCCTTTTGGGACTACCAGTACCAGTAACATGGTACAATTTTATTTCAATAAATCGCTTGTCATAGGTTTTTTTTTAGCATGTAAGGTAATTAACCGGATGACCAATTTTGACAAAAATAACAATTCACTCATAACATAATTATCTTAAATACTCTTTGATAATCTGTTTGAAGATGGCTACATAGGATTAGTGGTGATTAACTAGTAACGAATCCCTAATTATAGGTACTTCGAGTCGGGGTGTTCTCATCCAGCTCAAAATATTGATTAAGGGTTTAGGGCTGGGGGATTATGGTCTGTAGCTGAAATGTGTTCACCTAAAATTAGATATGGATTAACCGTTTAATAAGTGTCATGTGAACTGTGTTTAATAAGTGTCATGTGAACTGTGTTTAATGGTCAAAGAGACATCATGCTTTATGTAGATGCGGTATCTCATCTTGTCCATTTAGAGTAAAAAGTATGTAATGTTTACTTGCCCATATGAAATATATATTTTTAATGTTGATGCTCATTTCATAGTGCTATTTAGTTATTTATTTTTTATATTAAGTTTTTCCATTTACATTAAAAGTGTTAAAATAAACATGTTTTACTATAATAAATGTTGAATAAAACAATATCAAGTGATTTTGTTTTACTATTAGGTTTAACCTAATGAAATAAACAGTGCCCAATGTGAAACAGACTACAGCTAATCCTTCTTTAGAAATTCCAATTAACACCTTAGTCACGCTAACATGATTATTTAAGTTTTGAGCTGGGTGAGAATGAACCCTTCGAATCACACCCCTCTAATTCGATTAGGTAACTAACATGGGCTAGACATTAATCATTTGTTTGTTTCTACCTAAGGTAAAAGAAACGGCCCAAAATAACCCATTTAGACCAGCCAATGACAAAATAAACAAGCCAACAGTGAGGCTGATGTCCCCCACCGAAATCCCAAAATAAATAGATGACACATATTAATTAAAGATACATTATGGGAGATTCAATAAGTTGGCAGTTCTCACTATAATAGTTAAAACTAAGGAATGTAAAGGCAATTTGCTGAAAATTTCATTCAAATTGATCCACTATGAACCGAGAACTAAGCGATTGAAATTTCCGCCTAGTCACGAACATCATTACTAAAGTCAGTACGATAAACAGCATAGTCTCGATTATCCATTTAATCATTAAATCGAGAAGGAAAGTTATGCAGTAAAGATCGCAGGCTAGTGATGCCATCTAGAGTTGATTATGGTCTGGATAGGTTAATTAATGTCTAATTAATAATTTAGATAACATTTCAGGCCTAAAGAAAGACCTGCAATAGACAGATTTACCTATTGCATAATGTATGTTTAATAGCACATTTATTTTTTTCAAAAGTATCGAGCAATCAAACTATACACTAAGTTTCATCAGTCTCTATCAAATAGAATCAAGATTATCTTGTCCCAAAGCATTGAATAATAAAATTGCTTCGCTCTGCTTAGCTTTAGCTCGAAATGTTAATCATTGAACTCAGTAATGAACATCTACATCAAGTTTAAACATTCTACCTCAATTAAAAACAGAGTTGTTATGTTCCAAAGTCTTGACCAATCAAATTGCTTATCACTCCTTAGCTTAAGCAGAAGATTCTCACCATTGAACTGTTATAATGAATCTATATTCAGAGTTTCATCGCTCTCACTTCATTATAACCAAAGTTATCGTGCTCCAATGCATCAACCAATCAGATTGCTTATCTCTGCTTACTGTAAGCATACAATGTTCATCATCGAACTCCATCAAAAGAAATTGCTTATCCAATTGCTTATCGCTCTGCTTACCCTGAGCAGAAAATGCTCATTATTGAACTTAGTCAAGGTATTGATGTAATGAAACTATACACCAAGTTCCATCACTCTCACTTAATTAGAACTAAAGTTATAGTGTCTCAAAGTATCAACCGATCATATTGCTTTTCTCTGCTTACCCTAGGCAGAAAATGCTCATCTTCGAACACCATCAAGGCATTGACCTAATAAACACCTACACCAAGTTTGAACATTCTAGCTCTTATTGTGTTCCAAAGTCTCGGCCAATCAAATTGCTTATCGCTCTGCTTACCCTGAGCAGAAAATGCTCATATCGAACTTAGTCAAGGTATTGATGTAATGAAACTATACACCAAGTTTTATCGCTCTCACTTAGTTAAAACTAAAGTTATCGTGTCCAAAAGCATCAACCAATCAAATTGCTTATCTCTGCTTACCCTAAGCAGAAAATGCTCATCTTCGAACCCATCAAGGCATTGACCTGATAAATACCTACACCAAGTTTGAACATTCTAGCTCAATTAGAAAGAGAGTTATTGTGTCCCCAAAAATGTGACGGACAGACATACATACGGACGGACGGACGAACCCATTTAAATAGTACCCTGCTTTCACTTAAAAAGCTGTATCGTGTACCGGTACATATTAAATTAATTTTTATGTAATGTATAATAAATATCATTTGATTAAAGATACATTATGGGAGATTTTTATAGAGAGTTGGCCATTCTTGCTATAACAGTTCAAAAGTAGATGATGAAAGAAGAATATATTGAAAAATTCAGTCAAATTACTTTATTCTGAACATAGTTATCATCGTTGTAATATTTGCCTAGAAATGGTAGCGAATTGTGTGTTCACCTTCGCTGATCGTTTGATTGACAGGCGTTAACTCCACCTACATATCTCGATTATCAAGTAAAGTTTTCAATGGCATACGGAAACGCTTTACAGCGGCCTCGCTAAGTACACTCTATCATTTAGCCTCGATCTAACAGACGTATTTTCATCAGGTTACCCGTTATCTGATTTAATCAATTAGTGAAATCCTATTTAAATCCGAGCGGTAGCCGAGCCATCCGTGGGTCTACAGAGTTGATTTTGGTCTTGTTGTTTGAATAAAGATCTAATTTATAATTTCTATAACATCTGAAGCCTAAATTAAGACTTGCAATAATCAGATTTAGCTCTTGCATAATGCATGTTTAATACAACAAATGTTGAGTTTTATTTTACTGTTATGACCAAATTTTTTGACCATTACGACCAAATTTTGGGGCAGTTATGGTTTAGGGACGTTCCATAACAGATTGATTACCAGGTACCATCATTTCCTGATCTGTTATAGCTATAATAGTCTGTCGAATTAAATAGTAAAAATTAAAGAAGAAATAAGCCATACATTTAAGCCAATATCTGAATCTTTGTTTAATTCCATTCAACTTTATGTGCTGAGGAGACATGGACCTTATAATTATAATGCACGTATAATTATAACATAACTTATAAGCATGATCGAGACAATTAAAACGTAATTATATTTATTTCCGTGTTCAAAGTGATAATGCATTTAAATAAATGTAATAAATCATTCCAAAATGATAATGTCTTAATTCACTGTCAAAGAACGTCAATTAATTATAATCCCGCATATTAATATTGAAATTCGATTATGTATAAAATTGTGAGAGAGAGAGAGAAATGGGGTTTAACGTCCACTCGACACAAACTAGGTCATTTCGGGACGAACATATGATTTAATTTTATTTACATAATTCGCTTGTGCGCAGGGGTCTTCAGCAGTGGGAGGAAGACGGAGAAAACCCACAAGGTTGGACAGGCGATCCTACCCCTTGCCACGTACAACAGGGGATTCCAAAACCACGCCAGTCGACTCAATGACAGACTTTATGATACAGCGCGCGCACGCTAACCATTCAGCCATCCAACCCCCCCCCCCCCCCCCGTAAAAAAATTAAAATTGTATTTCTTACCAAAACTAGTATTGTCAACGCAGTAAATAATTGGCATTTCGTCTGCATAATTTGTAAAAAGGGGAGGACCATTGGTCTCTCATCATAATATAATAGATTAATTTTCGAGACTTTGATAAAACACAGAAAAATCTGATTAAATGTACAGCTGTTTCAAAAGTTCTCCTCGACGTCAGCCATGAAATGAAAGTCAACGGAAATAACCCTCAAAGTCAACAAGCTTTGGTTGACCAGCCTCTCCTATCACTAAATTTGCATTTTTAAACTTGGCGTAATCATCTTTTACTGAACTTTGGTTCCAGCTTATCTGAACAGCTTATCTTATTAGAGGAGACTATATTATCTGTTACTGATCGACACTGAATAACAGTAAAAAAAAAAAAGGCAAAAATAACCCATGACGATACCCCAAAAAACATATGAATTACCTCCCATTAGTAGGCGTGTCAACAAGTCACACCGTAAACACAGCAGATCATTTGATCATTTAGCATTGTAGTTTGTACTACATTTTTAATTTAGGGAGATAATTAAATTTTATTTCATGTATGGTTTTCGAGATCAATTTTATTGATTATATATATAGGCTACTAACATTTAATTTAATTTTGTAAATTACAAACCAAAAGCTATTATTGAAATCAGTATTTCTTGACATTGCGAGTAGATTATTGCACAACTACATGTACATCACAATAATAATTGTTTTCATTGACATTGGAAAATATTGATATGTGAATCAATTTCCTTGTATTAAGAAATATGCAGAATCTAAATACATAGATAGTTGTCAGCATATAGGACTACAACCAAATATATATGACTTTGATGATTTGTGTTTCACATATGAACTGCAGGAGTTATATATATATAACTGTAAAAGTGAAAGAATTATAGTTAAAATATACCATCAAATCAAGCAAAATAATTCTAAACAAAAAATGAGTGACACATCAGCTAGACCTACTGGAGGGAACCACTTAAGTAAAGAGGAGGTTGCTTTTCGTTTATCAAAGCGATTGTGTTATATTTTAAGATATGGAGCGGTTAAGTCAGGGCTACGTGTCAACGAACATGGTAAGATATAAATGGAAAATAAACATACCTGTAGAGTGTATAACCAAGAATTTAAATGTAATGCTTTGGGATTCTCATTACGGTATATTCTTTCATTAAAAAATGCAGTCATTTTATTAGAACAAAATATTATAACATGTCTTTTTAAATTAAGTTTAATTAATTACACAATGATAAAGATCATTAAAATGTTGTTACTAATGCGAAATAGTAGATCAATGTTAAAAGAGTAGAAGGGTGTAAAGACATTAGTTAGAACTTAGATACTAAACTATGAAACAGTTTGATAATAAATAATACTTCAGTTGATAAAGAGGTCAGACTATAGCTACTGCCAAACTGAATTACTGTTATTTAAATAAAAAGAAAAAAGAAAGTAAAATATTTTGTTTTAAATAAGTAATATTGGAGATTAGTGTCTTAACCAATTTATATAAATTACCGGTACACTAAAATTTTAATATATCATCATTTAGTTCAATTTAATGTCAAATTGTTTCTGCTTTTATGGTTGTAAACCTGTATGTTACCTACTTTATGAATAATCCATTATTATTGATCCAGGTCTGAACCTATATAATTCCATGAGTAGTAATAGGTATAGTGCATGAGGCAGAATGTCTATTTTTGTCTTGAACATCCCATACTAAGTCTTATATAAAAATTGTATTTCATCCAAATACTGAGTAAAATTGTATTAATTAAACTGTTTTTTTATCAACAATATTTTCACTATTTCAAGGGTTTGTACCGGTTGAAGAGTTGATAAAATTACCAATGTTAAAATGGCACTCAAAGGAAGACATACTGCAAGAACTCTCAACATCAATATCTACCAGGAATGTTAACAGGTTCGAACTTCTGGAGCAAAATGGAGAAACATTGGCTAGAGCAGTGTATGCGAGAAACTTTGAAAAGGTATGACAATTGACAAGTAACAAATGTCTAAATCAATCACAACATCTTGATTATTTGAACCGATTGGCCAAGCTATTTTGTAAAATGTTGTTAATTAAAGCTGCAATTTCATATTTTTAAGTTATATTTTTAAAATATATTAAAATAAAGCCTTAAAATAGATGGTATCCATAAACTGTCCTACCTTGTTAAAGAATAATCCTATTAATCCTATAAGTCACTATTGTCAGCTGAGAAATTGGCAAAAATATCATTTTCAACTTCAAATTCCAACGTTTGAAGGTGCCTAATGCATGGAGGCAATAGGAAAACAAGGGAGGTAATTGTGTTATTATTTCCTGTGTCAATGATTTTTAAGGGTGGGAAATAATGCCCATGGTCGTATAATAGTGAGTTGATAACCTATTGAGCAAAAGACATAGAAATAATTATGTTTTGACTTTCTTAGAAAATATGAAATTATCGCTTTAATATGTAAATTTAGTAGTGTATTTAGCTTAGTTTATTAGTTACTAGTATATTATTCTCTAATATCATTTCAGGCACCAGTTTCTACAGAAAGCCAAGAATCACAAATAGACTCATTATATGATGTGTGTTTACAAAAAATCATGGATAATTTAAATGATTATGACTTAAGTGATTTTCAAGATGAACATACAATAAGGTACAATATTAATCTACATATTTTAAGGTGAACCATAATAGAATGGAATCTCAACCAAGATTCTGAATCAGTTAATAAATACATAAGCTACTCTCTCATGAACGTTTTGAAATTTCTGTCTTAAGCCCCGATTCACATAGTTTATTTTATGTTTTAATATCTTCACAATGCTTTCCTCTTTTTCAGAATAATGATCTACAGATTAAAATCGCAAAAGAAACTAAACATGAAGGGATTGAAAGTTCTGCTTGTGCCTACATTAGAACACCTTGATTTTGAAGGTTTATATCTTACAGAAAATATCTTCAAATTGTTGTGGAACAACTGTCCAAATTTAAAAGAATTAAGTCTTAAAAACTGTGGTTACATTGTGACAGATACCTTACTTATTCAAATTCTAAAGGTAACTAAACAGTCCAATCTATGACACAGAGTTTATAAATGTCTATGACACAGAGTTTATAATGTCTTAAAATGGCAGAACCTTTTCTTTGAGTGGAAAAAAGTGTATCATTACACATTTAGATTCAGCATACATTTATCTATAGCTGATAAATGTTTTAACTGATGGCAGTTCACTTTTTTTTCGTAACTCAAATTGTGGTTATTTGATTGGCCTATTATCAATAACACATCACAAGTGTAATCAAACTGGAACTTATAACTTCCTTTAAAAAAACAAAATTCTGTCATGCAAAATTTTAAAGTTTGGAGAGTTTAGGCTATGACTTATTTTAGTTTTAATATGAAAACCATCAATTATTTTGGTACATTAGTAATGCTAAATCTTTTTATTTTCAGAAATTACCCAAGATTGAAAGGCTAAATGTAGCCTTTTGTAATCATTTAACAGACAAAACATTAGAAACTATTGTAAAATATATACCACAAATAAAGGAGTTGAATCTCAATAAAATAAATAACTTTAGTGAAGAGGCCATAATCAAATTCTTATCATCGACTCCAGAATTAAAACGACTGGATGTATATAATTTACGAACAACTGAACAAGGTAGGGTGAAAATATTACAGTTGATCAGAAGTCATGGAATAAAGTTTATCTGCCGTGGGTTTGAAAATGAGGATGTTGCACCAGAAATGCCAGCATATCTGTGAAAACAGTTAAAATATAATTTCAAACAGTGTGATATGAAGCCTAAGTGTGATATGTAGCTAGTGCGCAAGAGTACAATACTCTCATATTTTTCATTCCTGGACTACCATAACATTTGTTTTTTCTCACACACCCACCTGTATTATTATTGAAATGACAAAGACTGTATTAAATGTGTAACAGCCATTTTGTGAAGAATTTGGGAGTTGAGCCGAGATGCACCGAATATGCTTTTTGACTTGATCAAAATAAACTGAACTACATTTATTTTTTCAAAAAAATGCAGAATATTTCATTTGTATTCAGGTAAATCCTGAACAGGGATTTAGGGAATAGGCCCAACTCGTTAGGCCAGGAAAACATATTTTTCCTCTTACATCTCAGGGACAATTACAATTTTTTTTTGATAGATGTATAGATATGTATAGTCATTAATCATATATTTTAATCAGTTTAACTAAATTTATTTCCATTATTATACAGATAAATTTACATAAAATATCCCCCCGCCCCCAACCTATTGATGTGCTAGGGGAGGTAATTTACATCAATATAATTTTAGATGGCCTGTTACTTCATCTATTAGTGATGCTGGACCTGAAATGGAAAGTTTAAATAAAAAATAATTTTTTAAAAAAAGGGAAATCAGAGAAAAACTTTCACTGAAGTCAAGATTTTTAAAAGAATGCTGAAATACCGGTGTGTATTCTGTTAATGCTATTTGTTATAGTTGATTAATCCTTAAAAATAACAAATATTGTGATATGGTTACATTTTAATGTGGGGTTTATTGTAAGGCCCTAATATCTCAGAAAACAGCAATAATTGGATGACGACAGTAGATGGTTGTATAAGATGTGATAATAGCACAGGAGTGCTGAAAAATATGAGTATAGCTCTTTCATTGAGTGCAAATTAATGAGAAGGAAACTGGTTTGGATTTCAAACAAATTACACAAACTTTCTATTGATCTAAAGAAAAATCTAGTCACAAGTTAGAAAATGTTTTTAATTTTTTAAATCCAAAAAATGGTTTCAAAACTGACAAACCCACTTCTGGAAAACATCCATTCAGTTTACATCTGCCATTTTGGTTTAAATCCAAGAAATTGAAACTAAAACCACTTTCCGTGTGATAAATTTACCCTGAATAATTCTCATATTCCAAACACCTAAGAATTTTCAGTAAACATGTACATATAATACTAATATGTGCTCACCTGGTCCTATTCCTAGAACTGTTTTGGAACCTGGAGCAATTTGTGTTCTACCAGCATCAGCTATAACACAACATGTTAAACCTACACTTTCAGCTTTCTTACTTAATGCCTTTCTGAAAATATAAATTTCAAGTATACATGTATGTAGTTCATCAACCCAACAGTGAGGCTGATGTCCCCCAGCACACTGATCAGCAGTGAATTTTCGCTAGGCTGCTACAATCACTGATAAGGATGACATCGATGCCACTTAATGAGTCCAAAATATTAACTTTTTTCTTCCGTCAAATACAATTCTAAAACATTTTTTTCATTTATTAGAAAAATAAATAAAGACATTTGAATTGTTTGTAGGTAAAAATCATTTCCTATTTAGTGTAAATGGGTATTAAAATAAGTAAAATTCACCATTTAGTCCGAATCAGTAACGTCTTATGTGAGAGAGAGAGAGAAATGGGGTTTAACGTCCACTCGACACAAACTAGGTCATTTCGGGACTAACATGGTTTAATTTTATTTCAATAATTCGCTTGCGCGTAGGGGTCTTTAGCAGTGGGAGAAAACCCACGAGGTTGGAGAGGCGACCCTACTCCTTGTCACATACAACCGGGGATTCGAAACCACGCCAGTTAACTCAATGACAGGTCGTATGATACAGCACGCCATGCTAACCATTCGGCCATCCAACCCCCCAACGTCTTATGTAAACAATGCACATGCTATTGAGCTAATGATTGATGCCGCGTGATGTGACGTCACGTGTCACAACAGTCATCTATAACAGAGATAATAAAAGGTCTCTGTAAAACAGATTGGTCCCCCAGAAGCAATCCCAATATAAATGACATATTAATTAATTGCACATTTATGATTTCATAAAGCATCAAGCAGTCAAACTGTTTATCTATAGTCTAAGCAGAAACTGCTCATGATAAAACTTAGTCAAGGTTTTGATTGATCAATGAATTTGCGTATCGTTCTGCGTACCTGACCACAAAATGCTCATTATTGAACTATACACAAAGTTTTATCCTCTCACTTAGCCAAAGCAGAGAACATTCATCTTTATACTCCACCAAACCATTTACCTAATAAACACCTTAATGAACAAACTCAATAATACAAGTAGGAGAGTTATTGTGACCAAAAAAGTTTGGAGAACAGACCCATTTTAAAAGTCCCCTGCTTCCCTGCGGTGGTCAAAAAGTCATGCTATTCTGATGTCTAACAATCAGAATAAAGACCTCTGGTGACTAGTCTCATGACTCTCATCTATATAGAGATAACTGTCAAATGTATAAGTATCATGGCATTAGGTTGCAGATCATGCTATAATTTTCTTATTTCACTGTTATCCCTATCAATATTGTTCATTATTTTACATTGCTGCTACGTACTACTACAGTTTGTTAGAATCAAATTATAAGAACACAGGATTCAAGGCCATTGAAGATGTATTTTGGTCAGACAGTGACAATCATGATAACCTCTGTCTCAGATCATAATTAAACTTACAGAGAAGCCTCATCTTCAACTTTAACAACAACTTTAGGCTGCCCGTGACTCCTCCAATACGCTAAAGCTTCTCTGTTATTTTGAAGAGCATTTTCACAACATCCAACAGCTGCATGAGCACACTACAATGAAAAGAAGACTTGTAACTAAATTAAAGCAAGTAAAGTTAAGTGGCGTTGAAAGAATACTCTTCCTTCAGTATGTGAAACTAACCTGTATGTCATTATTTTCAATCTACTTGGAATTTATAGGAATTGTTTACATTAGTGAAAGGAAGAAGCCTTTTGAAGTACAACACTATTACATGTACAATATTACTCTAACAATATTTTTCAGAATAAAGATTTCGTTGGGTCACACAGCAAACATCTTTATGGACTGCTTGGACGATTTAGCTGTAGTGGGAATATGTTTCAATGCCTGGCTTGGTTTTACATTAGGCTATTATATGATATTGCACTTTGTTAACAATCTTGAAGAAGAATTAGCTACATGTATATAGATTCAACATATAAAGCAGGGGGCAAGTTACCAAATGAAAACATTTGCTAAACATGTTATTGTTCATACGTAACACCAAACATATATATACATGTATATTTAATGAGTTGTTCATAAACTAATTTAAATTTTCTCACCTGAGCTGCTGCTTTTCCTTTCCCCATTTTTAAATCATTTCTGACAACTAATACCATTTTATATTCTCCAGTAACAGCAATGGCTGGTTCACTAAGCTACAATGAAAATTTATAAATCAAGATGTTATGATGTTGCTATCTTCACGTCCCAACATGCCATAATAATCAAAAATACTTTTGGTCCAAGAATTATTCAAATTAATTAATTTTAACTAAAGTTACTGTTGATTTAAGTTTACATGGGTTTATACTGCATTTAATTCACACCACCATCTTTATCTTTCTTACGAGTCTTAGTCTTAAATATAGTAGGCTACTGGTAATAATAATTTTGCTATCATTTTCCTACAAGCCAGCCAATTGTACATGAAAAACTCATTTTAAAGGCCTACTTAGATGTGCTTGTAATTAAAATTACATTATAGCAACAGTTTTTACATTAAAATAGTGCAAATTTGATTTTAGGCATATAATAAGCTTAAATTCAGATGAAAATTTTAACATCTATTTTCAAGCTGCACAATTGGGATGGGGGATATGGAAGGGGAAGATTCAAAATGTACATGTACTATAATTGAATACAGTAAAACAGATTGTACGATAACACAAAAAATTAAAACTGTCCACAATGAATGAATGAAAGTGAAAGGAAAGATTTTGTCACCTAAAGAACACAGTTCTACATCTATATTCTAACATAAAATAAAGTTAGTGGTGGACAAGTTACTTATATTCCCAGAAAACTATAGGCCATAGGCCATAATTTACATACATCTTTTGATACCTGTTTGCTTCCCGCATAAACACTTCCTCTGGATAATCTAGATTTTAAAACCCATCCAATTGTTATACCTATACTAAGGCCAGCCACAATTGAAGCTGTTGGACTCTCAAGAATTTTATACATAATATTAATAATCTAAATTAAAACTTATATGCTAAAAAAAAAAAGTATAATTGGAACACTGATTAAATTCTCACTCGGGCAAAAACAAATTAAATTCTGTTTCTAAAACTATAACATTTTCCCAACTTTTTGATAATGAGTGTAGCAATTCCTTTATTTTATGATGGAAAAGACAAGTTCGTTTGGGACAACTCTTTATCTTACTCAGTTCGGTTCAATGAATATTCACTGACTTTACATTTTGATCATGACACAAGCATTCAGCTTCGGTGTGATATTAGGCCTAGAAGCAAACGCCTGCACAGTTATAGGCCGTTAATGTTGTTAAGTCTTGTCAAACGTTCTTTATTATATCTTTCGTTTACCGCGAATAATTCGAGCATTCATGAGTGGCAATGTCCACAACATGCATAACGGCACACGCTTCCTGAACTGTAACCGGTTCTTTTATTTACTCCACCTTTTGGCCTATCAAATCAGAGAACCGTTTTCGGTATCTTTTCCGGTTCAATCTCAAGTAACTTCCGGTTTAAGTTTTTAATTTATTTATTTTGACAATAAAAAGTGTTTAACTTTAAGCATGACTCTTTTTGACAATATTAAACAGCTTCACCAATCAGAATTATATGGTGAAGTGAAGCAATTGGTAAGATATGTAAAACTAGCAGCAATAGCAAACCTTATGTTAGGCCGCTATGTCAATGGATGGATTATGTTTAACTTCTAGTTCTCTCCTCTCAGACTCAAGACTTCTCTTCTATCTCAACTGTGATACTGTCACTCCTTAGCCAAGGCTTAGGCTTAGGCCTAGGGTGGGGGGGTGGCTGATAGTTCAGCTTTTAACGTAGGTCTCATTACACTCGCCCTGTATGTTCAGGAACTGTCCTATTGAATTCTTGTCGAAAATCTAATTGCTCCCCAGTCAATTTTACTGGGCAACATTCTAGTTGTTTCTCTAAACAGTTGCGTGTCAGCCCCTGTGAACGCCTGAACAATATAAATGAACATCTTAGTGAGTAAATAAGACCTTGCTTACCTTGCTAGAACCAGTATAATCGACACAACACCCTGTTAAAAAATACGTCCCCGTCTTCTAACCGACTTGGTGGACTTCATTGAAAGGGTAACGCACAAATTTACGAACTCGGCCATATAAGTCAGATGAAACGAAATTTAGGTAAGCCTGGGAGAAAAAAATTGAAATTTTTGAAAAGTTGAGAATCTTCTGACATTTATTGCTTTGCTTAGCCAAATAACAATAATTTACAATCAATTTTTTTCAAAATTCCCAAATTGGGCCCCCATATACGCATACACATATCTGAGGATTTATGTGCACATAACCAGGCTTCAGAAACACGAACATTGCACTTTGATAAAAAATTTATAAATCTTTCTACTGTTTGTTATAAAGGTATTTATTTCAACTATACAAAAATAGCACTGAAGTTTACGGTAATTACTTTACAGCAGATATTTTGGGACATTCAGTCACATGATCAGTTGACGTATAATAGCGAAGATTATCTGCCGAATCGAATTTAAATCTTATTTTTAGCACACACACGCTAATTATGCAGTGATTTTGAAAATTATTTGATAGAGGACAGATCCTTCATGGGATGTCTGACATCCTACTTTCTTCTTTAAAAACTTGAAGGACTAATCAGCTCAAAGTTGACAATCTGCGCACCCATTTGATACGCGCAGATTACAATCGACACGCGCAGGATCTAATCAGCGGGGACAGAGTAGAATCTGCGTAATACGTCCAGTCCATGCAGATTGCAATCTGTCTGAGGGGTGAAGAATGTGCCCAACAAACACACTGCATATCAAAAAAGCTTCTCTTGAAGTGAACTGTAATATAATGATTTTGGTAGCCAATATATTTACGATCATGTCGAGGAAATATTTCCTATCTTTATTTTTTTTATTTAGGCTACCATAGCTTTAACATTATGTGACAACAACACAGAAGCAGAACTCTTGTCACCATCACAACGATATCAAGTCCTTGTTTTCCTTGCAGATTCTCTCTGTTATTTAACAGAATTTAAAAAATCAGAGGTTTGTAGAAATGAATTAAGCTATGCGTTTTTGTTATTCCCAATCATATTTTAAAATAAAAGAAGAAATTTAACATCCCACAGCAAAAGCACAATTTTTTTTCTCTTTGTTACATATATTTGTAATAGTATATAGTATATTGGAATACTCAGAGTGACCCTTTTTTTCGATACATGTGCAAATAATTATATTAATATTATTTTTTCAGTGTATTTATCGTAAAGCTCTGCTGTTTAAGAAAGCTATAAATAAAGTTGCAAAAGGAAAATGTGGAAATGTTACAGTAAGAACAATATTTGATTTTATAAAATTAAATATTTATATGTATATTGAAAGAACTATAAAGCATTAACTTTGTATACGTTTAAAAACTTAATACATGTAATTAAATAGTTAAAACCCATTTATGTCTCTTAGACATGGATATGCAATTTTAATGTTTTTATCAAATTTTTTTTTTTATCAATTCCAATACAAAACTGACCCGACGAAAATGACCACCCTTGTCAAACCACATATTTGATTTTAGCATGAAATTACACATATATGAATTACAGTTTATATACTATAGATACGACATTAAAACTGTGTATATTTTTAATTGTAGGAAATAACAACAGATGTAGAAGTAAAGTATAGATTGTATAACTGCTTAACAAAGATGGAACAAGATAAAGAAGCTTTAAATGTTGTAAGTATCAGTATTTATATTTGAAATGAACTATATTGGTCAGTATATCTTGGAAACATTTAGACTGAATCTACCACAGTAACTTTTATAACTACTGATTAAAGACTATCAAAGTTAAAAGAGGATGAAAGAAATCTGTGCTAACAGCAACATGTTACAGCAGACTGAAAACATAATGTGAATGGAACTTAAATGATAGATATTGTAAAATTTTGAAAGTGTAAAATGTTGGACAGTTTACCTGCTTGAACTCTATAATGAAATCACAGAGTAATACAAGTATTAATGTATGAAATGTTGTCATGTAAATTTATCATTGAATATTATAGTTAGAAAGCATCAACACAAAACAAAGAAATTCAAAAGTAAATCTAGCTTTAGCTAAACTGTATTTAAAAGATGGAAGAGATAGATCTGCTATAACATGTTATAAAGAAGTTGTCAGGTAATTAGTTTCATGTTTTCACAACTTTACCTGATTTCATATGTGTTCTGGTTACACCAAAATGACAGTGCTGGACAAGTCCGTTCCTACTGTCTGGACAGCATTGAGTAGTGAATCAAATGGGTACCATCCAGAACAATTCACTAAGTTAAGCACACCATAAGAATATTTGACAAATATGCTTTTAGTATTCCATTGTAGTCGTCCCCTGTTCGACCTTATTGAATATTTGATATATGTTTTAGATCATGATTTTTTCAGAGAACATCCTATGGCTCTAGAAGCTATTAATGGTTTATTGTCTCTGGGCATGAAATCAGCTGATGTTGAAGCTCTAGTGATGAATAGTTTACCACATGGTTCTAATTATGATTGGTAGGTAATATTTATATAACTCTCAATAATACCGTACATACACCATTATTTCTTTGTTTACATTGATACAGTCGTAGGTTCATTTCATTTGATAATGTGAGTTTTCTAAAGACTATTGTGTTACCACCCAGAATTAATATGCTTTGTGCTTGTCCATGAAAATATCATATGGTACTACTGTTTAGTTTCAACCTACTCATGATGTTTATATATCTGTAGGTTAACTGTGTGGATTAAAGGTCATTCCTATTTAGCATCTAAAGAATACAACTACGCTGTCTCTACATTTAAACTGATGGAATCTAAGGTAAATTCTAAATACACATGTTTTAATATTTGATCTGTTAATGGAGTACTTTAACCTGCATAATGCATATCCTTCTCATTAGGTTCTACTTCGTCATCACACAGTGAAATAAGTTCCTGTATAATGAAATAATCATTTATTGTTAGTCCGTCCACAATATCTGTAGGTTAACTGTGTGGATTAAAGGTCATTCCTATTTAGCATCTAAAGAATACAACTACGCTGTCTCTACATTTAAACTGATGGAATCTAAGGTAAATTCTAAATACACATGTTTTAATATTTGATCTGTTAATGGAGTACTTTAACCTGCATAATGCATATCCTTCTCATTAGGTTCTACTTCGTCATCACACAGTGAAATAAGTTCCTGTATAATGAAATAATCATTTATTGTTAGTCCGTCCAAACAGCTAGTTACTTGCTGACATTGATTTCAGATTTAATAACTTCCAAATGGTTTAGTTCTGTGATTGTTCAAAATGTACCAAATTATTCTCAACTCATCTGCCACTTTTATGGTATCTTAATTTATTCTCTCTTATTGTCCCCCGCCTTTCGAAGAAAGCAGGGGACTATTAAAATGGGTTCGTCCGTCTGTCTGTCTGTCCGTCTGTCTGTCCGTCCGTCTGTCCGTCCGTCCGTCTGTCTGTCCGTCACACTTTTTGGGACACAATAACTCTCTTCCTAATTGAGCTAGAATGTTCAAACTTGGTGTATGTGTTTATTAGGTCAATGCCTTGATGGAGTTCGAAGATGAGCATTTTCCGCTTAGGGTAAGCAGAGATAAGCAATTTGATTGGTTGATGCTTTGGGACACGATAACTCTCTTCCTAATTGGGCTAGAATGTTCAAACTTGGTGTATGTGTTGATTAGGTCAATGCCTTGATGGAGTTCGAAGATGAGCATTTTCCGCTTAGGGTAAGCAGAGATAAGCAATTTGATTGGTTGATGCTTTGGGACACGATAACTTTTAATTGAGCTAGAATGTTCAAACTTGGTGTATGTGTTTATTAGGTCAATGCCTTGTTCCACTTAATGAAATGAAGAAGCCAATTGAATTTCAACAATTTCCATTGATTGCTTCAAGAGTTATGAGTTATGACCCTTTTAAAATAAAAATTATAAAATTGGATTCTCAAATTGTATTACTGAAACAAGGCAGTCAATCAAATTTCAACAATTTAAATGTGATACTTCTATAGTTATGACCCCTCCTGACTTTTTAAATTGTTGTAAATTAACATTCTGTGTTTCGTTTATTGTCGCCCGCCTTTCGAAGAAAGCAGGGGACTATTAAAATGGGTTCGTCTGTCCGTCCGTCACACTTTTTGGGACACAATAACTCTCTTTCTAATTGAGCTAGAATGTTCAAACTTGGTGTAGGTGTTTATTAGGTCAATGCCTTGATGAAGTTCGAAGATGAGCATTTTCTGCTTAAGGTAAGCAGAGATAAGCAATTTGATTGGTTGATGCTTTGGGACACGATAACTTTAGTTCTAATTAAGTGAGAGTGATGAAACTTGGTGTACAGTTTCATTACATCAATACCTTGACTAAGTTCGATAATGAGCATTTTCTGCTCAGGGTAAGCAGAGCTATAAGCAATTTGATTGGCCAAGACTTTGGAACACAATAACTCTTCTTCAAATTGAGCTAGAATGTTCAATCTTAGTGTAGGTGTTTATTAGGTCAATGTCTAGATGGAGTTCGAAGATGAGCATTTTCTGCTTAGGGAAGCAGACATAAGCAATTTGATTGGTTGATGCTTTGGGATACGATAACTTTAGTTCTAATTTAGTGAGAGTGATGGAACTTGGTGACGGTGTATAGTTTCATTACATCAATCCCTTGACTAAGTTTGATGATGAGCATTTTCTGCTCAGGGTAAGCAGAGCGATAAGCAATTTGATTGGTCGAGACTTTGGAACACAATAACTCTCATTCTAATTGAGGTAGAATGTTCAAACTTGGTGTAGGCGTTCATTAGGTGAATGCCTTGATGGAGTTCGATGATAAACATTGTCTGCTTAGGGTAAGCAGAGATAAGCAATCTGATTGGTTGATTCTTTGGGGTACGATAACTTTGGTTATATAATGAAGTGATGGCAATGAAACTTTGAATATAGATTCATTATATCATTAGCTTGACTTAAGTTCGATGGTGAGAATTTTCTGGTTAGGCTAAAGAGCAATTTGAGGTAGAATGCTGAAACTGCATGTAAATGTTCATTAGGTGAATGTCTTGACTCAGTTCAGTGATTAACATTTCGAGCTAAAGCTAAGCAGAGCTAAGTAATTTCATTGGTTGATGCTTTGGAACAAGATAACTTTGATTCTCTCTGATAGAGAGTGATGAAACTTAGTGTATAGTGAGTGGATAATCAGTTTGATTGCTTGATATCTTTGAAAAAAATAAATGTGCGATTAATTAATATTGGTCATCTATTTATTTTGGGATTTCGGCGGGGGACATCAGCCTCACTGTTGGCTTGTTGTATATTATTCTTTCCCTTGTTAACCCTTGTGTATAAATATATCTTTACTGTAATATGCTTTTTCATTTTTTGATTGATAAAGATGAGAGGCCACTCATGGAAGCATCACTAGAAACATGCATTCAATTAACTTGTAATCTTTTGATTGTGTCATATAAACACAACACTAATCACTGGTTCGTACATATACTAGGACGTTTCGACAAGTGTTCTCAAATCATTATTGTGCTTGATAACAATACAAGAACACTTGTTGAAACGTTGTGTTATATGTGTGCAAACCATTGATTATTTTCCATATTAATAATAATTGTATTGCATTTATTGTGCTTGGTTGCTAAATGCCACTTAAGGTTTATGATTGTGTTATGTTTTATTCTGTGTGAGTTAGTATTTATATACTACATGTTTTTATTATAGTTAAATCTCCGAGATAGTGTACCTATACTCAGTGCTATAGCTGAATCTAAATTCTATGATGGTAATTATCAACAAGCGATGTTAGTATTTCAACGGGTAAGTCATGGTGTATATTAACACCATTGGTCATATTCTATTTTCATTATGTCAAATTATATTATCAGTAGCTGATTTCCATAACAACCGGGTATGTGTTATAGTTTATTACTCATTAGAGTACCATAAACTGTATAGCTATCCTGAAAATCAATTTCAAATGGCTTAAAATTTTGATCCGAAACATTTGTTTATATTTTTAAATTATTTAATGAGATTGTATAAGTTGATATCCTGGGATTGTTTCTTTGACTACATTTATTACTAAAATTTGAATATAATCGTTATTTGTAAATTGCAGTTATTGTACTGAGAAATATTTTATTTTACATAATAGATTAGATCTCTTGATCCATATTATATGAAGAATATGGATCTTTATGCATATATACTAGTAAGAGAAAGAAGTTCCAAGGAATTACAAAGGTAAAATTTATTTGTAATAACATTTTTAAAAATCTGAAGGATGCAAAGCCGGATTTCAAATCTTGTTAGTACAGATATTATTAATCATTCTATATCGAAAATTCCTAATTACATAATAATCTGTTAGAGAATAAACCTTAGGTTGTAGCAGATGATCAGTTAACAGCGAAGGAAACATTTTTTTAAATATCTTGAATTAGTCCATAAAAGTTTTCCATAAAGATTGATACATGTATGAATATATAACTGATGAATTTTTCATGTATTTACAGTTTAGCTCATGATTTGATAGCTATATCAGAACAAGCACCAGAACCATGGATTGCTCTAGGTTATATGACTTTAATATGTTCAAATAAAACAAGAGAAAAATTATCAAGAGCATTGTATTTTGGAGTAAAGGTAAAAATATTTGTGTTTACAAATATATAAATATATACATGCATTTTTTCCTTATATTTAAAAAAGATTACTTACACTACAAGAGCTGAAGCTCTTTGATTTAGGAACAAATAATAGTGTTGAATTAGTTTGATCTGGTTTCTTGTGGGACAATCTCAGTGTTTATCTTAAAAAACAAATCAGCAGATCAAATTTAATTAAACCACACATCTTTTATTTTAGCCAGATCAAGCCTGGTGTATTCCTTTAATATGAGTCATTCCATTTGATTGGCATACCATATTTACAATGCATTTATTTTATTCAGTCTTAAACCAAACCATCTCGGCTAGACTAACACTTATTATAATACTGATTGATAAAAAAAAAGACATTGGGTGATAATCAACATACAATTCATTCCATCCTATCAACAGAAATTAACAAAACAATAATCAATATCACCATATATTAGATGTACAGCTTGTAAAATGTGCAAATTGCCTCTTGAACAACAGAAAATACTGTATCCATTACATTGTGCCGAGAAATTATTAACTAATTTGAATGTTGTTTCTTTTTTCAACATGAACAGGCATATACGTTTAAACCAAAATTAGTTGAAGCTCTGTTATTAAAAGGTTCCACATTAGTAGAATTAAAGAAAACTCAGGATGCTATAGTACATTATCAGGAAGTAGTTAGATTAGCACCACATAGATTTGAAGCTTACCAAGGTGAGAAATTAATATTATCCATTATGTCATATCCAACTAGTGATAAAGTTTATTCCACTGTTATCACTTGCTAGTTATAATTAAGTACTCTTGTCCCTCTATGTTGATCATTTCCTCCATAAAATTTGATTTCATCTTTTACTGGAGTTGTTTTGATAAAACAAATTTTAAATAGGAGTTTTTATTTTTCACCATTTGTTTAGTTGTTTGGACACTGAAGGATTATATTGATTAATTCACCTGTGAAAATTTATTTTATTTTCTGATGACCGTCCTTCCATCCCCATTTTATTTCCAGAGCATATTTTATTATCCTTTCAAGAAATCTTTTTGAAACTTTGTACAAACATCAAACTATTATAGTATTTTATTTTCTGATGTATAAGCTTAATGTTTAACATACAGGAGCTGATTGAGGTAGACAAAGGTTGTTGTGCAAACCTTAAAGTGAGTAGTGAGTTACCGTGATCAGAGTATGAATCTTCTGACTAGTCCCATTGATATTCTAAGAAGTTGTTTTTCCTTATGCCTTCCAAACAAGTAAGGATGCGGGATGGTGATGATTAGTCATCTTGTTTTTGTTGCTACAAAAATCTGAATAAAAGTTTTTTTTTCACCAGGTTTAATAAACTGTTATTTAATAAGTTGGAGAATGAAAGATGCTATATCATGGTGTGGTCGAGCTATGAGAACACTAGGAAATAGTGCCAGAACTTTAACAGTAAATTATTTTCTCTTTAATTTATAATGATAGCATAAACATTTTATTAATTAAACTAGGAATATTAAACTTGAGACATAATAAATCATAACTTAAAATTGATCCCATTTCATATATATGTCTTTTCTTGATAATTTGTTTTAATATCTTATTTCAGTTGTCAGCTTCGGTGTTAGCCAAAGATCCAAGTACTATTTCAAAGGTAAATAAAATAATCACAGTACATGCTTCATTTTATCAAACAAAAAAAATGCTCTAAATCCTTTAATCATGTTAATATTTATAGAATTAATACATTACTTTTTGTTTATTTTTTTAGGCTAAACAGTATCTTGAGAAAGCCATGAGGTTTGATCCTACATATGTTGAAGCAGTCTATATTACAGCAGAAATTTTAATGCAGGAAAAAGCATACCAACAAGGAATTGAAATGTAAGTATTACATTCTTTGGTATTAATTCTATAGGGAGTTCCACGATATTTGACTTAATATATATAGGCCTATAATAGTTTTATGATCCAGGAACATTTTTCTATCGATATTGGACAAGTTACCATTATTAAAATTTTCTGTAACAAATTAGAAAATAAATAAAATGAATACTGTAGAAAAATATCCTTCACAAAAAAGTGGCAAACAAGATACAGTGTTTATAAAATATTATCTTTTTATGTGGACTCTTTGACTACTAAGTTCATGAATGTATGCACCAGGACCAAGTGAAGGTTGTGATTTGAAAATCCACTACAATGTCGCTTTCTTTGATTTAACCTACCAGCCTTTCTTGACATAAACATGTGATGGTCGTGGGACAAAAAAACTAATTGTTCATCTTTCAGGGCACAACATCATTACAGGGGCTTGTGTTCTAAATTAATCTTTATGAAATAAAACTATCTTTTATTATAGATTAAAGAAACAGTTATCAGTGCAGACTAAGACTTCAGCCAGACTACATCAATTATTAGGAGATTTTCAAGCACAGATGGGTTTTTATGCTGATGCTTTAAGTCAGTATAGTACAGCGTTAGGGTAAGACATTGACACGTTTAATAAAATATTTGACATGACACTTGATTTCTATTAGACAAAATCACAAATCTGTCATAAGTTTTATCTGTGATGCTGGGCTGACGAGGGGAAGTGGCTCTAGTTACGTTACTAGAATGTTACGTTGGGATTCAGTTGGTATTTCACTTCAAAGATTTTTGGTTCTTTTAAGTCATTAGAAAGGAGCCAGTAACGCTTCCGTCTGTGCAAAGATTTTCTCCCCATTATTTGCGCATATAGAATTAAAAAATAAAAATTATATAAATGACCTTTGTAAATTCCTTTCAACATGTTATATGATTTAGATCAGTAATACAACATATTGGTAAACAGATAATATAATGTGACTTTTTTTTTTAACAGGATTGATCCAAACTATAGTCGTGCTAAAAAAGGTATAGAGAGAGTGGAGAAACAGAATGTTGATTTAGAGACAGATACAGAAGCTGAAGATATGCGTGCTAGTGATAATGATGTAATTAATGATTTATATATTTACACAGAAATATTTTATAAATAAACCATAAGATTAGCCATCTGTCACTAACAATGATAGGATCATATTTAGGTTTTGTCAGGGACATATTTTCTTCTATTCTATTTCCCCAATAGAATGTCTGGTTGCAAGTTCCGATAGATAATCATATTTTATCTATGTAACATGAAATATTCTAATAATATTTAGTTTATTATTTTATCACAGAAAATAAAGATACATTCTCGCGTACAAACTGGGTGATTTAATGGTATATATGGACTAAAAACATATTTTAACTAATTAATTTGTCATTATTTTGCTTCAAATCCTTCTCAAACATTGTAATTGAGAAGGAATGCCCTGCTATAAAAATTTGATCAAACCAGGTCATGTTTACGGCGCGTGACTGACCTCTCTTGGAAGTCAGAGGAGAATTCATTGCATACATAAGACGATGTCGTCTTTAATCGCTTACTATTTATTACAAATATCGAATCCTAATTAAATTCTTGGATTATCCACTACCCGCGTCTTTTTCCGTAATTTTTATCTCAGAAAGTGTTGTACGTCTAACTCTTCATAAAGTTTATCAACTTGTACATCAAGCGATCAATCTTCACTTGTGACCTTTGACATCACGCGTGCAGAAATTCCTAATCGTCGGGTTGTGGATTAGGGGAACCCTTACATTTTTGTCCTGTATACGCTCCATGAGTGTTTTTCGGGGAATCCAGTATTTTTCTAGTAAGATTGGATATCTCTACTTTCCATATATACCAAAATTGCCATACTTTTATTGGAAATAACCACCCGATAAATACTTTTCTGGGAACCCATCCTTAATGTGACTGGTGATAGATCATATTTAACACATTAATTCTGGTCAAACTGTATAAATCAGTTATAAAATATATATTATTTTATTTTTAGATTGAGTTTGAAGGAAGTGACTTAGATAGTACATGGTCGGAAGCAGAGTTTAACTGATCACAATATGTATTGAGATAACCGAAATCAAAGTAGTGCTGAATGGAAGATGCTGAGTAATAAACTGTTTATTATTGCAAGTCGATCAGTTTATTAAATGCTGACAGTGCCCAGGCAAAACTAACTGTATGGTGTCAGTCAATCAAAGATAAAAATCAAATGTTTGAAAAGAAAGCATAAAACAAAATGTATATATTGAAATGCATTAATGTTTTGAGAGATAGTTGTTTCTCAAATGACTTATTTCTGACAGATGTTAGTCCCAGATTGTTCAGTCTAAGTTTATTATTTGATATGACTATATACAACAATTGAACTGATAGATCATAGATCATCTCGCTCTGTATACATGAAATCATGATTGTGAAAATCAAAACAGTGAGTTCAATTTTATTTGTTTATATATTAATGACAACAGGTTCTTATCAATTTAGTTTAAAAGTGGATGTTAAGTGAGGTTCTTTCACACACATTCTACACAAAGGTGTTTTCCTCAGGTTTAGAATCCGTTATTCATTGATATTGATTTATAATATATTGTTAATTATGATTGCTTTCGCATTTTATGCAATTATATGTAACAATCTTATAATTCAAAACAAATGTGGTCCTTCTTATAGTTTACATCTTTCTTCTTCATATCACATAACAAATTAAATAAAAATTGATACAGTGCAATAATATTTACACTAATAGTATACATAAACATTCTCTTTAAATTACACAATTCAACATTGTCACACATAAATTTTATCTGAATCTGAAAATGTAAATAAAATACATGAGAATAAATAATTTATTTTTTGTAAAAATGTTACGGTAATAAATGATGCTTAAACCAAAATCATGTTGAATTTTTATAGTGATGTTTTATCAATCTGGTAATCATGTTGAATTTATAGTGATGTTTTATCAAATCTGGTAATCATTTTGAATTTCATAGTGATGTTTATTCAAATCTGGTAATCATGTTGAAATTTAAAGTGAAGTTTTGTCAAATCTGGTAATTATATTGGATTTTATATGAAATCTGGTAATGAAGAGGAAAAAAATATCGGGGACCACACCTATGTGGCCTAGACCAGTGCTTTGTGATTGGTTTTAAAAAAAACAGACAACTGTGATGTAGTCAGAGCATGGTCAAAATTATGTAAGATTATACCCAAATTTTCTTTCCGGGGCAAGGCCCACCTCACCCCAACACCATCTAAGATTGCTTCAGTAAAGCCAAATATCAAAATTTGCTTGGGGTGTAATGCCTTTGCCATCAACCCTTGTCCAATATCTAGTAAATCAAGCACATGCAAGCTGATACAGCATTTACTCGTGGATAGAAGTTCACATTTTGCACACCAGTTTACATTATATCTTAGTGTTTCTTACCCACAGCATCATATTATTTTTAATTTAAGAATACAAAGAAATGAAATGTAACATCCTACTGTTCTGCTCCTATACTGGGCTAATAAAGACGGGCATACGCCATACAGTGTGCTATGAGGGAAATTTTGCCCGGGCAGCAGCACTATGGCCTACTCTTACATCAAATTCCATCTGCCAAGGGATCTTTTACGCACACGCCAATGTATACATGGGACCTTAGTTTTTCGTCCCATTCAAACGATTAAACCCCTGTACGTACCACTTACAAGGGGAAACCAACATGTCATTCTTGTGATGACCTCCGCTCTTTTTTCAAAACTGAGATCCTGCTCCATTAGAAATTTCTGAAGGGAAATGATCCGTGTTCTTATAATCTGAATTATCAGTTGGCCATCGCTATTATAAAGACTTGTTAAAACAATCAAAAACGACTCATTATGGCAAGAATAAAGACTTCATCAGGTGAATAAATCTTGAATTGTATATCCATAATTACTGAGCAGATACTTGGATGGCTACTATATATAGATTTCAAATTGCATATTTAGACACACTGTCAACAGAAATAAGGGAACTTTCATTAAACACCCACAATTCAAAACTGTCTTCAATGATGTCCTACAATACTTGCTTGTGAAGCATTATTAATATCTAGGGTACAAAATAATTGCTTTTACACTCACAGGTTAAATTTCACCATAATAATATATGTCTAAAATCAAACACAAAATATATGTGAATTTTATTTTATTAATTCTGGTCTTAATATTACAATTCCAATATTTCCATAATCGCTTATAGCTATATAATTACATTGTATATAACACACAGTCACATTATATAATCTTAACACAAATAACATACTATCTATATAAATCTTATCATGGTAATCCTATATACCTTTCTCACTAAACCATACATAGTCACTCAATGATCAAGTCAGTAATATTTTTAAAAGACTAGAAAATAATTATTGGATAACTTTGTTGATAGATATATCTTAAAATTGTAATGCACTGAAAGTGAATTTATGCCTAGCTTTTGATATTTTTGAAGATCATTCAAAGTTTAATATTATGGAAACTTGGAAACTGACTTTTTATATATATATATATATATACAATACTCAATTCATGTGAAGATGAATGATATGAAAATTCTTTATTCAATTATCAGATTACATTATTTAGGATGTAAACCTTAATACATTCATGTTCTTATAAGCCAACAGGATTAAGGTAATGAAAAATAAACACAATTGACCATATGAGTATCAGAGCAGTAGTTATGTATTAGGGATTTGCCAAGAAAGAATAATACTTATTTGTAAAGTATATATTTAAATATCATAGTATATACATGTATGAGCAACTTTTAGATATTGATACATGATTTGTATAATAATCACCATATAAATAATAAGTAAATAATAATAAAACTATACTTAATAACAAATAAATAACTAAAATATAAAATAACATTTAAGTGGCCTTCACATTTCACACTACAAAAATACAAAATTAAACACAATCTGTATTATTAGATAATACAACTACAATAAAAAAGAATGGATAACTTGTATAACTTTGATTTATTTTCCGACTGTCAAATAAAAGTAGAAGTATGTAGTGTAAAAACTAGAACAAATGAATTTATTATACCATAAAAAACGATTATTCTTTTTCATGGCTGTTCACGGAATGAATCTTACTAAATCCTTCAGAGAATATAGGTTAACTTATAGGCCTACATATAATATGTAATTTGACCTCTACATTGTACTCAATCTGGTTAAAACACAGATCCTATTTCGTTTCGTTTTTATAGTTCAAAATTTCGTTTTACTTGTCTTTACTACACTTGAATCTGGAAGAGTTGTTATTTAACAATGAAACGGTCTGTTACGGCGAGCTTTAGGCGTGTTTTGCACGGAACTGTGGGTAATCCACTAGTAACATCAATGCTGATTGGTTAATCAAATGTCTGACATCATAGGGTCATAAGTCGGTCTTTTGACCCCTGACGTGACCTATCGCTATAACTTGTCAGATCTTCATGTAGTGTAGGCCATCGAAAGTATAAAAAAACGAAACGAAATATAGATCTGTATTTTAATCAGATTGCATTGTACTGTTCATTCTCATTTTTTTTCATGTATACCAAAAGGCTTTAAATAAGTTAACATTTGAGATATTAAATATGAATTTGTTTGAAACAGATTACAAGACATCTACATGTACACAGTATTTTATCCAGCAAGTCCACAACAAAACTACATTAAAATATGCACCTGTTAATGCCATATAATCAATGATTTAATTCAAATCCCTAAATACATTTTGATTTAAATAAATTTGATCAAGCCTTATTTAGAATATAATATATTTGTACAATACTGATTTACTGTTTTTAAGAATGATGATAAATCAGTGTTAAGTTTCTCAGAAGAAAGTGTAATTTATTATAACTGAATTACTGTTAGTATTTACTGTTATTTTTAAAATACATTTATACTGTAACAATATTACATGAATAGCATGGATTGCTCGAAAGTCTGAGAATTATCACAACAGCAATGCATTTGATAAATATACACATAATGAAGTAAAACAAAAAAACACCCATTTTAAAGGATGACTTGTTTCATGAAGAAAGTTGTTAGTAATTAAATTAATAACCCAAACCCTAAGCACAGAAAACTAGCAAATGATATTTTAAACACAGAATAAAAATTTGAATGTGAGATCAACACTGTGTTTGAAGATTTTCTAAGACCAATATTACTTCAACCTATCACATCATGCTTTACTATTTGCATAGAATGAAAAATTACACTTAAATTATATACATTCCACCGTTAATCAAATCTATCTATAGAAATTCTTTAAAATGCCTGAATACTATCTAAGGTTATTATTATCAAGTAATTAGGATGTATTTAATGGAAAACCAAACACATATGTAACATTTTACTTTGAAAGAAATCTGCTGTTCCAATTTAATTAAAGCATGAAAAATATGTACAAAGAGTTGGCTATGTTTCTGAATTGTTATTGTTGTTGTGAGCTGAGACAAATAAAGATAACGATATTGAATGAATAGAAAACTTAGTCAAATTGAAAATTATTCTTTTATTAACAGTCAAAAGCCCTGCTTACACATGGCCGCGATAAGTGTGCTATTCTCGGCATGGTACTAGGCGCGATAAATTTAAAGAAATTGACCCGTTTACCGGTCTCAGAGCCATGCCAGGCATGCCAAATGTGGAACTCTTCACAGAAAAGTTAATTTCAGTTCCTATGCAAATTACCCGGATGAAAACAATTATGGCTGTTGATTTAGTTTGAGCAGCCATTTTGACAGAACTGTCAAAGTTCGCAGAAAAAAAGTCAAGGTTCATTTGGTGCATGTGCAGTAATCCGTACTGAAACCGTGCTCAGGCTGGATAGTGTTTACACTATGAAAATTTAACCGTGCCGTGCCTGGCACTGTGCCAAGATCACTTCACTTCAGTGGGCCAGTTTGGCACGGTAATCAGTATGGCACTCTTATGTTTTACCTATTCATATTACAAAAAAATTAACCTTGCCATGCCTGGAATACTTAAAATTTATAATGTAAACAGGGTTAAAGATCTCCAAATTGCTAAACAGTTAATATATAAATTAAGGATGTTAAAATTAGATTGCAAGCAAAATTCTTATCTTGAGATATAATGTTTAAATAGATTACTAGCCCTTTAGTTTTTAAATGATTTAAATAATTTTTTGGCCAATATATTTTTTTATAAGAGAGGATGTGATTGAATATGTGCTTGTCTAGCATATAGCATGCTGACTCCTTAGATCAGGACCAAATACATCAATAGGATTTCCAAATAAATATCACAAAAAACAGACTAGAAATAAACTGGCTCTTTTAATATCAGAGAGTGGCAAAGTTTTATCTTGATGATTTGAGGACTTGATATTTTCGTAAAGACATCCGCACAGATCCTAATTCATGTTCAACTTTTTCTAACTTCTTCTCTAAATCAATCTATAAAATAAAAGCAATTTTATTTATTTTAAAAATATTTGAAAAGAATATCTTAATTCTTTGAAAGAAAAAGAAAATAAGAATAATATAATAGTTTACATAAAAATATTTTAACATAGTGACTTTATTGTTTGAAAATGGGGGCTGGGGCGCGCAAATGGTTAACATGTGCGCATTGCATCATAAGGCCTGTCATTGAATGAAGTGGTGTGCTCTTGATTACCTGCTTGTATGTGACAAGGAGTAGGGTTGTCTGTCCAACTGCATGGGTTTTCTCTTGAGTCCTGCATTTTCCCCACACTGTTAAAGACCCCTATGCGCAGGTGAATTATTGAAATAAAATTGAACCTTACGTTAGTTCATGATAACATAAAGAGTTATGGTTAAACCCTTGTGTACGTAGTGACGAGTAACATAACTACAGCTTCAGTGGAATCCCATCATCAGTGATACATTTAAGGCTCAGAGTATACTATTGTTTGGGAAATGCTCAAATAGAACTGTTAGTGTTTTCTCATGTTGAAAAAGAAATTTGAGTAAGTAATGGTCAATACCACTGCTCCACACTAATTGTAGAGTTTATCAAGGGTGGGTTACATGATAGATTAAACAAAACAGAGAATTATTGTTAAATCCGTCCATGACATTTTATTTATACTATTTACAGCACAGAACTTACCTTATCAGATTTAGATTTTCTATCAACTCGCCCATGTATTGGTATCCTGTTTAATGCAGATTCAAGCTGAAAATGAGAATCCAAAAGTTTATTTGAAAATTGACATATGGGTAGCTCTTCACTAATAAAATATAATACAATAAATTAATTGGCAATCTGATTAAAACACATATTCTATTTCGTTTCGTTTTTTATAGTTCAAGATTTTGTTTTATTTGTCTGTACTACACTAGGATCTGGACGAGTTGTAATATAACCTGCGTTCTGGATAGCGTGAGGGATTGGCCAATGAAACCATCTTTTACAGCGACTTCTTGGCATGCGATGGAAAGAACTGTTGGTAAACCACTAGAAACATTAACACTGATTGCTTAATCAATGTCTGACGTTATAGGGTCAAAAGCCGTTCGTACGACCTCTGACGCAAACATTTACTCCAACTGGTCATATCTTCATGTAGTTAGGGCATCGAAAGTATAAAAAAACAAGAAACGAAATATAGATCTGTATTTTAATCAGATTGATTAATTGGAATATAAATCGACAAAAGCTGATGAAAATCTTAAATATCAGATGAAATGACTGACTAAAATATCAGTTCTAATAGTTGAATAAAATATCAAATCTAACAACTGACCAAAAAAGATGCCTACAACATCATGTCAAATAGCTGACTATTACAACTAGTGAAACATATATACATTTAATCCAGCCGAATTAATAAACTACCTGTCTCTTCTCAATTGTTAACTCATCATATCTTTTTTCTTGTTGTTGTATCATTTGTAAACGATCTTTCACTCTTTCTTCACGAGTCTAAAAATACAAAATTCATTTAATTAATTAACATTATATGCCAATATGTGTGTTAAGGATGATTGTAAATTTTGATATCTAACAGACTGCACAGCCCAAAACACAAAGACAGGACAGACAATAACAAATGGCACAGTGAAAAACAAAGTCATTTTAGGTGGCATAAAAACTTAATATTTCTGCTTTAAAGCATACGTAAAGGCTTACCAAAGCTTGTACTGGCAAGGATTCAGTAGTAGAAGTTGAACTTGTAGTAGTAACTTCTGCCTTCTTTATTGTATTTAGAGTATCCCCATTCATTTTACTAACATCTATTCCTAAGTGAAATACAATAATTATTTAAACATCCAAAAGATTCAATGTTTTATTTAAAACCAAGTTATCTGTAACATGTGGACTAAGGGGAGGTAAGTAGGTTCGGTTGACCCCATCTCTATATTATCTCCCCTTAGACCACATTAAGATATTAAAATACATTTCATAATTTTCAAATCTTAATACAAATCTACTAAATAACAGATAAACAACAGTTCTATTAAATCATGCAAATAACACACTTATTTCATTCTAATTTCATTTCCGGGTAACACATTGATGACAAAATGAAAAGTAAACCAACCCTGAGCTAATGGGGTTCTTTTGTTATCATTTGACGGTCGAGATGATTTTTTCTTCTCTTCAATAACAACCACTTTCTTCTTCTCTTTAACTTCCTTAACACTGACATCAAGTCTAGAGTGGGGTGAGAATTCTTTCTGAGTTTTAATGTTGGATCGTTTAGGACTAACCCTTGATGTTGCTTGATTTTTATTAATTGAAAGGCGGGATCTAGGAGAATGTTCAGTAGTTCTAGCAGGTGCCTTAACATCTACTCTTGCTCCTGTAGCAAAGTCTCGACTACATCCAGGATAGCCATTATCACTGCCAAAAAACTTTTTCTGTGTCTTCAGATCTGAATCATCTGAGAAAGTTTGATTAGTCTGAAGTTTGCGTAATTCTTGTTCTGCCTTGATGAGTGGTGAAATTCGAGTATTTTCAGATTCGGTTAAAGATTCTTTTGAATAGTCTTTATAATCTTTGTAATTACTGAAAAAAATAAAACAATTATTTCTATAATTAACATATCCCCTTTCCACAAGTCTAACATCTGCATAGACATTTGGAAGAATCAAAGTCTGTTAATAATAATACATAGAAATTCTGCTTCTTTTTATTTCCCATATCATAAAGCTATGTTGTGAAGTTATGTTTATATATTTAAATCAATGACTAACCTTGTATCATATTCTCTTGAAGAATGTAGTAATGTATTACTATCATCAATTCGCCCATTTTGTAGGCTATTACTAGTGGTAATATTATGATGTAATGAGGGTTGATAACTACTGACTGGAGGATCATGATGGGAATATGAATCTTCATAACTTGTCTTAACAGAAGACATACTAAAAATATACACACATGGAAAACAAGAATTAAGAAATTTTTCTTAAATCATATAATACAAAATTTTAATAATAATACATGCAATATTACTAATATATCACAACATTTTTTTTCTACCGTAATTCTATGGAATATATTTCAATATGACAGGAATTAAAATATTCATTGAAACTTGAGACAATTTTGTTCTATTAGGGCCCAACATTAAATGTGTCTAGAACTAAAAGCTATATATTATATTAAAGTATAATATTATAATATTTTACTTACTTCATAGCTATAGCAGCTTTATGATGCAGGTTTTCATTTTCTCTCATTAGTTGTTTATTCTTCAATTCTAATCTGGTTAAAGCCCTAAAAAGATGTAAAGTGTAAAGATAGGTTGCCTAGGAAGGAAATATATACACATGTCGCCCAAGCTGTGTATAAATGTCATCACTATTAGGATGCTCTGAAGTTTTGTGCTATAGACTAATCAAACCAGCCAAGTAATGCCATTTAAAACTCTTAAAACAAATTCTTTATGTAGTCATTACTGCCAAATGTATATCGTGTATATAAAAAACATACAAATGGTAATAAAGGTAGATCTCCATTACAGTTCTTTCTCTACGCCTTTTACTAAAAATACATTATATTATACTTCTATAAGTCTAATTTTATATTGCAATTTATCAACTTACTTATTTAAATCGGTCATTTCTGTTCTGGTTTCATATAGACTTCTTTCTTTACTTATAGCAGACTCCTAAAATATATGATAAAAACAATATGAATTGTGTTTAAAACAGATTCAAATTTTAAAAAAGGTGGTCTGACAAGCCACATTTTTTTGTCATTAACTGTTTGAATAATGAAGAAAATAGAATATACTAGAAATCAGAAGAAATTAAATGTTAAATTAACTTTTTTCATCAACACTTTCAAAAGGCTATTTTGAGACTAATGGTTTTTGTTTTATTTTTACGGAATAACTACAGCATGTTTGACATAGTTAAGAAAAACATGCTAATATTATATAAATAGACAGAGAGAAATCGGGTTTAACTTCCACTCAACACAAACAGTTTAATTTTATTTCAATAATTTGCATGTGCTTATTGGTCTTAAAGGGACAATAACACTCTTGCTGGCTTGACAGCTCCAGAAAATAAAAAATAGCCTTATTCTAAGTACTAGATGTGTTAGTGTCCTACCTGTTGTGTAAATTATCCATTAAATCCTATTTTACTTGTCCAGAGGGTTCAAAAATATTTTTAAATCCAAGTCACATTTGAAAACCTTTACGTCAGGCTTTTCAAATCATTTAGTTGAATTTTTCCAATTTTTTAAATTAGGTGTGTTAAGATGAAATTTGTATCATCAATTAATTGGAATATTGTAAAATAGTACAATTTGTTGACCAGAATAAAGATTGGGACATATTATTCAGTTACAACAAGAGTGATATTGAGCCTTTAAGCAGTGGGATGAAACTGAAGGATTTAGAGAAAGCTCTTGATGTTGTCACATACAAGTTTGGGATGAAACCACACCATTTAACTTGTTGACAGACCTTATTATCAAAGCGCATGCATTAGGCCCAAGATTAGACACTCTATCCCCCTCCCCCCCAATACTAATATACTTAAAGGTAGTGCATAAACAAAATTTTACCTGAAGTAATTTAAATTCCTTTTCTAATCCTTCATATTTTCCCAAAACCTAGAAAAAAAAAACAATTTTGTTTGATAAAAACATGAGAAGATCAATATAAGGAGGGGTAATTTCTGGTAGTCCATGTCATATTAATTTATCCCATAACCATATAATATACTTACACGTTGTAATGTTTGTTTATCTCTCTGTGATGTTTCTTGTAATTCATCTTGTACCTGAAGTTATAGATCAAATACAGTTATTATTATTCATTTAAGCTTTTATCCAAAATTATAGAAATAAGTCAACAGTCAAAAATGGTATTCCCCCGACTCCATTATTCCCAAAATAAATGAATGACACTGATTAATTACTTGCACGTTTATCATTTTGACCAATCCATTTGCTTATCACTCTGCTTAAAGCTGAACTCTGATTACAAAACTACAGAAATAATTAAATTAAAAAGAAGGTAACGCCCTAAACAATCGCCATACTTGTTTTCAATTTGTAGAACTTTTTTTTATTTAATTATTTCTGTAGTTGTGTAATCAGAGTTCAGCTTTAACTTGAACTTAGTCAATGCAAGGTATTGATTGATGTAATATAACTATACACACCAGTGCAAGGTATTGATTGATGTAATGTAACTATACACAGCAGTGCAAGGTATTGATTGATTTAACTATACACGCAGTTCCATTATCAATCAAACTCAGTCAAGGTATTGATTGATGTAATGAAACTATACAACCAGTTCCATTATCAATCAAACTCAGTCAAGGCATTCAGCTAATAATGAACATTAGGTTTCAACATTCTACCTCAAATACAAGCAGTTTTATTTGTATTCCAAAGCATTGACAAATGAAATTGCTCATCAAACTCTCCTAATGTACACCAAGTTTGAACATTCTAACTCAATTAGAAATAAAGGTATTGTATTCCATAAAGGTGTGACAGATAGATGGATACATTTCAATAGTCTATTGCTTTCTCAGAAAAATTGACAATTTTCATTGTAAATATGGAAAGCAAACTGATTATATCATATATTATGGATTTTAACATTTTATTTTGAGCTTTTACAGATACATGTAAGTTCTGTTTAATCTATCCTTATTATGTTTGAGAAAAGAAGGTTTGATGTCACTTTGAAAAGAACTCATGTCAGCTGTGATTATGCATCTATTACAGACATATAACTTACACACAAATAAATAGGTTTCTGTTTTCTCAGTTTACAAATATTTGAGGAATTAAACTAGCCTGATTACATTCATCTATAAGAGAATTCTATGTCACAAACTTGTTTTAAGCTATAAAACACAAATTTATATGGAAAGCAATCACTGGGTTTATTTCACACAACATTTCAACAAGTTCCTCTTGTCGTTCTCAAGTGAGTAATGACTACAAGACTATGTTTACCTTATAAGCTTCTTGTAAAGCTGTTGTTTGATGTTTTAATTTTTGTTGTAAACTGTCCAATAAACCATCTCTTTCTTTAGCATAAGCATGTAATTCTTCTAATCTAGTTTTTAATGTTAATACTGTTCTCTGAGAATCATCATATCTATCAGCATAATCGGCCTGTAACATAGCAAATATATTACTTAATGAATTAAAATTAATTTTTTTTTATATGAACAATATAAAAGGTTTAACACCCCACTTTCCTGCAACAACCTGGCTAAAGACAATGGGCATAAGCCATGCAGTGTGCTCTAAGAAAAATTTTGTTCAGACATTTCCATCTACTCTGCCAATGTTTTCTTTAAAAACAAACAGATTAAATTGAATTCTGCGTTTATTTACGTAAAGTAGTATTTTGCATATTTAAACAAATTCTTAATATCATAAAGATCTGCAATTATATACATACCGCAGGCATATATGTAATTTTAGAATATAATTTGACTCTACTAATGTACTTACAGATCTTATTTCTAACCCCTGTAGCCTCTGTTCCAATTCTCTAACATGACTGAAAAAGGTTAAATAAAATAATTTTATTTAAAGAAAATAATAACCACAACTACACCCAGAGACAAGAATAGATAAATCGATGAATTAATAAATTTATAAAAGCTTTGGCTTGTTTTCAAATCCATATGTCGTACTCGAAATAAAATATTGTTTAAACCAAGGGTTGTAAAAGAGTTACATGTACTTTCAGTGCTGACAATGATGAAAGGGACCAACAAAGTGAACAACTCAATTTGTCACCTCCAGTCAAACCAATCAAACTAGGCAAACAACAAATCATTATGGATTGAATGTCAAGCTATATCCTTTATGGCAGACAAAGTTGACAAACCGAACCTAGGGACTAATAAAGTTTCTAGAAACACAAATATCAAAATATATCTGCTTACTTATTAGAATCGTCTAATTCATCAGTTAAATCTTCACAACGTTTCCTTAAATCCTGATTATCTTCTTTTAACATTCTTTCATTAGCTGTTTCTTTATTAGAGTGGGAAGAACTTAATACTGATCGTAATTCTTGTAACTCTTGTTCGTAGTAAGCACGTAAATCAGCTAAATGTTTGGCATGTTTTTCTCGTAAATTTACTCTGGAGCTGAAATTTGAAATAGACATTAACAATGTACATACTGTAGAGGTAAACAATTTTCTTTAATAACTGGATTGAATATCTCAAAATATGATTCTTGAACACCTAATGTCCTAATGTATACCAAATTTTATAAAATCAAGAAAACTGGTTCCCATTATAGTGGCAATAGCCTATGCAATCCAGAATAATTTATTGTTATGAATTAGTCTTTAATCATACTAATCATTGAATATGCATAATAAATTAGTAATTGTAACAATTTAAGATTTAGCAATATTTTTGAATAATGCCTATTGTTTAACTCCCGATAACATCACATAAAGTACACAAAACATTAATTTGAGAAATGTAGCACACAATAAGTTTATACATGTAGGTGACTATATGTATAGTACATTTAAAGTCCATGCTAAGGCTAGAGTTGTGCTAGAGTTTTTATAAATTAATATCAAATTGGTTATTTTAAATCATTTATACACAAGTATTTATGATTGAGTAAATCGTTAAGTTGAGTTCTCTATAAAAAAAAAATCTTTTGAAATGCCCTCCATTCTGGCCAGAATTGGCTTTTTGTTAGGCCTGTGATATGATAGAATATAATGATAATATAATACCTGTATGATAAAGATTCGTCATTATAATCCTGATCACCTGAAGCTCGTAGATGGCTGCTTCGTAAAGTTTCTATAGAATCATGTGGTGATCGATGTATTATATCACATATACCTCTATTATCATCTAATATCTAAAACACAAATACAATTTCATAAACTATCAATAACTAAATACCACTTAAATATACATTATGCAAGAGCTAAATCTGCCTATTGCAGGTCTTTCTTTAGGCCTGAAATATTATCTAAATTATTAATTAGACATTAATTAACTTATCCAGACTATAATTAACTCTTGATAGCATCGCTAGCCTGCGATGTTTATTGGATTAGGTTTCGATTTGCTGTTCGACTTCCATTCATAATTTAATCATGAAATGGATAATCGAGACTATGTTTTTTATCCTACCGACTTTAGTAATGATGATTAAGGCTAGGTCAAAAATTCAATCGCTAAAATCTTGGTTCATAGTGGATCAATTTGACTGAAATTTTCAGCAAATTCCCTTTAAAGTATCTAGTTTTTAACTGTTATAGTGAGAACTGCCCGTTCTTTATCTAATCTCCCACAACGTATTTTTAAACAACTTGTTATAATGCCTTTCAAATTTGTTAATGCATTGAATTTAATTTTATATATCCTATGAAATGAAATGGAGCTTAATCTCCTACTGTTCTACACCATACATCTTATAATTATGTCCTGGGCAACAAAGTCGAATTCAGTCTTCAATTTATTTGGTTCAGTCGCAATTAATTTTAATATATGATATTTAAACCCTAAACTGCAGAAATCTTTAAGAGAAATGGGATTTAACGTCCACTCCACAAAAACTAGGTCACCAAACCCCTCAAGTTTTATTACGAAGCAACAATGTATTAAGCCATGCATATAGCCTCACATGAACCTACCTTGGAAGATCGTCCTTTTGACATCGGCATGGGTGTACTATAAACACCCCCTCTCAATAACTTTTCACCTCCAATATCTGTCCTTGAATTATCATGACTTGACCTTGGCGTTCGTCTATGTTCTGTGATTCGATCAGGAGAAGAATGAGGAGTACTGAATTCGTTTTCTAGAGATCGTTTAACATGGAATGAATCAGATGGAAGAGTAGAATAATCAGAGATATCGGCACGACATGGTATGTCATCTGGAACTCTGTGGTTTCTTGGAGACGAATACATTCGACGCCTTACTTCTAAAGGATCTATATCCGACGAATCAGAGTGGTAATCATCTCGATGAGGCGACCTAGGAATATATCTATCAGTTTTTGGGGAGTGCTTATTTCGAGGTGAAGGTCTTATATTTGTAGGGTCATTGGTATAGTAGCCATACAGATCTAAATGACTTTGACAATCATGTCCTGATTCAGTCAAAGCATCTCTATGAGCTTCAAGACGTCTATGAATATTATTTTGCTGTTTTTGTAATTCTGTTTCCATTGTAGATTGCATCTGTTCTATCATATTGGTATGTTTGGCATATTGTGATCTTAGTTCTTTCCGATGTTGATCTTCTAAAACTTTAAACATTTTCAACCAACTAACCTAAAACAAAACAGGGGACATTTTTTAAAATTAAATTCATAAATCATAAAATGCATCAATTACTAAAACAGACAGATAACTAGACATAAATTCACTAAAAGCTATGATGGAATTATTAGAGGTCTGTTGTTACTGTACATAAGCAAGTTTCAGTACATGTGCAATAGCATGAGAAATACATTTTGTAAGATCACACAGAACCAGATACTACTTCTAATAATAGTATATCTACAATGTACCTGTTGTTCTTGCATTGTATTAAAGCCAGGAACCGGTCCAGCACCTGGTGGCGATGCTACTAACTCTGGTTGATAACCATCACGTCTTTCGTTAGTCAAACCACTTGTATAACTTCTATCTTTATAATCCCTATAGTCCTGACTCACACGACTTGGACTAATTGGTGGTCGACCATTAGGTGATATACGAACTCTACGTCTTCTAGATTCAGGTATATTTTCTTTATTTTCATATTCAGCTGCCAAACCTTCATCAAAATCTGCAGGGTTTTGTTGTCCAAAATAATCATTCCTAATATGAGTATAATTATCAATATTGTAAGAGGGGGCATGTATAGCGGTTTTAGGTACAGGGTTTAGCTCATCTGTTTTTTTTATAACTGTATCTTTGTTGTTTTCGTCATCTAAAATAATACGACTGTCATTATCAAGTTGTTCTTCTTCGCTTTCTTCATCCTTTTCCTGATCTCCATCTATTTTTTCAGATTTATCTGTTGATAATATTCGTTGTTGTGTTTCATCATCATGAGATTTTGATAAATCATCATTTACTACTTGATCAGCTGTCGAAGGAACATCACTGGTTTCCCCCTCTGAAACTAGTTGTGATAAGTTATCTGTTGAGTTTCCAAAATCAAAGTGGGGAAATCCTGATGTTCCATCTGGATTTACTCCGACTTTAAACAATGGCTTATCATCAGGTTTTGCGGGAGATTCTGTAGCCTCACTTTTTGCTGGAGAGCTTGTTGTAGATGATTCAGATCTTTTTCGTGTTTTATCATATTTTATGTGTTCTCCAGTTTCTAGGATCAAACATTCTTTTACTCCTGGTGCAACCTGTCTACACACTTTATAATTACCATACATCAATGGATAATCAGGATAAGTTGATTCATCTACCACCATATTGGCATCTTCATCATCATCATTATCATCCACAATTTCAATATTTTCATCCTTTATATGTAAATCTTCATCATTATCACCATCTTGAACTCTATGTGATATCCTACTGCCATCAATGTCATCATTATCATCATCACCATGGTGTTCATCATCATCACCATGGTGTTCATCATTATCCCCATCTTCATTAGATGACCCAACACCATTACCTTGACCTCTGTGTACAAATACATTTTGATTGTCACCATGTTCTTCTATAGATTGTCTTGGAGTAATGTCTTCATTCTCCAAGTTACCTTCTTGTACTGTACCTATAGCTTTATCAAGAACTTCATTAACTAACTGTCGTGCTATTAAACTGTTATCACCATCAGAATCAGAGAGATGAGAATCAAAAGACTCTCCCTGATCAGATGCAACACCAGACAGGGGGGATCTTGGCGAGAAGATCGGAGATTTATTATCTTCTGTTTCATTGTGCTTTGATGGTGATGATGATGATTTAATTATGCCAATATCTCTGGATGGTGAAGATGGGGTGGAGTTGGGTTGTTGCTGTAAAGAAGTGGAAGTCATGTTGTTGATGTTCTGTGGGGTTGTGGGTGAAGAAATTGCTTGATCTGGTGGACCCTGTTTTACATTTGAGGATGTTGGTGAAGTTACAATTTGTTCTTCCTCTGTGGAATTTCCATTCTTTGGGGAAGATGGCACCACACTTCCTGTGGTAACATTTTGAGGTCTTGGAGAGGAATTCCCATCTTGATTAACTATCTCAGTGCCCCCATTATTTGATGTTATTCCCAGAGAAGGATCTTCAGATAAATTATTCTTTACATCATCGTTTGTTGTGATGTTAATATTCTGGCTGTCTTGGAACTTATCATGGTTGCCATTCTCATCTTTATTGGTGTCTATTTTATCAACATCTTGATTCCTTCCCATGTCATTGTTTTGATTGTAATTTTCTGTTTTTTCTCCTTGATTGGAAGATTGTATTGGTAACTGAGAAGGATAATCTGACCCAGGTATTTCAGCTCTTTTACCAAGCTCAGTATCACTGTGTTCTTCTGCCATTACTAATGGAGTTTCTTTTTGATTATCATCATCATCCATCACATATCAAATTCTCCTGCAATAATGAATAAATAAATTATTAACATGCGCAATAAATAATTAAAACAAATGCAAAAACTATTACCTACAGGTAGTTTTATCATTTTAAATTTTGTTTTGTCATTCAGATAAACCATCATTTGCAATATTTCATCATACCCAAAGTTAACAAAGGGTCATACCAGATGTGAAAATTAAATGTGAATATGTGTACATGTACAGATAAATGTATTAATGTTATGACATTTTTAGAGTACATATTTGGTAAGAGTTTAAATCAATCTATCTGCTGTGTGTAGCATACAAGGTATGGGGTTATCAATCAAGATAAGGGAATGTGTGACAAGCATAATAATAATATATTTACGCTTGCATTATCAAGTAGTAAACAATGTAGATTTACTTGACTACAAGAATGAAAGTATTCTATTTCAATAACATCAATGATCAAATCAATCAATGACAGATTTTATCACACACTAATCTTCAGGCATTCATTTACTATAAAAGCTTATTCAAGCGTTCATAATCCTATTCCTATTGTAATCACTGTGTTATGTTAATCATAGAGGGTAATGAAGAGTTCTTCTAGAGCTGATTTAACAGACATAGGCCATTAGGCCTTTATACCTCCATGATATTACATGTATGGGTCAGTGTTTGCTTAACCTCTTGTACATTGTATAATGTGTAAAAACTAATAAATGTAATCCTTTAACTATTATTATGAGCTTTTGGTTATTTTGTACACAACATATTTATTTTTGCACATGAGCTTTATTGGTTATTTTGTACTCTACATACCAAAATACAACCAAAATATAGCCATGGATGAATGTTGAGCACATCTTTAAAACAGAAAATAACCATACACGTACAAAGTTATTTTTTTTCAATAATTACAAAAGCTTAATAACCATCTTAGGGTCATGATTTAAATTCATATGTATTGCTAATGAACATCCGTATGCTGCCAATGTGAGACAAAATAGTCATTCAAAAAAGCACATGATAATTAAAGCTGATGCATGTCACAGTTATAAAAATTAAAATAGTGACAAAAAGTTGTAATTCACAGAGTAACAGAATCAGAGCAACCAAAACTCAATTTTAATTTTGTTCAAGCTGTAAGATTGCTTATTTGATCTTATACGGTAATCATCAATACAGATAAACATACATGTAAGTCAGGGTCCTGTGGGATCAACTGATGACCTACATAAACTTATCCTTGAAGGAATATAAGTTTATATCTTGAACAACCAAAAGCTTTTTAAAACCTATCAATAAAGTTAAGATAATCTATCGCCGACTGCAGTTCATAGGAGACGTTAAGATGGGTACAGCTCTCAGCTAAATTTACAATTCCAAAATTACAAGTACTTAAATTGATAATATCAATTCCCTTTTTTCAGATTTAACTTTGACACTGTATAATTTGATAATTATATTGAATAAAAACAAATATAAGTGATTTTATTACATGTACCGTAGTTTTATCATTTTGGACGAAAGGAGATTATTAGAAAATTCCATTGCATTGCCAAAATCAGTGTTATTTTACTTATTTTGGCTTTTGGGAAGAGTCTGTTTTATATTACGAATGTATTAAAAAGATATATTGCCATTTGCCAGATAACAAAACATTCACACAAGAGCCAAATCGTCCGAGCAGTCCACCACTGTTATATAGCACTAAAAACTCTGTGTATGATATTGGCACTTGGCGGGCTTGAGTGGTTAAAACAGCGACTACTCTACTCTATTTTGCCCATTCTAGAAATATGAAAATTCGCAATACAATGCACAAATCAGATGATTATTTGACAAAGTAGCCCTAACTGGAAAAACAAAATGACATTTGCATAAACATTTTAAACTCTATTAACTACCGTAATTGTACATTTCTATTTTCTCTTTTGGTGATTTCGCAAGTATAAATAAGCTTGAGCATCACTATATACATGTAAATGTAGACTGGAAGCTAGTTAACTTGTCCGCACGCAAACTCGACCACAGTTAAGTCATCCAATACCATTAGTTGACTCATCCACAAGGTATTGGTGATGTTGTTCACAAGTCACAACTAATAGTTGACTCGTATAAACATCTTTATTGCATGGAATAAATCATACAAAATTCTACGTTATCATGGACGAGAACATCAGTTCAAGCTAAGCATCCTTTTCTGATAAGACTCAATAATCAATTAATATTTTGCTGTTGTATACCAGCGACTTAAATCAGTAATGGAAGTTACGTAACAAAGTCGGACAATCTGAATTCTAGGATTTGATTGGTTGAACTATTTTCCTAAAATAATTGCATTTTCACTTTGAAACAGCCGATTCAGTAAAATCACTGAGATGAGGAAAAATATCTAAAAGATTGATTGATTATGTACAACAAAGAAATATTAATATTATTATTAAAGGACCAATCTCGAATAGATTTTGGGGAATAAAACTGCTTAATTTTGTGTTAAAAGCCCTTAAAATCCCCTACCTTAAGGTCAGGCAACTAACTCAATATACGCGATACGTTTTCAAACAACTTAAACCTGTCAGTCTTCATCTACAAATGGAGAGCGACCGGCGTCCAAAGCTGTATTATATGGTGTTGGATAAAACCAAACTTTTATTTTATAAAAATAACGTTTAGGTGAAATTTACCGTTCGTTGTGAAGTAGAGCATGTGGGTCATGCACTTTATAGAACTCTAAAAGAACAGCAATAGATTATCAGGTCACCCAATGAAAAAATTGACCCGAAATCTTAAAAAGGTTATAACTTATAGATGTCAGTGTCCGGTTAGATTAAGCGGTTTTGACGTTCACGTCCAAACGACTCAATATTTTGAGCTGAATTAACATACACAATTAGTACTAGAATCTTGATTAAATCAACAAGAAGAATAAGACATTTAAAACAACATATTATTATACTTATTATACTATACGTTATCTAGTACAGACCCAGTTCTGATCGATTCTTTTTCGCTGGATTTAATTATTTCGTATGGAACAAAAAATAAACTTTTAAACTATTATGAGCCAAATCTGCAGAATAATTTGATATCGCTTGTCTAAGAAGTAGTGTCACTTAATAAACTAAATATTGTTCATTCACAAATTTCCTGTATCAACATGCGCCAACTTCGGCGGAAAGAAACGCGAAAAGGCCTCAACTCATAGAAAGGTTTACAAGTTTTGGGTTTATTCTAATGTAAAGCATCATGTGAGCACATAATCGATGGCAGAAGCGAATGATTGTATATCTTAGATATATGAATACCTGTTATACGATAAAAGAACACAAATATTCTTTTAATTCAGTCAAAAAACACACATAACAAAATAAAAACATTCTCATTTCCGGAAACCTGTTTCTCCTACTTCCGGTAACTGCAGGTAAGAGTTATCTAATCTTTAGAGATGTTGAGAGTCGAGATTATACCAGTGCTAGTACAACCTTTGACTCCTTTGATTAAGATAAGAGGTAACACAAACAAGCTGAAGTGAAAGCCAAATAGAAAAATACAACTTATTTCAACTTGAAGAAACTATTGTTAATGTAAACACTAAACCTTTAATCAAGTTCAGACAAGGTCATTTATAAAATGCCATATTCAATTCTACATACATTTAATTGCTGTACTGTAGTCATAATTCATATTTGATACACTGGGTCACTGTGAAATGTTTACTGTGTGAACCATCGTAAATTTTAAACAGATTTCTTCGATTATGAACAAACTACTTAACTTTGGTTATTATAAACTTACCTGTGTGTTTGTAATCAACTCCCGTTCGATAAAATCCATTGCACAACTAATTATCACAACGATGAAAACAAGTTCTCTCTTGAAAAATTTGAAAATTTACTTGTAATTTCGACAGAGTCGATGTCAACAATGTCTTCGTGACGTATTGGTCGAATCCAATATACCTGTTGCGGGGATTGGTTAACATTGAAAGATAGTTTGAAGGCGCGATCATTTTGATCGTATATGGGTTTGGGCGACGAAAAATATCAATTGAAGGCAATTACATAGGAGATTTATATGGAAACCATTGATCGCCAGTCTATCAAATTTTCTTCACAATTAAATTATCACTGATTGCACGGATACTCGTAAAAATAAAGTCATATATAAACTATAAATATCCTATCTTCTTTCTGTTATAAATAATTTAACAAGGATCATGAAGCTAACCTCCAAATTCTCTGAGTGTATTTTTAATTTTATACGCATTCTTTCGATCGAATAATAACCGCTTCAGTAACATCTTTAAGCGTGTTGCGACAGCCCTCAACGTGCCTATTGGGTGCCCGGGTGGGTATATAATGCTACTAAGCCTGTATGACCCCGTAAGAAGCGGAACATTAATTCTCGATTCGACAGTTTTGACCGAAGTGTGATAAAGCCCGTAAAACGAATGTATAGTTGTGTTTGTGCGGCATGCGTGTTCAAAAGTAAATTATCCCATCCGAATCGCTAATCAAATAATTAGACCAAAATATTTCAAAAAGTAAAGCTATAAAATTTGCAGAGATTTTACTAGAATGTAAAAGACGGTAACTAAAATACAGGAATGCGGGTAGTTATGTGTGCGAATGCTCAAACTCAATGCCAATTGTCGTAGGTATCCAGACCACTCGGACCAAAGACTACTCGGACTAAGACCAGTCGGACCAAAACAAGACCAGTCGGACCAATTAAATTATATTATAAGGCTAGACAATATGCTATTTTTTTATTATTAAATCACAATACAAAGAAGCAAATAATTCTTATACGGAATTCTTATATTTAGAGTTGTTTAGTTCAATTTTGTGTACGGAAAATAAATCAACGATTAGTTTTAAAATTAATTAATAATGGTGACAAAAAAAAATATCAATCTAATTTTTCTTATTTACTCTTGCAATGAGACTCGGTATGTCCAGACTTTTGACAGTTTCTACATATACTGGTATACTGTTCTTATCTGATGGCCTAATTTTACTTTTTCCACATTCGCGGTATCCCCAGTGGTTTCATTCCGTTCTACCCCACTAACCACTGGGTTAATATATGTGGGGGGGGGGGGGGAGACACGTTTTCAAGTTATCCGCCCTTGATGCGTTAATATAAACAGCCCATAATAATACGAAGACCGGACGTTTATAATATGCACCTTTTTAAACGTGACTACAAGTGTGGTTATCGATATTTTGCGATTTGGGATACAATTATCAATTTATTCAAACAACACGTTATTATTAGTTCAAGTAGTCATATTAAAACACACACAATTAGCAATTTATTCAAATAACACTTTATTATTGGTTCGAGTAGTCATATTAAAATAAACACAATTATCACTTTATTAAAATAACACTTTATTATTGGTTCGAGTAATCATATTAAAACAAACGCAATTATCAATTTATTAAAACAACACAATATTATTGGTCCGAGTCGTCTTTCTGTTGGGTCCGAATAGTCTTTTTGTATGGTTCGAGTAGTCTATTTGTTTGGGCTGAGTGGTCTATCAGTTGGTCCGACTGGTCTTGAACCGGGTGGTCTTTGGTCCGAGTGGTCATGGATTCTTGTCGTAATTGTACTTGAATTTCCTATGCTGTCACCCCTAATACGAAATGATATCCTCCGCAGAGTGACGTAACCATCTTCCATATTGGTATTTTTCTCTGGGAAAAGTTTGTGATATTTCAATTTTTCAAGAGAGAACTTGTTTTCATCGTTGTGATAATTAGTTGTGCAATGGATTTTATCGAACGGGAGTTGATTACAAACACACAGGTAAGTTTATAATAACCAAAGTTAAGTAGTTTGTTCATAATCGAAGAAATCTGTTTAAAATTTACCAAGACTCAGACAGTAGTGTGAGGGCACTACACCAGATGTGTGTTATATTATTACTATCAGAAACAATTACCATATCATTATTTATTCGTGTCACTACCCTTCTCCCCCTTCCCAGTATCAATTTTCCAACACACTTTCAACCTTGCTTGAATTATCATAATTCACAACAGCTCAAATCCTTCTAGAAGTGGTTCATATTTTACTTTTAGACATTTAAACTTAAAGATACATTTAATTATGGGAGATAAGATGAAGAACTGGCAGTTCTCACTAAAATAGTTAAAAACTAGATAATGTAAAGGCAATTTGTTGAAAATTTCAGTCAAATTGATCCACTATGAACCGAGAATTAAGCAATTGAAATTTTGGCCTAGATCATCATTACTAAAGTCTGTATGATAAAAAACATAGTCTTGATCATCCATTTTATGATTAAATTATGAATGGAAGTCGAGCAGCAAATGGGATCATAATCCAGTAAATATCGCAGGCTAGCGATGCCATAGAGAGTTGATTATGGTCTGGATAGGTTAATTAATGTCTAATTAATAGTTTAGATAACATTTCAGGCCAAAAGAAAGACTTGCAATTGGTAGATTTAGCTCTTGCATAATGTATGTTTAAACTTGTATCTACGGTATATTACTATATCAGTCTATCTGCAATATGTCACTTCCCACTCAGTGCAGATCTATGATACATCTCCTGATATGGAATAGGCCTAATCTTATCATATCGAGGGCAACTGCAGCTGAAACCTACACATTAGATACATTCCTGTATATTACTATATCGGTGCAATCTGACTAAAATACAGATCTATATTTCATTTCATTTTTTTATACTTTCGATGGTCTACACTACTTGAAGATCTGACCAGTTGTTGCGATAGGTCACGTCAGAGGTCATACGAGCGGCTTTTTAACCCTATGACATCAAACATTTGATTAACCAATCAGCATTGATGTTACTAGTGGATTACCCACAGTTTCGTGCAAAACACACCTAAAGCTCGCCGTTGGCTATTACCTCACACTATTCAGAACACGTCAATGATAACAACTCTTCCAGATCCTAGTGTAGTAAAGACAAGTAAAACGAAATTTTGAACTATAAAAACGAAATGAAATTGGATCTGACATCATAGGGTCAAAAGCCACTGTTTTGACCTCTGACACGACCTCCCATTACAGCCGGTCAGATCTTCATGTAGTGTAGGCCATCGAAAGTATACAAAACCGAAATGATATATATTTTAATCAGACTGAAAATAACTCCAAAATATCCAAAAGTATTTTGTTAATGAGAAATAAAACTCTATCCCTATTGTGTCAATGTTTTAAAGATTTGCATGTTATTGCCCTTTTCTCATAAACATGGAGGAATGAAAAGGTACATGTAATTAAACTAGATTGGATCATTTTTCGATTAAAGGTGCTTTCGGGTTTGCACATATAATATACACTGTGTAATTTTATGATATACTATTCAAAAAAAGTAGGGGATATTTGATTTTTAAGTGTTATTAAAGTCACCTAATGAAACTGACGAAGAAACAAATGACAAAATGAAATGAAGTTCACATTCATCGATTTATTCCAAATGATCGTTAGACTAAGTAAGGCACAGACTGACCATTATAAGGGTAAAATGATACCCGGGGTCAAACAGCAAAGTTACCACAGCATCACAACCAAGTCAGTAACGGGTAAATCCTCCTCTGTTTGCCAAACAAGCATTGATCCGACGTGGCATACTCCTTATGAGACGTCTAAGGTCATTTTGGTCCAGATTGTCTCATTCCTGTTGCAACGCAGCAGCAAGTTCTTGGACATTGGCAGGACGTTGTTGACGTTGACGTAACCTCTGTCCAAGCATGTCCCAGACATGCTCGATGGGGGAGAGGTCGGGACTCAGTGCTGGCCAAGGTAATGTGGTGATGTTCTGTTGTTGGAGGTAACCTGTAACGATCCTGGCCCTGTGACATCTTGCGTTGTCATCCTGGAAGATGAAACGGCGGCCATGACGTCGTGCGAACGGCACAACATGGACTGCCAAGATGTTGTCCCGGTAGTACTGGCCTGTACCACGCCCTGCAACAACATGTAAAGCCGTTCTTCCAGCAACAGTGATGCCTCCCCACACCATAACAGAACCACCCCCAAATCGATCATGTCTGATGACGTTAACGTCTTGGAAGCGCTCGTTTCGACGACGCCACACCCTCCTACGTCTGTCCAAAAAATCAACAGTGAACCATGACTCATCTGAAAACATCACATTGCTCCAGCGTCGATTATCCCAGTGTTGACGATCCCTACACCAACGACGTCTTGCCTGAATGTGATGATCTCTCAAACAAGGGATCACGCGAGGACGTCGGGCGCGAAGGTGACCCCTATGCAGTCGATTCCGAATCGTCTGGCCACTCACTCTCACACCAGTGTCTGTTTGAAGACGAGCGCTGATCTGATTTGCTGTGATGACACGATTTCTCAAGGCCAAGGTACGGATAAATCGATCCTGGGCTTGAGTTGTCGCCCTTGGTCGCCCTGAGCGTGGTCTGTCCTGTACAGATTGTGTATCATGGTATCGGGACCATAGCCTGCTTATGACAGACTGAGAAACATTCATCGTCCGCGCCACAACCGCCTGTGTTGTGCCGATCTGTAGCATGCCAAGGGCACGTAACCTTTCATTTTGGGTAAGCCGACGCATATCAAAATTTGTTTTCTGGTCACTAAAACAATTAAACTGATGTTTCCGCCCTGGAATTCAATGCCACAATGACTGTAACATTCAAAGTCAGAGTCGTGCAAATCTTGGGTTGGACCCCCATGATGATCCCAAGCATCACCTGCATTCCATGCGGTAGCTATTGGTGCGTTTGGGCGTCACATGTAACTGGAAATGTTTCTTCTGTTAGGTTCTATAGTGACTTTTTTCGTAGTCATTTGCATATTTTAGTATTATGCCCCCAAAATCAAATATCCCCTACTTTTTTTGAATAGTATATATTCGGTCTAAAAACATATTCAGACTAATCTATCTATCATGATGGTTGCTTCAAATCCCTTTCAGAATATTTTAATTGCAAGAAAACTACCCCATAAGGCAAGAATCTATTTCAAGAAGCCTTGTTTGTCATGTGACTTTATGACGGAGAATCTATATGTAGCTCGTATTTGTCATTAGTTGCTGTCCATTTATCTTGAATATAGAAGCCTAAGTAAATTTGTGGATTATACTCTGCCAATTTCTTTTTCCAATGTTTAATCATAAAGTCTACTTAATGTTTCAAGATACATTCCCGGTTACAAACTGGGTGATTTGATGATATATTTGGACTAAAAACATATTCAAACTAATTAATTTATCATAATTTTGCTTCAAATCCTTCTCAAAACATTGCAATTGTCGGGGAATACCCTGGCTATAAAAAATCGATCCTCGGTACCTAGCAACAGAAGCAAAGTCGGAGGAGAATTCATTGCATACACAAGACGATGTTGTCTTTGATAGCTGACTATTTATTACAAATATCGAAGCCTAATTAAGTATTCGGATTATCCACTGCCCACGTCTTTTTCTGTGATTTCTATCTCAGAAAGTGTTGTACGTCTAATTCTTCATAAAGTTTATCAACATTTACATCAAGCGCTCAATCTCCGCCTGCAACCTTCGACGTCATGCGTGCAGGCACTCCTAATCGTCAAGCTGTCGATTAGGGAAACCCTTACATTTTTGTCCTGTATGCGGTCTATGAGTGTTTTTTAGGGAATCCAGTATTTTTCTTGTAAGATTGGATATTTCTACTTTCCATATATACCAAAATTACCATACTTTTATTGGAAATAACCACCCTATAAATACTTTTCGGGGAACGTAGCTTTAAGTTTCTCAAGGTTCTCACAACTGCTAAGCATAAGAATCACTTTCTACGTCACCGGGGGAGACAGGTTGCCAGTTAGGGATACCCTTACATTGAATGTTTTTCAGGGAATCCAATTTTTTTCTAGTTTTCTTACTAATTTATTTCAATGTTTTTCAAAAAAAAATATAACATTTTTAAATATTTTTTCTTCTTTCAGCACATTAATATTTCGTCTAAAAGAAAGTTTATGTATAAGAAGGTTTATTTGAATATAGGTATGGATTTAAAGTTCACATTATGTATTTGATTCTATATTCCACACTATATACTTGCTGTTAACTACGACGAACATTCAGCATCTTGTTATCATGATAGCAATATGGAGAACTCATCAATTTAATATAACAAACTATGTTAAATTTAGCAAAAACTTGCTATGTAGTATTTCTGTTTACCCAGTTTGTGGAAGAACTAATAATGTGTTAGACAAAATTCAGACATTACAGTTTATTCAAAGATGTTATTTATCAAAGAAAACACACAAGTTTCCTGAAATATTGGAATCTGATTTAGAAGAACAATTTGTTCGAGGAAGTGGACCTGGAGGACAGAAAGTAAATAAAACATCCAACAATTGTGTCCTGAAACATAAACCAACAGGAATTGTAGTTAAGGTAAATTAATACTGTTTTAATACTACTGATATTTAAGAATCTAGATCTTGTTGGGGAAAGGAGGTAGTATCTATATAGAGATTCAAGATAAATTTTTTGTATCCAGTTATTTTTGGTGATTAAGATATTTGAGGAATTATTCTACTGTAGCAAGATCCATAATGTTCTTTACATCTAGCAGTAAAGGTATTCTGTTGTTGAAGGTACAGTACACAAATTGTGGCACAATTTTGTATTTATTAAAATTTACCAATAATATTTAAAGAAAAATTATCATAGTAATATAGAATTGTCAGAGAAGGTTGCAAACAGTTTATACATGTAAGTATAATTTTCAAAAACAGATGATATTATCCATCCTAATGTTGTTTTTACTTCACAATTTATGTTTATATTATAGTGTCATGAATCAAGATTATTAGCAACAAATAGAGAGCTGGCCAGACAAAAACTTATTGAGAAACTAGATGTATTATATAACGGTGAAAACAGTTTCGCAGCAAAACAAAGACGTGAAGATTCACAAAAACGTTCAATAACAAAACAGAAAAATAAAAAGAGACTGGAAATGAAAATGGAATTTAAAGAGCGTGAAGGACTGGAGTGATCAGTGATGATAGTGAATTCATTTATTTCCACAAACATTTTGATTATAGTTTAATCAATTATCATTATTATTTGAAATAATTTATCAACCACCACATTTCTAGACTATTGTCATATATGATCATACGGCTACCTGTCTTTCACATTATATTTCTTCATATGTCATCATATTCAAATATGTAAGCTGTAAATTATACAAAATATAATAAACATACTAACAGGTAATGTTAAAACTGTTAAATGTTTATTAAATAAGGAAAAATTATCTTGACATTTAATTTATAACATTTTTGTACGATTAACAATATTAAGTGATCATCAGCTATTTCTGTTGATAACTAGTGCATTAAAATATACAATTCCTTCTTCTGATTTAGAGACTTGGAATTATATTGTTAAAAACACCTCACAACAAGCATGGCTGTTGAAATAAAAACACATCGAGACAGGTAAGAATGTGGCATAGAAAATGATTGTTTTTCATAGACATTAATACATTCATATCTTTTTACACACAATAATTATCTAAATGCTGGAATGAATTGGAAATGATTTATTAAAAAATTGATTATGTGTAGATATATGTCGAGAAACTTAAGCAAGATACATGCACAAAATTTCCAAAATCTTTAGTTATGGTTGATATGGAATCTTGATTTGTCTTTTGGGTATTCAGATTATTCTCTTACTGATAGCCATTTTTATTGTCTCTCTTTGTAGTCATAGTGATATCTAATAGGTAGGGTTTGTTTCAGATACAATGGTCTCACAATTGATTCTGCTCAACAAAATTTACAAGATGAAGTGGCATTTATTGAACAACTTAAAGGTATTTAATATTATTAAAAAATATGATAATATTGCTGTTAATCTGTAACAAAACAATTTTCATTTAATTACTTCTTGATATTAACCTTGCTCACTCTGTAGAATCTTGTGAATGCATTCTACGAATCGGTGAAAAAGGAAAGCTGGTTAAATTTCAACAATTTACGTAAATTAATTCTATCTTAGTTTATTGTCAATGTACTATTATAGTATAGAAATTTAGCTTTTTATTTACCAGAAGATTCATAATTTGACAACCTTTATGGATTGTTCAAACAACTTAGCGGCTATGGGTGTATGTTTTGTTGCCTGGCAACCTATCTTATGGTTAAATGTTTGTGGTAAAATAGCATTGTTTAGTAAAATATTGATTGGGCATTTCAATAATTTTCTGAGTTTGCATTTTTTGTTTTTCTAGACAGAGGATGAAATCCAAGAGTCTTTACAGTTTAATTCCACCTATATAATTATAACAAGTTTTGAGGCTTTTGAAATCACCAATTATCAATACTATATTTAGATTGGACAATCTGTTGATGTTTCACCATGATGAGAATATCTGGCATGCAAAATGCTGGCATACTTTATGTTAAAGTACAAATATCACATATTATATCGGTGGTTAGAGCATGTACATGTAATTATGATGAAACTGTAAATATGCCTTATGTATAATTCTATCTATAGCTTGTATAAATGAATGGAGGGCAGATGCTGAAATTAGAGGATTATGGGTAAAGATTAATAAAAATCACTCCAGTATTATACCTCATTTAGTAGCTGTAAGTACTACATGTATATATTGTATCCATACATACTTTTCTAGTGGGCACCAAACTTTCGTTTGAATCTCGTAATAGATCTATCAAAATCTAATATACTAGAAAAACTGATTAATAGAGGCAAGTACTTGTAAACTGTGACAATTTTCTGCAGAACTTGCATTTGAAGGAATTTTCTATATTAGAAAAACATTCTGAGCAAAGTGGGCTTTGAGAACCCTCTCAAAAAATTTAGCATTTGTAGTGAGAGGGTAATTTCTGTAATGGAACAATGTTTCCCAGTGATGCATATATTTAAGAATTCATTTTCACATCTATGTTTTTATTTCAGTTAGGGTTTGAGTTTCATCATGCTCAACCCGGTTATGTTATGATGTGTCAATGGTTGTCTGATAATGAACCAAATGGTCTTCCAGAATATGCCAATCAGTATATAGGTAATTATAATTATTATTTAAATAATTAATTTTTATTTGTGTGATGGCCGACATCCAATTTCTCACAGACCCTTTTTATTAAAGGAAATAAAAGCATGACATGTGAAATATCTAATCCATCAGAATCACACACACAAATAATTTAAATTCATCTCCTGTATTCCCCCGAAATAAAGATGTACAAAATTTCTTAGTACCATTATCGCGTCTTGAGCTTCTGTTGTAAGAATTGGCACATCAACCAAAATAATTAATATTCTCACAAGAATAAATTTTTGCAGGTATGTTATACTACAATACACTGTAAGTCCCATGCTGTTTGTCTCTCTACCAAAGAGAATATCCAGTTAAGATAAGTGGTCAGGACTAAATTACAAAACATTTAAGATATATATACCGGTACCATTTTACTAACCCTCTACTCAATAATTGCCAATTGATGTTTTGATGACAAGAGTAGACATTTTGAACCAATTTTGTTTATTAACATGTTCACTTTGCTGTCCTTTACCAAAGGTAAAGTGGGACTTATTGTACGATTTTTAATATATATTTCTCACATAATTGTGTCCTACAAAGAAAATAGATCAGTAATTCAAGTACTAGTACATAATATATGAGGAACTTTTCTTATACCGATGGAAAGTTAGTTTCCAGAATAATATTAACAATAAATTTCATCACATATGCCATTGTATAAACATTTTTGAATGTAGTTGAATGAAAACCTATTCAATATTACAGGTGTAGGAGGATTTGTTGTCAACGATAAAAAACAACTCTTAGTTATACAGGAAAAATATACAATTAAATCTCACTGGAAACTACCTGGTGGTCATGCTAACTGTGGTAAGACGATCATTATCAACATTTAAAATACAGATGTGATGTCATCCTTTGATTTTGGCGTATGTACCAAGTGTTCATTATTTACACTTGTTGAGATATTGGACCAGCGTGATGTATTTCATTGAAATGCACGTGCTGGATAGTGTCTGTATTTTAAGTTATTTAATGGTCTTGTGCAAGACATTACGTAATATATGGAGATAAATCTCATGCTATCGCACTCGTGCAATATCAATATATTACTTAATGTCCCACACTCGACCATTAAACCACACATAACTTATATTATCATTTTGACAGTGACTAAAGTCACCGAGAGTGGTAAGTCACACTTGCCTTTTTGTTGTCAGGTTTGGGGACAAGTTTTGGATAAGTTTTTTTGAATACTTCCATAACATTATTAAACATACATTATGCAAGAGCTAAATCTGCCTATTGCAGGTCTTTCTTTAGGCCTGAACTGTTATCTAATTTAGATATTAATTAACTTATCAAGACCATAATCAACTCTCGATGTCATTGCTAGCCTGCGATATATTTACTGGATTGGAATCCTATCTGCTGCTCAACACTCATTGATGAATAAATCGGGGGATCACGTGGCTAAGTGGGTAAGACGCTAGCTCGCTAGCCTGGAGGTTGGGTGTTCGATCCCTGCATTGGCCGAGAAAGTTCATCCAGATTTTCCGGCGTGGTTCTCCCTTGTCAGTGATGCAGGACGGAGGGGCTGACGAGGAAAGCTGTCTAGTCGTTCGGATGGGACGAAAAACCGAGGTCCCGTGAACACATTGGCGTGCAAGTAAAAGATCCCTTGGCAGTTGGAATTCGATATAAGAGTAGGCCGTAGTGCCGCTGTCCGGGCAAAATTTCCCTCATAGCACACTGTATGGCGTATGCCCGTCTTCATTAGCCCAGGTTAGGAGCAGAACAGTAGGACGTTAAACTCCATTTCATTTCATTTCATTTTGATGAATAAATCAAAAAAAGGCCAAAAATTCAATCACTAAATTCTTGGTTATCTAATCTCCCATAATGTATCTTTAATGTTTATGAAACTTAGAGTGGAGCCTCTTTGTGGTCCAACTCCAAAATATATGTCTATTACACAAACAACTAAAATTAGATTCTTTGTTTTGGGGGGAAAGTAAAAGTAGCCATGGATAAATTAAGATTTTCAAACCTTCATATGACTTCATGATATGCACACGATATAAACATAACAGGTCTTCAGTACATTGTCAAGCTGGGTTCTCACTTGTCAGAGTTAACAACATACAGGAAAGTTTTTCAAGTTAATAAAAATATTTTGACAGTTGGTATTTGAAAATGAGTACATGAAAATAAAGATGACATGTATTTTAATCCCAAAATGAACAAATGTATCATATTTTAAGGCTTTGAACTTAAGTTCTTGGATTTCTTTTTATACGCCCACATTTTCATGTGGACGTATATTGTCGTCGCCCCTGTGAACAGTCTACAGGTCACAATTTTTATCCGATTTCAATGAAACTTGAAATATAGGTTTATCACCCTAAGATCTCGGTTCCTTTTGATATTGGCATCTATCGGAGTGTAACTTCATGGATTATGGCCCCTGTTGCACGAAAAATCACGTTTTTGGCTTGTGAACACTGTAGAGGTCTCAATTTTTATCCGATTTTGTTGAAACTTGAAATGTAAGTTTATAACCCAAAGGTCTCGGTTCCTTCGGATATTCGCGCATATCGGACCGTAACTTCCTGAATTATGGCCCCTGATTGTACGTAAAAACGCGTTTTTTGGCTTGTGGACCCTATAGAGGTCATAATTTTTATCCGATATAAAAAAACGTATTAATATATCACCGTTAAACCCTAAGGACGGTCGAGTTCGAATTTCGTGAAAATCGGCCCAAAACTGACAGACAAAATGGCCGCCGTTCGTTCTCAAATAGCGTAAAAATATGGTATATCAAGGTTGTGGACCCTATAGAGGTCACAATTTTTATCCGATTTTGTTGAAACTTGAAATGTAAGTTTATAACACAAAGATCTCGGTTCCTTTCGATATTCGCGCATATCGGACCGTAACTTCCTGAATTATGGCCCCAGATTATACGTAAAAACGCGTTTTTTGGCTTGTGGACCCTATAGAGGTCATAATTTTTATCCGATATAAAAAAATGTATTATTATATCACCGTTAAACCCTAAGGATGGTTGAGTACGAATTTCGTGAAAATCGGCCTAAAAATGACAGACAAAATGGCCACTGTTCGTTCTCAAATAGCGTAAAACTATGGTATATCAAGGTTGTGGACCCTATGGAGGTCACAATTTTTATCCAATTTTGTTGAAACTTGAAATGTAAGTTTATAACACAAAGATCTCGGTTCCTTTCGATATTCGCGCATATCGGACCGTAACTTCATGAATTATGGTCCCTGATTGTACGCAAAAACACGTTTTTTGGCTTGTTGACCTTATAGAGGTCATAATTTTTATCCGATTTAAAAAAAACGTGTTAATATATCACCATTACACCCTAAGGACGGCTGAGTTCGAATTTTGTGAAAATTGGCCCAAAACTGACAGACAAAATGGCCGCCCTTCGTTCTCAAATAGCGTAAAAATATGGTATATCAAGGTTGTGGACCCTATAGAGGTCACAATTTTTATCCGATTTTGTTGAAACTTGAAATGTTAGTTTATAACACAAAGATCTCGGTTCCTTTCGATCTTCGCGCACATCGGACCATAACTTCATGAATTATGGCCCCTTTGTATGACAAATCGCATTTTTAGCTTGTGGACCATATAGAGGTCATAATTTTTATCCGATTTAAAAAAACGTTTTATTATATCACCATTAAACCCTAACGAAAACTGACAGACAAAATGGCCGCCGTTCGTTCTCAAAGAGTGTAAAAATATGGTATATCAAGGTTGTGGACCCTATAGAGGTCACAATTTTTATCCGATTTTGTTGAAACTTGAAATGTAAGTTTATAACCCAAAGATCTCGGTTCCTTTCAATATTCGCACATATCGGACTGTAACTTCCTGAATTATAGCCCCTGATTGTACGAAAAATCACGTTTTTAGCTTGTGGACCCTATAGAGGTCATAATTTTTATCCGATTTAAAAAACGTATTATTATATCACCGTTACACCCTAAAGATGACTGAGTTTGAATTTCGTGAAAATTGGCCGAAAATTGACTGACAAAATGGCCGCCCCTTGTTCTCAAATAGCGTAAAAATATGGTATATCAAGGTTGTTGTCCCTATAGAGGTCACAATTTTTATCCGATTTTGTTGAAACTTGAAATGTAAGTTTATAACTCAAAGATCTTGGTTCCTTTCGATATTTGCGCATATTGAATTGTAATTTCCTGAATTATGGCCCTTGATTGTAGGAAAAATCACTTTCGTTTAGCTGGTTTTCTATCCATCTCTCGAAAATGTGGGCGTATACTGCCTGGCAGCCGCTGGTTTTTTTTACTTTCGTTCACTTGTCCAGATATTACACATTTATTTATTGGATTGTAGGGGAAGATTTACAAGAAACTGCTCAGAGAGAGGTATTTGAAGAAACGGGTATTAAAACAGAATTTATATCTCTACTGTGTTTTAGACATCAGCATCAATATAGATTTGGATGTTCAGATATATATTTTATATGTTTAATGAAACCTGTTGGAGGTGAATTAAAACCCTGTCAACAAGAAATAGATAAATGCACCTGGATGGATGTAAGTATATAAAGAACTGGGAATTTGCTTGTATAAATGTACATGGATTCATTATGTAATATGCATTGACAAATCTTTTCGCAGCCTAATTAAACAGATAACAATGTTCAAGAAGGGAGTCACGGTGGCTCAGTGAGTAAGACTGGCTTGCTAACTGGAGGGTCAAGTGTTCGATCCCTGTATTGACCGGCAAAGTTCATCAGGATTTTTTCAGCGTGGTTCCGACTTGTCAGTGGTGCAGGATGGAGGGCCTAGCAAGGGACAACATAGTCTTTTGGCTGGGATGGAAAACCCTTGGAATTCAATTTAAGAGTAGGCCGTTGCCTGGGCAAAATTTTCCTTATAGCATACTGTATGGCATATGCCTGCCTTCTTTAGCCCAGCTAGAACAGAATAAGAAGTAAATTTTTAACCCTGCAACCCCACAAACAAAAAGAAACAGTTTAATTATGCCCCCACATCTAATGCTGAGTTACACACCACAATGAAATTTGAAAGAGGTAATCAAGAGCAACTGGTAGGTTATGGTACCAACAATTTCTGCATTTGATATCTTGGCAAAAGTAGGCATTCATGGCAGTGTAACATTAACAGAGTTCACACATGTGGTATATGAAGTTTTTAGAATAGGGTTAGGGCTGGACCTACAGTGGTTACTGTATGCGTAAGAACTATTTTTGATTTTTTAGGTAGAAGAATATATGAATCATCCTGATATATCTGATGCTAACCGATATATTGCACAGTGTTACCAAAATATATCATCTAATGGAAATGTGTCTATTACTCCGGAAAGAGTTAACAATTTTAACAATACTAGAACTAATAATATATACAGTGTTGGCTTAATCAATACTAAAAGTTAAACTTAATTAAAAACTAATTACATTTTTTTATCCCCACTGTCCACCACGTATATTTTAAACTGAGTGGTATTGTTGAAGTAATGAACAGGAAAGTATATAAGCCAGTGTTTTTTTTTTATTTACTTCCTTTTGTAGAAAGTTATTCTTATAGAATGAATACTAGTGTAAATTTAGAGAACAACTTTAATAGATGAATGTATAAACTATAATTAATTTATAATTATTGTGGATTTATTGATATACAATATTTCCATACTTATTTCACGACATGTTTCTTGTCCTGATTACAAACTTTGAGTGAAACAAATTTAGAAGAATGTTATTAGTAAAACCCTTTAGTTCTTATTAAGAGACCTAGTTGTTCAAATATATATTAAAACTTATTTTTGGTGTATTAACCAATGTAATCTGGTGTATTAATATTTATTTATTCTAATTTCTCTATGATCAATGGCCAATCTAATTAAAAATTAATGGAATTTCTTGCATAGATTAATTCTTATTCCTAATACACTGATAATCAATGATTACTAAAATACTACAACTAATGATTTATCAATTGACCATTATATTTTGAATTATTCTTGTGATCTCCTAGAATATTGACTAATTGCAGGGCTTGTTTTGTTTTTAGTGGGTTTTTTTTTTTCAGGGTAGAAAAGTAGTGGATGCAAAAGCAATTAATAATATACGTTTAAATGATAAAAACAAATGTCTATAGTTATCACATTTATTTGATAACTTTCAATAATCTATTTAAAGAACGATCTGTTCAATGTGATATCTTAAATTATAACATGATATATCAATATGCTCATGACTACTTGCGGGTATGTCTGCACCGACTGGGTTAATGGCCCACTGTTATTTCCAATTCCAAAGTTTCTTTTACGAATGCTAGTGTGTATACGAGAATTCAGTTTTTTGTACCATACAAACGACTAGACACTGTTTTGCACCACTGACCGCAGCTCCCAATGATTTTCAAGGTAATGAAGGTAATTGTGCAATATGAAAACTGAGATGTAGATGATAGATAGGACAGAAAATATGTTATTAAGTGTATTTTTGCAGTTAACTGATATGTGCCTTGAACCTTGTAAATAATTTACCAAATAAGATGTATTTTCTTCTATTGAAGTAAAAGAACAAAAATAGCTCAAAAATCTGTTTTAGGATTATTCAGTTAGGGCTAGATATTTTAAGAACTCCAGAAAATGTTGAATTTGTGACTTTTATTCAGAATTTTCTTTTTTCTGGAGTTAAATGAAATATAGTATAGTTCATAATGAATTTATGTGTTCATTTGAATTTTATATAAAATATTTGATTTTTTAAATTTTTATTTTATTCCATTTGATTACATGTATTGGAATTTTACCAAATAAATTCAATGATGGAACAATTGTGTTATAAAATATTTTTATAGTTGTACTCAATTACAAATAGTGACACAAGTGCCCACCTGTAGGCTATATAGAGAATAACACAATCCATACATTTATCAACTCTGTCCATTAACCCAACAGCAGTTGACACTTTTTATCGGATCTGCAGACAGGACAGTATATACTCTATCAATTTCAAGTAACTGCTGCCAACACTCAACCATTTTCTACTCCTCAATCAGGTTATGCCTTAAGGTAAATAAAATTTGATGTTACTTGGTGCTGACTGAAAAATAAAAAATAGATTTGTCAAGCTCCATTTTATATTCACCCATAGGTGTACGGGCTGGGGGGGGGGGGGCGCCCCCCCCCCCCATTTTGGGCACCAAATGCTGGGAAAATTTGGGCACACAATTATACTTTGTAAAAGTTGTATAAAAAAATATTGTGTTCTTGAATGTGTCCAATTTAACAGCGAATTTAAATTCAGAGTGTCTATAGTTAGGCAATTAAAAAGAAATCTTAAGACTCATACCCTCTATTGTTTGGAGTACAGTAAGCCACGAGTTACAGTTACATAAACAACTGTTTTTAGTTGTGTATATTACAAGTAAATAAAATTTAGTTCTCTTTTATTGATGATTTAGAAATTAAGAACTTATTCATCGCAAAAGAGATTATTATTATGTAACATACTAAGAATCTAACTACATTTTTGGGGCACCAACCACCACCGCCCCCCCCCCCCCCAGTCAAAAATTTCCCCGTACGCCTATGTATTTACCAGAAGCAAAATCTTTCAAGCTAACTCTAATATCATTGTCAATAATTCCCACACTGTAAGTTACGAAAAATAGCACACCACAATAAACTCTGTCCCAAAATATGTACTGTTTAAAAATGAATAGAGTTTTTCCTGAACCCCAATGAAAAATCCCACAGTTTTATAAAAGACTATTGAAAACTCCTTGAGATTCGTAAAGTTAGTGTGCGATATGTGCCAAATTCTAAACCATTCGAGATCATTGGGAAATAAATATATTTTAAAGTGTCATCAAAATCAGAAAAAGATTGCCACCTCTTAATAGGGTGTCCACAAAACAATATGGAGGACAGAAGTGATGATATAATACATCCACATAAAAAAAAACCTGCATTTAAATAGGTTAATAGAATGATGCAAAAAGTATGTCTTGTAAATTCATTAGCAACTTTTGATCAGTGTTAAATACTGGTACTGTATGTACAATTAAGCCTTCATCCTCGCACTAGCATTCTTTAATTTTGTTGCTGACATAGAAAATTTTACTTACCAATCTAGAACTTTTAACAAGAGCAGCTTTTCTTTGATCTGGTTGATGATTTTCAGATGACAGAATAATACGTGTATGAGGCACATGTGACCAAGTCCTACCTAAACTTGGTAACCATTTTCCATCCTCACCGGACACTACATTATTAGTTACCTAAAAAAACCAAATAATATAATTTAGGTAATTATTATCCTATTTTTCATAGTTGATACACAGGGATAGTATTGAAGTGGAACCCTTGTGTACAAATATACAAGTTGTAACCGAGGGAGAGAGTAGGCGGGGAAACGGAGGGTGAAGAGAGAAAAGTAGACATGCATAAGCTTAAATGGAACAGGTACAAAGGTTGCAACCAGTGACTGCAGTTCTATGGATGCACTGGAACCCAAATTCTTTGCAACCAGCTTTTGTACAGGCCTCCAAGATCACAAGATATGCCTTATGGTAAAGGTGGAAAACCAGAATATATGGATTTAGCTTAAAGTTGAGTTTTTTTGTTTTAGTATTCCTATTTGTATATAGATAGTGCCTCATGTTCTACACCAATCTTTAGAAAATAATTCTGATATTTTAATTTAAAGAAATAGATCCCTTACCAAGACAGCAACAGAGTAATCAACAGCCAATATTTTCAATTTTTGACTAATCTGAACCATTAGACTATGACCTGTAACAAGTAATTACAACAAAGTAACAAAGATATAATAAAGTACATTAAAATACATTAAAATATAAATGTTTCATTATTACAGACAATGCAGGAAGACTGCACAAGCCATAGATAAAACAAACATATTCCAACTGTTTTAGAATGCTTACTACTTTGCTAAATTTCTAAGATAATCTTACAAGAGTTGTCGCATATTTTTACTTTTATCAGTAATGAAACCTTTATAATACACTAAAATCTGATTAAGAGTAACAACTCATTAAGTAATTAGCAGAAAATGATTAGAAATTATTTAGCCAATGCTAATGAGTATACAAAACATTTAATATCATGGATATAGGCATAAACATGGTGTATAAATATAAAATCAATTAGATGATAGCTATGGTCTCTAAAGCATCCACAAGATTTTCAAAGTGATCAAGGGCCACAACCCTGGCAGTAATTATCCGAAATCGTTGAAAATCAATAGCCTCTAGAGCGTCCACAAGATTTTTCAAAGTGATCAAGGGCCATAACTCTGGCAGTAATTATCTGAAATCGTTGAAAATCAATAGAACACTTCCTTTGATGACCTTAAACACTGTGTATAAATTTAACATCAATCAGATATTAACTTTAGCCTCTAGAGCGTCCACAAGACTTTTCGTTTCATGACCTTAAACATTGTGTTTGTATAATCTAAAGTTAAACGGATATTAACTCTGGCAGTTATTATCAGAAATCAGAGAAAATCAATAGGATTCTTTGTCTCATGACCTTAAAGACTGTGTATAAATTTAAAGTCAATCGGATATTAACTTTAGCCACTAGAGTGTCCACAATTAATTGTGGACGCTGGATTGACTGACGGACTGGGGCGAAGACAATATACGACCACATTTCAATGTGGGCATATAAAAAGATATTCAAATTTCAACTACAGCAGCAGAGTTCTGCATAATAATAATATAAGATACCTATAAAACGTTATGCAGTTCACACTTTACTTTCTATTGGGAAGTGTCCTTAATCGGACAGTTTTCTCCTGGGTGCTATTAGGTATGAAAGAACAGAAAATTGTCTCGTCTCCAAATTTATGAAGTTCACTCACTATAATTTTAGTTGTCACTGGCAACAGGGTAACCTTTAATTTTCACTCACTGGAGGTACATGATAATATGTAAACAGTTCTTACCATCAATCTGATTACCGCCAAGTATAGGATATATAACGCTAGCTATACAATCTACTATTACCAACTTTATATTACTATAAAACACATCAGACTGTAAAAAAAATATCAAGTAATATAATTAGGTTTGTTATATCATCTTTCAGATCTATAAGCACTTACTGTATATTATTAATCCATATAAACTACATAGACACTGCAAGAAATAAATAACAAATACCAGAATCAAAAATTTCAATTACCCACTTCATAAATATCTACCGCAATTAAATATGAAGGTACATGTATAACAACTACGGGTAGCTGAAGTTACTTATACAGACCTTCTTGTCAAGACAAGATCTGATTTCCTCTATAACTTGAAATATTTCAAATACATCCGAACATGCACAATGTTTAACACGATTTAATATCTCTTCTTCACTCTGAAACAAATAAACCTATTCTATAGTAAGGAAATAAACCTGCTATATTTTTTTGACTATCAAAATTAATCCATAAAATTGAAATAATTTCATGTCAATGAGAGGTAGCGATCATTGGTGAATTTAACATTTGACCACTCACTTTATATTCAAAAAGGAAATGGAATGTTCTTTAACATCCTAAACGGGCATACACCATGCCGTGTAACATCATCGAATTTCAACTGTCAAGGTTTCTTTTAATTATTCTGGTTATATCATGCAATTCATGTCAACACTTTTATACCATAGTTGACTGACTATACAACATAGAATAAGCAGTACATGAATACATGTGTACAGCAATGACAAATTGAAATGAAATGAAATGGGAGGGAGAGGGGTTTAACATCCACTCAACAGAAACTAGATAATTTCAGGACTAACATACAGTTCAATTTTATTTCATTAATTCGGTTGCACTAGGAGTCTGAACTCAATGACAGATCTTATCATGCCACCCAATCCCGCTGAAATGAAATGACAACCCAAACAGAATATACAGTACATGATATGAATACAGTACATAATGCTATAATCTAAATTAACCCACCAAAATTAGGTGTCAATAAAACACTTCTATCACAGATGAATACTGCAGTGATATCAGGTGATTTTCAAAGAGTATGCATAACTTGCTTTAGTGCTTCACAGAGCTTCATAGATCTAACAAGCCAACAGTGAGGCTGATGTCCCCCGCCGAAATGCCAAAATAAATAGATGACACATATTAATTACTTGCATGTTTATCTTTTTCAAAAGTATCGAGCAATCAAACTGAAAGTTTCATCACTCTCTATCAGATAGAATCAACCTAATGAACATAACATCAAGTTTAAACATTCTACCTCAATTAAAAGCAGAGTTGTTACATGTATGTTCCAAAGTCTTGACCAATCACATTGCTTACCTTCAGAAGAAAATGTTCATTATCGAACTTAATTAGAACTGAAGTTATTGTATCCCAAAGCATCAACCAATCAAATTACTTATCTCTGCTTACCCTAGGCGAGTTATTGTGTCCCAAAAAGTGTGACAGACGGACGGACCCATTTTAATAGTCCCCTGCTTTCTTCGTAACATGCTCTAAAATTGGGGGAGAAAAATTTACTTTTGAGAGTAACAAAACTTAACACAGTTATATGGGACAACAATCACTGGTTTATTATACACAAGCACAACGTTTCAATAAGTATTCTCTTATCCTTTTCAAGTACAATGACATTTAGTAAACACGTTTTAGAGAGTAACCAGCATCTTTCTAGTACAATAAATGGAGACTTATACCTGATTTTGTTGACCTATTAACTCTAAAACTCTGGTAGAACTAAAGCTACATGATGTATCTATATATATGACATTCGCTTGTTTGACTGCTGTTGTACATAAACAACTTAAACAAATCTATAATAAATAAATAAACATACATAAATAAGGGAATCAAATAAATAAAACAATTATCCCATTGGGACTGAGGTGCATTTTACACAATCGACTTTACTTTGAGGTCAGGCAACCTCAATTGAACAAATTTTGTTGTTAAGTTAAAGAGAAACTTAACCTGAAATTGCTGGCATTCTGAAATTCTGAATATTAGATTTCAGGGGTCCTCTGTCAATTTATAGTCAGGATATTAAATGAGGTTAAAGACAATTTTACTTATCAATGTCCACTGATTTCTTTTGATTGTCCATTTCATTGCATAAAGCTACTTTGAAGACATATACCCAGCAGGTGCAATTTACCGGTATTTGTATTATATTTCGATACCTGCGTTTTGCCGACTGCTATACCACCACATATCTCAGTTACCTCCCCTATATAAACACCTCCATTCAGTAATTCATCCAATCTATAAATGATAATGTTTGCAAAATAGTTATTTTAGATACAGTTAACTTTTATGTACCTTTCCTTTTTTTTTAAGTTATCAACTACCACAATGTAAACAACAACAAAAAAAAATTCTTCATAAACTTTTATGTGAGATACCATCACTGGCTAAAAAGCTCGATCAAATTAAGTGAAATAATGAAATAGACCTTAACGTCCTACTGTTCTGCTCCTATACTGGGCTAATGAAGACAGACATACGCCATACAGTGTGCTACGAGGGAAATTTTGCCCGGACAGCGGCACTACGGCCTACTCTTATATCGAATTCCAACTGTCAAGGGATCTTTTACGTGCACGCCAATGTGTACACGGGACCTCAGTTTTTCGTCCCATCCAAACAACTAGACAGCTGTCCTTGTCAGGCCCTCTGTCTTGCATCACTGATCAGGGGGAACCACGCCAGAAAATCTGCGTCTTACCCACTTAGCCACCGTGATCCCCTAGAATTGTTTGATATTTCACTTTCGATCAAATGAAATATCAAACACTTCGATTCATTGCAATTAAATTGATTTGATCACACAAGAGGCACTGTTGATTATGTATGCATTAACAATATTCCGAATGAGATTAACATCTTGGTTTTATTGAATAATTTCGATTTTGAATCCATTCACCAATTTGTTGTTTAAATTGTGTCGAATGTGACCAGTATTGGCTAAAAAGAAAATCAAGGAGATTTACAGAGTTGTATCAAGGCCTGTTTATACCTCTTTATACCTGTTGATAGATAAACTATTCCAGAATCACCGCATTGTAACAAATCCCTACCATTTTTTACACTAGATGATAGTTTTACAAGCATATGTCTTTTCATTGCTACCAAATCCTGCAAATTATATCAACAAATAATAATGAGACACATAAAATTAACATCAATTGCCTTCGAATTAGTCGAATGTACTCAGACAGTTGTCACAAAATAAATCGTGAAACAGAGTAATCTAGATTTAATTGCACGTTTTCGGATGCTGGATGACTGTCTGAGACATTGGTCTGGCAAATTTCTTTTCTTTTTGACGTCGACCTGCGAATGCAGCTGAAATAGTCTGATTGATTGATTACAATTTGTCTGGTATTCAGGTGGTCATAATGTCCAACCTCGTGGGTTTTCTCCGGGTCCTCCAATTTCCTTCCACTGCTAAAGACCCCTACACGCAAGCGATTTGTTGAAATAATTAATTCGACCATACATTAGTCCCGAAATGATCTAGTTTTATGTCGAGTGGATGTTAAACTCCATTTCTCTAATAAAATGGGATTTGGTTTTGACCATTTTTTAGTAAGTTGCTGTACTCACAGACTGGAACAGCTGTATGAAAACATGTTTGCAACCCTGCCTCTAAAATCTTCTGGATGTGAACCGCAAAACGTTATGCATGTGCTTTCAGTTCGTTTGCAGTCAATAAACGTCTTTTAAACGAGAACGTCGGTGGTTCAGTGGGTAAGACGTTGGCTCCCTAACCTGGAGGTCGCGTGTTTGATACCTGCGTTGGCCGAGAAATTTCATTTCATTGACGTATTCTTAACAGTAATTTTTTCGACCATCTGTTCCAACCCGCCTCCTCCAACCTATTGGGTTCCCACGCCAATATGAGGAGAATCAAATAGATAGTGCTTGGGTTTTTTGTTAGTGTTTCTAAAATCTGAAAAGCTCAGTGTCTTTGCAGGTTTGTAAATATCATTCAAGAATTCAAATAAGGCTTATAAAAACAGGTAATATATTTTGGACAGTTGATTCACAATGCAAGGGAAATAACTCCAATTATTTCTCACATGTCAAGTTTGTAAAGATCAGTATCAGATATTTCACTTTATGGTTGGACCAGTTTTAATGGTGCATTAGATAATAATGTTTGTGCAACTTCTCTACAATGTCATAGGTTAGATCTAATTGTATTTAAAAAACAAAAAAAAAACAAAAAAGACTCTAGCACAGAAGCGCCCAGCAGAGGCCGAAACTTAACAAATGTTGACCTTGAAACTGAGAGGGAGTGCATTTTCTTGCGAGAGTTCCTCCAAATCTCTTCCTAAAAAATCTGTTACTGTTCTTATCCCCCTCTCTTCGAAGACTTGCAATGCCCTTTCTGTGATGAGAGGCGACAAAAAAACTTTCAGCAAAGTCATAGTTAATTTAGAATATTAAAATCGTCTTTTGCAATCTTTCCCGCGGTTTCTCCAAAATGTAAACAACCAAGTTAGATAACCGATACAATATTGCAAATTGTCTCCCTTGTCGCATCGAGCAACTCTCCACTGGTTAGATCTATTTGATAAGGCCAACTTCAAGTTTGGTTAAAGGTCACGAGATGTAAAGAAGGCTAGCGCAAATCCGAACCCAACCCAAGATACCTATCCCCAACCTTTATTCTAACCCTACAGGTGGCCTTAAAAAAAAAGCCAGCTACCATTTAATTTTCGTACGTTAGTTACGTACGCTTAATATTTAGATCTAGCCGTGCCCTTCACAGACTGAAAAATGGGGTTTCCGTAAATGAAATGGAATGAAATGAAATGGCCGGGGTATTAAAAAAAACGTCCTAGGCCTAAGTACTGTTCTGTACCGAATGGGCTAATGTCAGTAATGAAGACGGACACACGCCATGAGGACACGTACGTGGTATGAGGACAATTTTGCTCGGAAAGAAGCACTTACATGTATAGTAGGCCTACCAGGCCAGATACTTTTTATTTCGAATTCCTAGAGTTCTTTTACATGCTCGCTAATGTGGACACGGGACTTCGGGTTTTCGTCCCATCCGAACGACTAGACACTGCTCCTCTTAAGGCCTTCCGCTGATCATACAGAACACAGGGGAAAACTACGCCTGAAATACCCGAGGTATTTCTCGGTCAACACCGAGCTTCCGGGGTTTAACTTGCGCGCAGGGGTCTTTAGCAGTGGGGTGGGGGAAACTTAAGGACCAGGAGAAAATTCTCGAGGTATAGGCGACCCTATTGCTTGTCACGCACAAGCTGGGAATCAAACGCGCGCCACTGAACTCGATCATTTTCCCTTTAATGTGTCGGTAACGTATCGGTAACGCAATTCATCAAAGGTAGCCTACTTCGAGGTCTGGTTTTTATTCCTTGTACAATTTCCACATAAAATAACAGGAACCATCAAACCATCAGTGAATTCAAGGCTGACCCAGAAAGAAGATAGTTGGCTTAAAGGTAAGCTATCAACATGTTTTTCATTAGGCTACTATCGGTATTCCAGTTCGGTACATAGCACATGTAGCCTACTGCAGGCAAACACGGGTTGTTCTCATAGGCGTACGAGCCAGGGGGGGGGGGCAGCTGCCCCCCCCCCCCCCTAACTTTCGGGCAAGCTGACTTTTCGGGCAGACGGGTAAAGTGAAAAAAAAATTATATTTCATCTACTTGGCAAAATAAAGTGCCCGAAATCTAATAAAACACTAATTTTACGGGCTGGAATAGCAGTAAAACGCGTTTGCGGCCGTCAAATATTCCAAAAATTTTCTTGGGGGGTCCTTACAAGGTCAGCTCCGCTTCTTCGCCTCTCGAAGAAAACGGCGCTGCTGTCTGTAAACCTGAAATTTTTTCGGGCATTTCCCTGTCACCGAGCCCAAATAAAACACTAATTTTACTTATCTTTTAATTGAATACCACGAATTTGTACTGAGTTGACTATGGATTAAAACATTTTGTCTGGAGCCACTCTGCTTTGTGCGACATTTTTCGGGCATCGATTATTATTTGTGAATGCAGCTGGAACAGTCTGATTGAATGGTTGGAATTCAAAATGGGATTTAGGTTACAAAACCATTGGATACTGTTGGAGTTTCTTACACGGGCTAGAATAGCAGAAAACGCATATGCGGTGGTCCAATTTTCAAAATTTTCTCCGGGGGGGGGGGGGGTGAGGCCTCCATACTCCGCGATGATTGATTGGTTGTTTGGAATTCGGATCAGTCAGGTGGGCTATATTGGACCAAATTGAAGTTGCTGTATTCACAGGCTGGAATAGCAGGAAAACCCGTTTGCGGCAGTTAAATTTTCTGCTATCAGTCCCGTCTTCGTGGACTGTAAACGATTGATCTTTTGATTGGAATTCGAGTCAGCCATCTTAATTAGGCTATAATAGACCACTTTGTTCAAGGACTGAAATAGCAGGAAAACGTGTTTGCAGCCGTCAAATATTCCAAAATTTTCTTGGGGGGGGGGGGGGCATGCAAGGTAATTATGACCTCTATAGGGTCCACAAGCCAAAAAACACGTTTTTGCGTACAATCAGGGGCCATAATTCATGAAGTTACGGTCCGATATGCGCGAATATCGCAAGGAACCGAGACCTTTGTGTTATAAACTTACATTTCAAGTTTCAACAAAATCGGATAAAAATTGTGACCTCTATAGGGTCCACAACCTTGATATACCATATTTTTACGCTATTTGAGAACGAACGGCGGCCATTTTGTCTGTCAGTTTTGGGCCGATTTTCACGAAATTCGAACTCAACCGTCCTTAGGGTGTAACGGTTATATATTAACACGGTTTTTTTAAATCTGATAAAAAATTATGACCTCTATAGGGTCCACAAGCCAAAAAACACGTTTTTGCGTACAATCAGGGGCCATAATTCATGAAGTTACGGTCCGATATGCGCGAATATCGCAAGGAACCGAGATCTTTGGGTTATAAACTTACGTATCAAATTGTGACCTCTACAGTGTTCACAATCGGGGGCCATAATCCATGAAGTTATGGTCCGATAGATGCCAATATCAAAAGGAACCGAGATCTTAGGGTGATAAACCTATATTTCAAGTTTCATTGAAATCGGATAAAAATTGTGACCTGTAGACTGTTCACAAACAATTGTGGACGGACGGACGGACGGAGGCGACGACAATACGTCCACATGAAAATGTGGGCGTATAAAAACTGTGTTCTGTTAATGTGCTTCCGATCGCTAAATGTCATTTAAAGATTAAGACGGGCCGTCTTTATTTCCGAAACGGCGTGCGATTCCGTATCCCCCAAATCATTATAGCTATTTATTCCCTCTGATATAATTAATGATTTGCTTGAACATCCTGGGATCAGGCAAATATCGATAGTCCTACCTACAGAGTTTGTATTATTTTACCGTCAAGGGTCTCTTAGGTTTGATCAAAGTTGTCAAATTTAATGCAAATTTTATTAGCCCAGGCTAGCCTCATTGGTCGATGTTTTCAAATTAGATGCTTACCCATACATATAAAATGAAGATATGTGTTTTTTTGCACCCATTTGATCTTCAAGGGTGAGTTGATTTGCAAACAAAATGTTAAAACATCAATAGTATTTGGTTAAGATATTTTCTAGTGATCTCCGGTGCCTTTTTAATGGCAATCAAGGATTACCCATTTCATTTTAATGAACGTATCTAAATTACGATCTAAGTGTAGTTCCAGTGTTTGTTTTATTTAAAACTGAGTTTTATCGCATTTTTAACACATAATTTATATTGTACATGCAAATTGTTTTTAATGCGCTTAATTATATCGTGCAGTATTTTCGTAATAACCGGATTCAGATTCAGCAATTCCGTCATCAATTCCTATAGTACTGTTACATGCCGGTGGTAGAGCTGAAGGCGGTGGTGTCATTTGGGAGACATCAGGTTCAAGATAATCATCTCCTAAATAAATAATTACAAGAGCTTTAATATAAATATAGATTAATAATACAGAATTATTGACAGCTAAGTACAACCACACGCACTAATATATAAATATAACGCTTATACCCACACACAGAAGCTATAGGCCCGGTCCCACTGCACTTACGGATGCAAAGATGCAAAGATGTAAAACGGGGGAAAAAACGTGCCCTCCTTTTGAAAACGCCATGCATCCGTTGTGTACTCATTGCATACGTGTTTCATACGCTCTATCCATCGAGCATCCGTTCACTTTGATTTCATCCGCGTAAAAAGTTTTGAGCTGCACAAAACTTTTATAACGGATGTACTTTCTGTCGTGTACGATGTAAATGCGCGACATATACGAGCACCAAACGTTCCATGTCCGTTATCATCCGTTAAACGTCCACTGTATCCTCTCTGCATCCTCTGGGCATCCTCGCAACTCACATCCGCTCCAGCTGAAAACGGAAAGAGGGAGGAAAGATAAGGTACATGGAACGTCTATACATCGTTAGTAGCACGGAAATAGAAAGGATGTAAGCGTATGCATCTCGTATATAAAGTTTTCAAAACGGACAAAGCGTTTGTATCTGGGATGTATCTGGTATATTGAAGGATGTCTGGGGTTTGCCTAACCCCTTCGGAGCTGTCATCCACTTCAATCCGCTTTCATCCGCTAGGCTTCCGATGAACATCCATTTAACATCCCCGCTACATACTTCCCACGTTCGTTCTTTTCCGTTCTGTTTTCGCAAATTTTCCTCAATTTTGTCCATTTCTTTAGCGGATGAAAACGGATGGAGCCACCCCGAAAGTTGGCTCGCCCGCTGTGTCCTTTTTGCATACGTTTTGTGTCCATCGGCCACTGGGGCCGGGCCTTAAGTCTCAGCTCCAAATTAAATAAGATCTGGCACCCTTCAAGAAATCTAATCTATATGCATGGCGTTTCTAAGCTTTTCTGGACACATATAGCCTATCATTGGAATGAAAGTCCTAGAATTGCTAGAATGCTGATAATCAATAGGGTTCATCCTTTCCTGTTCCAATGCTTCCTACCAAATTTGAAAACCAATAGGGTTAATCTCCTCACAGTCCTAATCTGTAAAAGAAATCCGAAATGAAACGAAAGACGATATGTTGCCCCTTGCCAGACCCCCGTCGTGCATCACTGACATGGGGGAACCGCGCCGGAAAATCCCGATGAACTTTCTCGGCCAAGGTAAGAATCAAACACGGGACCCGTAAGAGAAATCCGTTAAAAACTGTTCTAACATGTTAAGAAGGCTTCAGAAAAATGGGGACAGGGGTGTTAACCGGGACTGAAGGACGCGGAGCGCTGAATGTCGATAATGTTCTTTCTTTCATGGCCCCAATCCTTCAAACAAAATTCGAAAGCAATCCCTTCAAGCCGTAGCCTCTATCGCGTTAACAAGGTGTTTGGAGAAGAGGATAACTCCGGAATTGAAGGTCATCGAACGCTGAATATCGACAGAGTTCATCCTATTTGAAAGAAAACCGTACAAAGTATAGCCATTATTTACGGACGGAGCGACGGACATGTTGGTGTATAAAATGGGGGAAAACATGTATATTGCATATTTTTCTTGCACTTACCCTCGTTTCTTTTTTTGTGAATAATACAGGCGATGACAATGATGATAATTTCTAACAGCAGAGTTCCACCTGCGCCTATACCAACACCTACATATCCACCAAATGGTGCACTCTGGTCCTGATCGTCTGACTCAATATTAACAGTAAATACAACTTGAAGTTTCTTCACATCTTCGTAAGATAACTCAACGCTATACTGACCGGCATCTTGAGGTTGTATGGAGTATATTATCAACTGTTTTGAATGGTGGTGAGATGCGTTTGATTGTTTTATACGGTAATTCTCCAACGTGATTAGTAGGCCATCTTTAGTCTGTCTATACCACATTACAGAAGATGGCGTTTTATCTCCCGAATACGGAACTGATAAGACTACATCACTACCCAGTCTGGCATTCACTGTCGTCACTATTTCAGCATTTAAAATTCGAACGTCACCTATATAAATAATTTCATATTTGAAAGTACGACAGTTTGACTTTAGTTGGCATTTCAAGACAATGTTGTCATGCTTATCAATTCAAGGTTATGGACATAGGTAACTATTGCTCGAAAACTAAATATATATAGCTAGCTCTATTTTCTACACCGGTCTCTTGGGTTCAGAATTGGACATGGATTCCTAACCATTTCATGGCCTTTAGCATTTTTTCAGCATTCCAATGATTCTAAACCATTAAGTCAACAAATATTGCCATACAAAATTGGGGAAAAAAAGATTGCTATACATGATTAGGATTTACAAACCAGATTACTGCGGTAGAAAAATATACCGAGTGGTGTCAATGCAAAAACATAATGTTATCTCAGAATTGTGGTATCAATTATCCTACCTGAACAATTATTAGCAATGACTTTTCTACGGGTTTAACAGTGATTCTATCGTTGACTCTAAGGCAAACAACATTAATGACAGTGATTTATAATAAATATTTAGTTTCGTCTTTTACTTACATTTTACACTGATATTTTCGAAGTTTCTTGTGACAGGATAACTCTTACCATTATCAGCCATACAAGTAAATGTATCTATATTATCATTACATTCTGTGGTTAGTTCAAATGATGATTCAACAGAATTCTGGGTGTTGTTGATCGTGTATAAGACTCCACGACGTTCACTAGAAATGGTGACAGTATAAGGTACAGAACTGTTCACCTCGCAGGTCAATTTGATCTTTTTATCAACTGTCGCGTTTGAATTAATTAGTACATTTGTGATATCAGGTCTTACTGCAAAGAAATATATTATTGTCATAATTATTACAGCCGCTTTGTCAAATATTCATAAAACTCACATGGCCTGTTAAAAAATAACCCGTCGTCGTAATTCTTTTATGGGATCTGGACGAATCCATAAGTTTTGGAAGCTATATTTGGAGAGAAAGAAGGGGTCGATAAAATGTGTGAAGCCGGTCTGTCGGTCAGCTATTTGGTCACTTGATGTCCGGATCCATAGCCTAAGCCCTGGCATTTCATTGCTCAACAGCCTAGAAGGCGGTGCGATCGGGTGACAATGGAAGCTAGAAGGTTTTACAAAATTAAACATACATTATGCAAGAGCTAAATCTACCTATTGCGGATCTTTCGTTAGGCCTGAAATATTATCTTAATTATTAATTCGACATTAATTAACTTCTCCAGGCCATAATCAACTCTCGATGCCATCGCTAGCCTGTGATATTTAGCGGATTGGAAAAAATTTTGAAAAAAATAATTAAACGTAAAAAAATAATTAATCGAGAATTCGTTTTTGTATCCTACCGACTTTAATAATGACGAAGGCTATCCTAAAATTCAAAAGCTATTATCTCGGTTCAGAGTGGAGCCATTTGACTGAAATTTTTAGCACATTCTATTTACGTTATCTATTTTTTAACTATTATAGCGAGAACTGTCAACTCTTTATCTAAGTGATGGATAATGGCCGAAGACTGTCCATTATGTAAATAGAAAGAACAACTGAGGGGCGTCTGAGGTTATTATCAAACTTAAAACATAGCACCATAGAGATACAAATAATGGATAGTTTTCTAAAACAACAAGCCATAAAATAATGGATATATTCTTAAAACAACATGCACATGCTCATGAATGCATGTGACAAAACACTCCAGTCATATACAAAGCAAGAATACACAGACAGTCCAAAATATTCTACATGGAGACGACATGTTTACAACGCAGTCGAAAACAAATAAATATTAATAATGAGAATATATTATGTGATAAGCATTTGGATATTGATTACATTGGTAATGTACTCGATATGGAAGATAATAGCCGTAATTGTGATGTTCTTGATGTGGGGGATAATAGCCGCCAAAGTATTGATTGAAAGGCTGCTCACGAGAATGATTTAGATATTGATAATTTTCTTAATACTGGGGTTAATATAGCCGTAAAAATTGTGATGTTCTTGATGTGGGGGATAATAGCCACCAAAGTTGTGATGGAAAGGCTACTCACGAGAATGATTTAGATGTTGATAATTTTCTTAATACTGTGGTTAATATGGAGGGTACTAGCCGGCCCAATTTTGATTTAAATTTTATATATACTCTGATATAAGTGACAGGACGTAGGATCAAAGGAACAACCCAATTCACGAAATTCAAACTCAACTGTAATTATGGTGTAACGGTGATATATTTGAACGTTTTTTATAATCGGATAAAAATTGTGACCTGCATAGGTTCCACTTGCTCAAAGCACGTTTTTTTTCTGTTCAATCCGGGGCCATAATCTAGGAAGTTACGGTCCGATGCGCCAATATCGCAAGGAATCCATATCTTTGGGTTATAAACACACATGTTCAGTTTCACCAAAATGGGCTAATAATTGTGACCTCTAGTGTGTACAGTCAGGGGCCGTAATCCACGAAGTTACGGTCCCATACAAGCCAATATCGAAAGGAACCGAGATCTTTGGGATATATACCTATATTTCAAGTTATGACCTGTAGAGTATCCACAAAGAAGATGTGAAAATGTGGGCGTATAAAAACGTATCATCGATCTAGTGCCGAACGAACTATTAAACGAATAAGTGACATATAACGGACGGATTTAAGTGGAATTCTTTATGTAGACAAACACGTGAAATCAACATTCTGTCATGTGACATTTCGGTAACTATGAGGTTTTAAAGTAATTTCATGTTCTGTAACTTAATTTGTTCAGAGAATAAATTATCCCAAAATACATGTTCATTTTTCAGATACGTGTCTATTATTGGTATTTTCTTAAACAATCGTCTATCATTTATAAAACTGTCCATTATTTTCAATCAATAATGGACAGTTTTATAAATAATAGACGATTGTTTAAGAAAATCGTACATTCTCTTATATAATGGTTAAGAACATCAAAGGTTGACGTCATATCTATGTTTTAATCTCCCATAATGCCCCTTTAATATGTCAATGGCTGCGAAAGAACAAGCTATTCAGCTTCAAATAGTTTAATTCTATTAATGCTTGAAAATACCTCAATAGAATTTAAGAACTTTTACAAATTTTAAAATTGAAGGTTTAGTTTTCTATTCCGTCTGACAAGAACCCTAGCGCAGACTCGACTAACTTTCTGAATTATGTGAACTAACTCCTCAAATGTATAGAGCCCATCGGTCCTTCTGAAATCATATTTTGGACTTGGATTTCAGAAACCGAAGTCTGAAATTCAGAACATAAAATGTTTGGTTTGTACGGGTACGACTATTAGTCATATAAACTGTCGGATAAAGATAATATTTTAACCTTTTACCTGTATTAGTGAAATTATAAAAATCAAATTGTTTGTCATGGTAGCAACTCCATACTGTTCCTTTCTCTTTCCATTCATTGATATTATCACTCGTGACAATTAAAGATGACGTTCTTGTAAGAGAATCGATATTAAATTCCTTTAATGTTTCATCTTTAACGACACATTGTCCGGCCATGTAAGGTGGTTCACATTCGAACTTGATAACTCCATCCTTTTTCCACATAACAGTTTTAGTCAGTTCATTATGCTTACATTTCAGCTGGAATGGTGGCTTGTAGCTAACTGACAGCTGAGTGGCATCTGAAAGAGTAAGAAAATAAAGAGTCCAAAGTATAAAGATATACAAAAAAGTCACAGTTACGAAATCTTTTTTTTTTAATTGTTGACTAGACGAAGGAAAGGAATAAGTTTAATAATCATGTCGACGACATATCGTTCATTTATTTACCATGATCGCGTTGGTAATACCAGGGAAGGGCATATAGACTTGTGCTACTGGTTCTTTGTGTGTGCACCACTGTGTGGACCAGTAACATTGAAAGAGTCTTCGTGGTCCACGATGCATGGTATTCGAAACTGCGATATTTTACCACAAATATTACAATCTAATATAATAATACGAATAAAATTTTTATGTGAAAGTATATAATCGTCACCAGGTTAGATTATATAAAAGACCAAACAGCCCTTTTTATCTTAATTCTTATTTCTTTATTTGTTGTCGTATTTCGACTTTTGTATCTTAAAATTAATTTTTGTGTCTTACAATCATACATTTGTCATATCAGATTTGTAAATTGTATACATCTTTGCCTAATTTAATTGTATTGAATTTGCATAGACAGATTATTTCGCTGAAGAAATAAAATGTGTCTCCTAAGCTGCGACAAATCAAACTTTCCAACAACAGGATATATCATAATTTCTATTTCAGCTATATACTGCTCCAATTACCACTTCAAACTACACTTCAAATTATAACACCCCTCAAACGACACTGAACCTAATCTAACGATACATCTGAAAGTTGACACCCATTCTGTATCAAATACCATTTTAACCAAACCCAGCCTTTAATACGCTTTAACAACATGTCTTTTCTATACACGACAAATAAAAAAAATTCATGGAAATCCAATAAGAAGACAGATTAAAACAAGAACACCCAAAGCTAAAAGTTACTATCACTTATGCATTAACATGTAAACGCATACATTCAATGCCAGAAACTAGGTCACCATGTGGCTTGGTCGGCCTTAAAGGAAATTACATCATAATCATGTAGGCCTACCGTCAAGTGACACTTGTCAAGTCAATTGGTATGCGGGGGGGGGGGGCAGAATTCTTTTAAACCTAACACTGGACCTAGCCCTAAAGCTTACCCTAACCCTAATCTACAATCTCGCCAACAATCACGTGCCCTAGCCTTATTTACATATCAGCGACCTTGACGAAAATTGATTTGGCCTTAAGAAATAGATCTTGCTCTTTATGCTCGGTTCCCATTATCACGATTCGTGCTGCGATTGAAATCGTGCTGCGATGAAATCGTGGTTTTAATCGTGAAGTTATCGTGGTGATCCTATCAGGTATCATACAGTATATTGAGGTCAGTCGTGTTGATCGTATCGAAACGTTTCCGAACGTATCTGGACGTACCAGATCGTGGACCCAATAGGGACAATCCTATCGTAACGCATTGTACGACAGTTGAAACCTTGCATAATAGGCACCTTTTTGTAGTTCGAAAGTATAAATTATGAAATCTGCAGAACAATTTGATCTAGAATAGATACAAATTACACGGCCCATATAAAAAGTTTGAATTTGGTGGACAGTAGCCATCGAATCCAGTTCAACAAGTGACCGAAATTTATTTGATAAAGAAACTAATTTCTGATCATGTATGTAATTAGCTTAAAACGAACCCTTAATTCGTTTTTCATATGATTTTAAAAAATAAATATTATATTGCATATTATATGTATACATACCCAGAAAATTGTAGATTACTGATATACATAATAAATATTATATTGCATATTATAGTATACATACCTAGAAAATTGTAGATTAATGTTATACATAATAAATATTATATTGCATATTATAGTATACATACCCAGAAAATTGTAGATCAATGCTATACATAATAGAAACAAATACAAATTCTCCATTTCGTGTGTTTCATACGGTATAGTTACTACTTTCTCTGGTTACAAGCAGCCTATATTCACTTTCTAATGCATTAAAATATTATCTAAAATACCTGTACATACAAACGATAGTCATCTTCCTTGTTGCCGTCTCTTTGTATTTGATTGTTATTCCATGAAAAGATTAGCCGCCTTGGTCTAATATTTGTTATTCAATTTCTCTATATAAAAGTAAATAAGTGAAGTTGGATGGTTACAGACTCGCAACAACAGTTAATTCCCCAAAACATAAATAGAATAATTGCAGTTTCTATTTATAAGTTATTTTTGGTTTTGGAAATAATAATACCCTCTTCACACATTATTACACAATCTAAATTACTGGACTGATTAATAATGTAACGTCAGAATATGTTTACATTACTAAAACATTGCCGATATTGTCTTGTTAAATGCTTCTTAATCAAAATGCAAACAAGTCTCGCCAAATTTAACTTAAAACGTAAAACAAGGGTATCATGTGTCTCGTCAAATATTATCTCTTATACCCCGTTCAGACGCTTATTTTTAAACCAGTTCAAAATCGCCGGGGTTTTTAAGACAGCGTCGTGTTGCGTTCACACGTACTATAAGTCAAACCAGTTTAACTATTCTGACCTCTTCGGTCGGAGGTTAGAGTTAACTACGCATGCGTACATACCATTTCCTGGTAGAATATGTAAACATCGCTGTATTTGATGCGAGAAAATGAAATGAAATACCAAGCGCTCTCTTACAAGAAATTAAAAAATTATCAAGGTTTTATCAACAAAGACTGACATACTTTAAGCTCACCGATAATTGATTGCTTGTCGGTTAACACCCACTGATTGAAGGCCGAATTATCCAATGTTAATTCAACGGAAATCATGAAACTGGGGTCCCCAAATTGGTCTAATAATTTGGAATATTCAGAGTCCACTGTACAAGCCTACACTATAAAGTAAGGCTGTGCAAAAATATCGATATAATCGATAATCGGTAGAAGTTATTTAGCGATACGATAATCGATATTGAAATTCAAATATCGATTATCGGTATATTTACCTTCTGACGGCAAGTTACGGTCACTTTCACATGACTGAACTTGCCGTAGTCTGGCATGCAGACGAATGAACGAATACACAACGTCAACACAACAATTTCCCCCCTCTGCGCTTACAAACTGGCACATTTTAAATATATATTATTGTAAAAAAAACTAAACTTTAAGATTAAATACATTATTTTAATATTTTCGTTGTTTTTGTTGTTATTACTAGTTGAAACTAAAATAGGTCACGCACTTTGTGAACAATAACGATCGCACGTGATATAGTAAAATTAGAATTATCTCCCTTCTTTGCTCTTGATTGATTTGTAGAGAAATTGTCTGCTTTCACGATAAAACTAATTGTATTATTAATGATCAACTCAGCTTTTATTACTAAATCATGTCAGATACAGCCCATACAAAACACGTTTTTGACTTCCCGGGAAAATATCTATATCTCTCGTAATTTCTTGGAAGAATTCTACTTTGGTTTTCGTCAAAATTAACCAATCATAAAAATTCTACTTTGAAAGCCGGTAATTATTTTTTTATTGTCCAATCAATAGACGTCTTCTATTATATTTTATTCTATTATTAGTAACACTGTGTGATCGCCAGTAACTTGCAAAGAGAAACCATGTATTGTCTTTGTATTTATCGGAGATATTGGAATAAATAAAAGGTTCAAATGAATCAAGAACAAAACTTAGAATAATACTCAAGTTAATCCTACATTTAGCAACTAATTATTTTACATTAATTGATTTTTTTACGTACATCGGCACAGTATTAGACAAGGATAATAACACTACTGTAACTCGATCAACACAAATAACAGGTCGGTAAAGTTCGGTTTTTCCGGAAGAATGATAATCGATTATTATCGATAATCGCTGACAAATTCTTGCCGATAATCGATATTGAAATTTCATATCGATTCCCAGCCTTACTATAAAGTTATTGATCAATTTTTAATTTATGTCTTTCAATTAATGTATAAAATAAAAGAGAATTTACCATTTTTGAAAACATACCAGACTGTTTTGTTGTTATTAGGGGCTTAACAATTGACTTACAATGAAGAAAACACCCATCACATACCGTTTCGCATTATTTGATAAAGATAAGAAGCCAACTTTTCCCAGTTCAATTGCTAAATGCCATTGAAACAATTAATCTCATACTGGTAATTTAAATTCATAAAAACTGAAATCACATAAAACGTGTTAAACTACAGTTCACTTTCACAACCAAGTACATACATCAGCTTCATGACACATTTGAAAATGATATGGATATTAATAATTAAAACATGGAAATAAATTTATTAAAACTTGAGCCATGGTAAAATGGAATGACAAATAAAATTCATGTATTTGTAGAAACAAAAATAAACTGTTATCAATGACAATAAATGCACTACATGTCAGATATTTTGGCACAAAATGTTACATCTTGAAAATACTATGATTAAGCTTCATAATACATTTGTTAATGATATGGATATTTATAATTAAAACATGGAAATAAATTTATTAAAACTTGAGCCATGGCACAATGGAATGATAAATAAAACTATGTATTTCTACAAACAAAAATAAACTGTTATCAATGAAAATAAACGCTCTACATTGCAGAACTTTTGGTACAAAATGATAGGTCTTGAAAATAATATGGTTTTATAAATTTGTATATGTGTGTCCATTAGCTCCTTGTAAAAATTGTGGCTGCGGAACATGTCCATTTTGTTGTTGAGAAAATTGATGCTGCTGAAATCCCTGATTGGCAAACAAACTCCATAATGTTAATTCATGTTGACTATCTCTTTCCCTATCCTCACGTCGTTGTTCCTCAGCTCTAAGTCGATCCTCCCGTCTCTGCTCTTCTCTACGTCTCTCTGAATCGGCCTCCATTCTCATTCTTTTTTCTTCGAATTCAAAATATGATCTTTCTTGTTCTCTTTGATAATTTATAAAGCTTGTTGTTGCCTCATTCAGAACACGTTGGATTATATCCTCTCTGTTTCTTTTTTTCTTTTCTGGCCCTGTAAGTAAATAAAATAACTCTTTAATGTTTAAATAAATGAACAATGATTGACAATTCGGGCCTCGAAATATCCCTTCAGTAACTAACCTGTCACTCTTAATTATCCAAAAAAACCCACAATATTTACCATGGTGCCGTTACACATGTACTTCTGTGTAGATACTTCAAAATGCTATAGATGAAAACTTGTGTGGATGGTGTGTTAAAGTTCTTATACAATAATTGGGCGTGGTTCTGTCCCTGGGGGTCAGGCATGTACCAAAAAAAACCATATTGGAAAGGAATAATAAAATATATGTGACATAATATGTGAGTAGGCCTATTGTGGTCTGGAGTCAATTTCCTGAACATTAGTAAATTTAGTCCACCTACTTACTACCTGTCAGACCTGTCACTGACACATAGTCAGAGAACACTTCAAGTCCTGCATTTTATTTCCATATAGGTATACACCTTATTAAGTCACTCTTCTGTTTTGTTTTCCCTATTCCTGGCTACACTATTTTGAATCCGATCTTATTATGTATTAAAATCATAAACAAAATTCTCTGGAGAAAGTTCATCCAGATTTTCCAGCGTGGTTTCCCCTTGTCAGTGATGCTGGACGGAGGGCCTGACAAGGACAGCTGTCTAGTTGTTCGGATGGGACAAAAAACCGAGGTCGCGTGTACACATTGGAGTGCATGTAAAAGATCTCTTGGCAGTTGGAATTCGATATAAGAGTAGGCCATAGCGCCGCTGCCCGGGCAAAATTTCCCTCATAGCACACTGTATGGCGTATGACCGTCTTCATTAGCACAGTTTAGGAGCAGAACAGTAGGACGTTAAACCCCATTTCATTTCATTTCCAATGGCTATTATCCAAAAAATTTTGATTTAATTTGTTTTGTATGTATAGGCCTATGTGAGTTCGATCCCATGTTAGTAAGCTGCTTATATTGCCTGCAAACTACCGCATCGATTTAGTCTTGCTCCTGACAATAACATGTACGCTTACCTGAATTAATACTTGTCTCCAGAATATGTGTTGGACGGGTAGCGGGTCTGGTTCCCAATATTTTATCCATTGCATCATAAAACTTTCCAGTTTTCTTACCACTCCTACTTTTATTGTTGTGGTCCTTTATTTTTTTATAAGAATGCTTCATGTTTTTTTATACGATTCTTGCAGGCGTCTGCAGATTTTTTGTACCCATTTTCCTGATAGAAAATATAAAATACATGTATTACTAGAATATGAGAAAACCGGGATTTATGAAAAATGCTTACGCTATTATAAATAGTATATTTTTATTAGGTGTGATGAATCAAAAATTTATAGATTCAGGAAAGAAATGTTGCATTTGTAGCCAATGTAGGCCTTACTCATGTGACGGCATTATATTCTCTAAAGGTACATACAAAATACATATAGGTATAAATTAAAAATACAATTTTGTTAGAAATAAAGACTGGCTCGTCTGAACTGATCAGGTCAGAAATAAGTCAACCCGCGAAACCGAAAAGAAATAACTAACCTCAAGTCTATTGGCAATAGACTGTCACACCTTTTTGTTTCGGACGGTGCCATCCAGCTGTCCTTGAATGGCGTCCTCTCCCCACACACAAATGAGGAAATGTGTTTCTTCGTCGCCCCAGTTCACCCCTCTATTATTAGTATGGTCGTTTTCAATAATACTGGCATCGGCACTGCATGAAGCCGCCATTTTCCCAGGAATGTAGCGTATTGCGCATGTCCAAAGAAAGCTGGAGCTGGGGTTTTTAAGCCAACCCGTTCAGACGGCTATGAACCGGTTTAAAATAAAAAGCCTTCTCGAAGACAGGTCGCGAGCTGGGGTTTTTAAACTGGTTTATTTGCCCCACATGTGCGTTCAGACGCTTAAGTTAAACTGGTTTAACGATCCCCGGGGTTTTTAAACCAGTTCAACTTAAGCGTCTGAACGGGGTATTAATCAAAACGTAACACAAAGGAGAAAAGGTCTTGTCAAATTATCTTAATGGAAACGTAAAACAAGATGTGACTCGTCAAATGTAACTTAATCAAAACGTAAAAAAGTGAATTGGTTTCGACAAATTATCTTAATCAAAGCGTAAAACAAGGATGAAATTTATCTTAATCGAAAAGTAAAACAAGCGTATATATGGGTATATCTTAACCAGAACGTAAACATCAAAATGTAAACAGTTCCAGTAAACAATTTGATATAATGCACAAGTATTAAAATATCATAAAATATCAACTAATGACGAAAATAGGTTAATTACATTCGTTCTGATATTATTTGATATTTAGTGTATTAGGCGGGGTGGGATAGGATATTAGGCGGGTGGGATACAGGGCCCTGTTTCTCGAAATCTTAACTAAAGATAAAATCCAAATTCTAGTAGATATACATGTACTTCAATTTTGATTGGCTAAGCACTAAAATCTATCTAATATTATCCAATCAAATTACTAAAATTTGGATTTTATCTTAGTTAAAATTTCGTGAAACAGGCCCCTGGTTTATAACAAGGGCGTGGTGACCCATGATATTGCATGAGGAACACTATCCTGTCCGGGCCAATAAAAAACAATATTATGTGTGGGGGGTGGGGGATGTGTGTGTTTGGGGGGGGGGGGGGGTCCTCCCAGTGTCGCCGGGTAACATTGGGCTGTTTGAAACATGCTAGAGTCGATTGTAGCATCTCTAACCCACGGTATATGTTTGACACTGGTTAAGCATTATGATTATGATTATAAGGTTGGAGACAGCATAGAAACCGCGTGATATTTTGCCATTTGCGAAGGGGCACGAAAACTCCTAACCATGACGCAAAGCTCGCCATTGCGTCCCTCTCACATAGCCCCTGGTCTATAAGCACTTATTACCGGATATTAGGCGGGGCGAGATAATTTCTGTATAAGCACTTATTACCGGATTAGGCGAGTTGGGACAGGGGTTTATAAGCACTTATAAGTGGATACTAGTCAACTATAAATGTTAAAGTAATACTGTGTGTGAGAGAGAGGGCAAGAGAGAGAGAGAGAGAGAGATGGGGCTTAACGCCCACTCGACACAAACTAGGTCATTTCGGGACTAACACATGGTTCAATTTTATTTCAATAATTCACTTGCGCCTAGTTGTCTTTAGCAGTGGGAGGAAATGTTAATCTACGTCCTTCCTACAGGTTGTTTGGGCTGAAAGTCGATTTTCTGCAGTAACAATCCAACACCGACAAACCATCTATTGAGATCAAAAGGGCAAGCTTTTAAATAAATCCCGCCGTGTAACCAGAAGGCGATAAGAAATTCTACGGTATGGTGTTTTCTAGTGTTTTGCCTAACAACTCAGACTGTCGACTACCAATAATCCTTGGTGTGCGTACGCCTATACATTGTAGGGCCTATTTACGTGTTTTTTGATGTTACCCCGTCCAGTACCATGTTACATATTTTTCATCTAGGGAGGATGGGGTATATCGTCCACCCGAGAGTAGACAGGCGACTCTTCTTCTTGTGAGGATATAACCAGCAACTTACATAGATAATAGGGCTCATTATCTACAACACATTTTATTGAATTTATCTAGATTATTTTATACAATATGATAATCAAGCCGTTATTAGAACTGAACGGAAATAAACACTAATAAATCAAAAAGGCAAGCCAAATATAAATGTTTTGTGATGAAATATGAAATGGGGTTTAACGTCCTACTGTTCTGCTCCTATGCTGGACTAATGAAGACGGGCATACAGTATACAGTGTGCTATGAGGGAAATTTTGCCCGGGCAGCGGCACTATCGCCTACTCTTATATCGAATTCCAACTACCAAGGGATCTTTTACGTGCACTCTAATGTATACTCGGGACCTCGGTTTTTCGTCTCATCCGAAGGACTAGACAGCTGTCATTGTCAGGCCTTCCGTCCTGCATCACTGACAAGGGGGAACCACGCCGGAAAATCTGGATGAACTTTCTCGGCCAATGCAGGGATCGAACACCCGACCGCCAGCCTAGCGAGACAGCGTCTTACCTAAATGTTTTGTATAGATCTTTGGTCCGGCAATGACTCGACCAAATTTATGAAATGAAACGGGGTTTAACATCCTACTGTTCTGCACCGAAGGAGCTAATATATAAAGGATTTTACGTGACCACTGATGTGGACACGGGGCTTCTGTTTTCGTCCCATCTGAACGACTAGACACGAACGGCTCTAGCAACTGCACGATTGGCAGGCGGAAACTTTCTCGGCCGGACCTCCTGGTTAGTGAGCCACTGTGGCCCCACCCAGTTTATGGCGTGGAGAAAGGAGGAAGTAGATTTTAAATGTCTGTGTTCATATAATACAGAATTAATTGTCTTCTTCCGTTTTAGATATTCATTTCTAAAATATAATAATATGCGTGGTACATTTTTTAAGGTGTAGAAGAAATTAAATGAGATTAAATCGGGATAATAATCGAATACACGCTGTGAAAACAAAGCAATCTGTAGAACCAAAACATGACCTGGTGATCTTTTTGACTATTTATGGAGTTGGCTAGATTTGATTTCAAAATTGATCTTGTAATTTTCTGTAGCCAAAATAATCAACCATCGGCGTCTGTCGTTAACCGGAAATTGTTCGACATTGGAGAATATGACCTACTCTGTTTAATATTCAACAAAACATCAAAATTCAAAGGAATATTACATAACCATTCGTATAGCTAGAGATCAAGCGGACTCTTTCTCAAAAGAGGGGATAATAGGATCTGGGACATCGCACTCCTTGATTCTCGAGGATACCAGAAGAATAGTTAAATCATAGACTATATATTTCATTTATACATTTATTTGTAAGTAAAACTGGATATGGTGAGAAATAAGAAAAAAAAGGCGAGAATTAATTTATTATATAATCTGTAAAATAATCAGCAGTTACAATTTAAAAATATATATATACTTATACATGTATAACATATACAGATAGTATTCCAAGAAAGTTCAACATTTTAAATAAAATTAACATTATTTGTCACGTGACGTGATTGAGAGGCGGGGCCGTTTTCAGTGTGTACAATTTGTCGATACGGGATGTGCTTTTACCATAAATGTCGAAGCCTATAGGTACATTCTAAGATTATCTTCTGCTTACTTCTCTTTCCGCTGTTTAATCCCAAAGTCTGTAGTACGTGTAAGTCTCTCACTGTTATCACAACTTCTATTCGCCCAACAAAACTATGACCCCTTTCATCTTTCAATAATCAGACAGCAAGACGCGGACTGTCCGTTAGGGATCCCATTACATGTTTGTCCTATACGCGCCTCGTGGATGTCTTTCAGGGAAACCAGTATTTTTCTGGTAAGATTGGGTTTCTCTACTTTACATATGTACCAAATTTGCCATACATTTATTTGAAATAACCACCATATACTGTAAATACTTTCGACGAAATGTATCTTTAAATGTCAGGATATAAAAGACATGAACAGTAAAATCATTTAAAAGTAAGTAAATGTTATAATGATTAATAAAAAAGGAGAATAAATTAAGCAATATTATTACTAAAAGCTTCTATATAATAGTTAAATTGATCGCCTTGGATATATTAATAAAACTGGTATCTCGAACGGCTCTTGGAGAAACTTAATTCTAGTCCTATACGATTATCCGAAGCTCTTTGTTAGTTTTTTTTAATTCAAAATGAAATGAAATGAAATGAAATGGAGTTTAACGTCCTTTTATTCTGCTCCTATGCTGAGCTAATGAAGACGGGCATACGCCATACAGTGTGCTATGAGGGAAATTTTGCCCGGGCAGCGGCACTATCACCTACTCTTATATCGAATTCTAACTGCCAAGGTATCTTTTACGTGCATTCCAATGTATACACGGGACCTCGGATTTTCGTCTTATCCGAAGGACTAGACAGCTGTCCTTGTCAGGCCATCGTCCTGCATCGCTGACAAGGGGGAACCACGCCGGAAAATCTGGATGAACTTTCTCGGCTTCTTACCCACTTAGCCACGTGATCCCCTTTTTTTAAATTCAATTAAACGGTCTGTTTTCGTTATATTTCTGCACACCATGTCTATAGGCCGCGTGTAGAGAACCATCCCGGTTCATTGCATTAATTTGTCATTTTTTAAAAAATAGAGATAAAATGCTTACTGGTTATAAGCAATTTTGGAGTACTTAGTATTTTGGACTGAATCTCCAAGAAAAATAATCTGCTTGGTTTTTGGAGTTTTTTTTGGTTTTTTTTTACAGCAATTGATTTTGGCGTTTGATTTGCAACATGCGTGAGGAATGAGGATGAAAACTGAAACTTGATCAGGATGTAAATATTATAACATCCACCCTGTTTTGTTAAACTTATCTAGTTTCCTTCCCCATACCCGTATTTCATCTCGTTTTCGTTAATTAGTATCGTGTAACAGTCGGCATACAGATGTGTTGTTATTTTGTTGCCGGTGGTGGTAAATATTATGGGTTATGTAAGTCGACTACTTTGTCACTATATTATCAACCTTTTAATAATAGACCCTACTGATAGTTAGCTATACGTATTAATTTAGAAATATTACAATTTAATCTGCATTCACGCAATCTCTTGGAATAACATTCCTTATTTCTCAATAAGACTGAGTACTATAAACACCATTTTGGATGCCAAATAATTAAAAAAATGAGTTTTCAAGCGCATTATTTGGTAGATGTGAGAGTTTGTTGGGTACTGTAAACTGTACACGCAAGGATGGGATTTCATGGTATATAGACCTATTTGGACACACCGAAACATTCCAAAAAAGCATTTTACTAATGCAGCACTTTCTTGTATCGTAGAAAATATCCGGATCAATCTTTTTTGAATTCAAATTTTTTAATATCGAATGAATTTGAGAAATTATAATAGGACTGCACAAATATTATTAAAAAAATAAGATAAAATAAATACGAAAATAACAAAGCAAGCGATTTTGATCTAAAAAATTATTATATTTTAATATAATAATATTTTAGATCAAACTAAAATTTACCCCTTACCCTAGCCCTAACCCTATTCCTACTTACAGTGGAATCCGGTATCCTTTTAAACTGATTTCAACTTGGAAACTTGTGATTAGTACAATGGAACTTTGGTTTCGTGGCAATTTCCAACACATTTCAAACTAACATGTGAATTTTATGTACGAGGAAAGATCATGCTTACTTTTTCTAAAACACCCGATACCACTTATCACAATAACACGAATAAATGTTTATTGGTTTACGGTTTCTTTAGGGACAAAAAGTCAGTTAATACGTGTTTTGTTGTTTAGAATAAAACATTTAGTCTATTATTATTTTTTTTAATCCCAAGAAAGAGTTTGAAAATTTTGTAGTTTGATATTAGTTCATCTCATTTTTCTTTTCAATTTGTGATTTTCCAACAAATGTGTAATTCATATCAAAGTAATAATTAACAATTTAAGATTTTTCTTTGGTATACTGAACATTTTCATACTCTTCTTGTCCAACAACTATATTAACAGGACCTGAAATAATACCATAACTACACTTAGGACCAAGATTAAGATTAGTTTAAGATTAAACAGGATCTGTTTAAAGTGAAAGCGATCCTGGAACAATTTCGACCGGAGAAGATAAGTTGCTAAGAAATGAAATCTACACAAACAACATCTAAATATTATGATGATGTCTATGAAAGTTAGCATATTGTCAATCTTATAAAGGGGCTTCAGTGTTTACTAAATACTAAAATTGACCAAAATCATAAAAAATAAGTAATTTCCATCAATTGTTACAGTTCGATACACTTCCTTGCTACATATAAATTTCGATTTGAAATAGTTGAATTTGTTCGGTGTTTGTTTTGTTTTGCTATTAATCAAACGGATTCCAAAATAATGGCAAATGACAAACACTCTTAAGTATCTAAACAATGCATAAAAAGACAGTATATTACACATATATATGTTAAATTACGATTGAATAATAATATTTTTAAAAATGTAACATAAACAATTGTTACGCTCGTTTGGTGTAATCGCAATCTGATTAAAATACAGATCTATATTTCGTTCCGTTTTTTTATACTTTCGATGGCCTACACTTGTAGTAAAGACAAGTAAAACGAGATTTTGAACTATAAAAACGAAACGAAATAGGATCTGTGTTTAACCAGATTGGTGTAATCGCTAAATAGAATTCATGTTATTAAAATCTAGATGGTGTTATATTGAATTAACCAATCCTCTTAGATTTGGGTAACAGATAAATTAAATTTGATGTGTTGATTTGTTTTTACATTTAATATCTTACACTTCATAGAAGCCGCCAGATTAACCAAAAATTAAAATTAACAGAATTCTTTTTTCGCTTAATATTCAAATAAAAAAAACGTAATGGTACAGAACGTTTTCCATCCCTAATCGAAGTCACATATCAACTCAATGAATCAAATCGTTTTGCTCTTTTAAAACCTTTACAGAGACAATAGCCAGAAAATATTAGTTGACATATAATCAGGCAACCAAATTAAAAACAACTGTATATGGTACTCGTGACACAAAAACATTCTGTACCTCGACGAGAATGCGAATCCTGGGTCCAAATCCTAAATTTTCGTTTCCATTACTTAACTAAAATATAATATAAAACACAAATTTATATGGAAAACAATCACTGGGTTTATTTCACACTACAGTTTCAACAAGTTCCTCTTGTCGTTCTCAAGTACTTACTTGAAAACGACAAGAGGAACTTGTTGAAACGTAGTGTGAAATAAACCCAGTGATTGTTTTCCATATAAATTTGTGATTTATATCATATGTTCAGTTACTAAATGCCGTATAAGGATTTTAACTAAAATATAATAATTTGCAACAGTTAAATGCACATATTGTATTATATTAAATCATTTTCACCACAACTACATTGTTACAATAACTCAAATACTTATTTCGGCTTCTAAGAAGGTTTCGTGTAGCTACTCCCATATTATTGTTCAAGTAATTGGTTACCTGTGACCAGTCAATCATCATATTTCCCGCCATTATTTTATTTAGCGCTACGAGAAATTCTAACCTTTTGATTTCCTCCATCGTAAAACGCCCCAGGTTACACTAAGTACGACAGCAACTAATACAAGGGTTACCGCTATTCCTACACCAACACCAATACCGATACTTCCACACCCACAATCATTAGTAACACTTGTAGTTTTCTCATTTACTACCAATGTGAAATCTTTCTGAAGGCTCCTGCCGCCCGTGGATAAATCTGCTTTGTATACACCACTATCTTCCATGTGCACGGTTTGAATAGTGAGGGTTGCATTATTATGGGATGTTGTTTTAGTGTTCCTATAGTTAGTCATTGAGACAAACGTTGTATGCCCAATCTTCCGACTCCAGACGATCTGTGGTTTAGGGTATCCCACAAATCTTACCACCAATGTGGTGTCAGAACCAACATTCGTCACAACAGTTGTCTCGGTATCGTCTTTTAGTTTTACGGGACCTATAAAGAAATGTACATAAAGACATAATAGGATGTCAGAAAATGAATCATACGCCCATCAGCATTTTAGTCCAATGTGTTTATAAAGGTTTTTACCAGTATTATATTTTGGATTTTTTTTTAAAAAAAATTCAGAATACCAGATACTTCGACTGACAGCCGACTAATGCCATCGTTAAACAGATAACGGAGCCCAACACCTCTGTTAAATATAACGGCAAGTTAACGGGGCTTCTAGCAACAGACTTTCTTTTCGTTAAAGATAACGATCCGTTAACTGCATGTTAAAGAGTCGTTAAAATTTAACGGAGCTTTGAGCAACCGGTCCCGGGCATGGTTAGTGAGCTAACATTTTACTCAGTGAACCACCGTTTCTCACTAAATGAATAAATCGAGCATGTTTTAAAAATGAATCCCAAAATCTCTGGTATGGAGCTTGACAGATCGTCGGACCAGTTTGAAAATGACTAAAATTCGTCGAACTACTAAGAGGAAAACGCAGACGATTTATCAATTTGTCGCATGACGAACGCAGCAAATTTTATTTGAACAAACCCAGGCATCATCAAGTTTTTAAAATTGCAACTTATTTGAACGGGAATGTTGTTTCTTTTTAATCCATGCTGGCGGTCCAACCATACGAATAACCACATTAAAGGTATATGTACTTGCTTCCAACTAGTATTTTTCCAGTCTATTCAGTGGAAGTTCCTTCATGCTGGGGCGGTTCAGCCGAATACGTAACCTCATTAAATAGAGTGGGGACCCAAAGGGTTAACCTAGCTGAAAAGTGTACCAATTTTCTCTCCGATATGGTATCAATGCATGCATATCTGATATCATCAGAATGTAAGTCTGCCGGGTTTCTGGTGGTGGGTGTCGTATTCCACGCCCAAAATTTCATGCCCCCACCCCCTACTAGTCTAGATTAGCACAAAAGGGAACCACATAAAAATCGCACAGCAGTGTACCGTACATCTTCAGGTATTACAAAAACACTCTGACAGACATTTCTAGTGGTGGGGTACCCCTGACAGAGCTATGTAATTGCCAGACATTTGTAGTGGTGGAATTATCTAATTTCCAGATCACAGCTAGGCTAGATTATCTGAAATCTGTACCACCTAATTTGGAGTTGTTCAGTACCACGACAGGAATCATGAATGACCACTGCCTGACAGTTTGTGTGGTGGGTTACCCCTAACAGACATGCCCAAAATGCCACGGCCCCCATTTAGGACAGATTAGCCGGTACTGTTCCCGTGGTCCAAAAAGTTAAAAATTGTGCCAGGATGCATAGAAAACTAATATCTAGCACATATGGAAGGGGCGATAAATTGCGGATTTTTAGTCCCATAAAAAGTTTTTTGCCCAAAAATCAATTTTTTGCAACCGCAGTTTACCTCCTCTTCCATACGTGCGAGGTATTAGTATTCTACGCATCCTGGCTAAAAATTTAATTTTGCGTAGGGGTCTTTAGCAGTGGGAGAAAACCGCATGAGCCAGAGAAAACTCTCAAGGTTGGACAGGCGACCCTACTCCTTGTCACGTACAACCGGGGAAACGAAACCACGCCAGTTGATTCAATGACAGACCTTATGATACAACGCACACGCGCTAACCTTTCGCCCCCACCCCAACCCTACAGGGGAGAACGGTCAGAAGAAAACTTGAATTAAATGAAATACGGTACTTACATTTAACATTGAGTGTTAACATCTCTGGGTTGGCTGATCCATAACCATTTGATGCTTCACATCTAAATTCATGATCAAAGCACCTGGCCTTTATCGGCCAGCTATGATTTGATGCACTCTCATTAGACGATGATTCTCTGTCAGAACCAGAAATTGTGATTTTTTGAACCGGTTCAGTGCTTTCACATTTAAGCTCTACTTCCCCCCCTTCATCCACGTTAATAGAGGTAGAATATTTTACGCTGTCGATGAAACCAGTGAAAGTTACAAGTGGTTTATCTGAAATAGTTCAACAGATGAATTATCATTAGGCATTGTTCCATGTTTATTAGGAATAAGTAAAGAATAAAAAATGTGATGCAGTATTAACTACATTAGATAGTATGACCATATCATGCCCCGTGAACGACACTCGTTAATAACAGGGGCCATGGGTCATTACCGATTTTCATAAAGAGAAAGGGGGATCTAGATATAAAGCTATACCGTTGGTGAGCCCGGTTCAAGACAAACCGGACGTAATTAAAGCCCAAAGCGCTAATCAAATAAGGTCGCATCATGGTAGTAAAAAAATAACAACACGGGGCCATTAAATAGAATCTATCTTTGCAATCGCGGATTTTATGAGGCTAATTCTGAGTCCAGAGAGAATCAGGTCAGAATTCTTTTAGGGCCCACATCCACGTTCTTAATTATAGCTTGATAGTTTGATTTACCTACTTTCAAAATGTGAATAAAACTGGGACCAGTTTATTTTACTGTTTGATACAGTCTTGTGTATGTCTGTCTGATACAGAGCTGTCTACTTTTCTGTTACTGTGTGTATATGTCTGTCTGATACAGTCCTTTCTAAACTTACCTGTAACATTAATAGCTATATCTCCAACGACGGAACCCCCATGTTTACAAGTCCAATTTCCTTCATTTTTCTTTTTAATCACGGACTGGAGTTGCACTTGAGTGGTGCCCTTTTCAATATTGAAATCATAGGAATAGTGTGTTTGGTCTATTGTTTGAATCTTGTGACAAATTCCAGCACAATATGGTTTCGAACATTTGAAATATTGGATTCCTTCATACAGCCACTCAACTTCCTGTGTTATTTTGCCGATGTTGCAAGTTATTGTCACCGGGCTGCCATACATCACTTTCTCTGGTGATTGAGTCACACTTAATCCTGAAATTATAGTGCGCCCAAATGTCAGATTTTGTACATGAACATACAACACTTTACTTCGCCCCGACTTCAAGGCTCAGGTAAGATCTACCATTTTCAGACCAGCTGCCACATAGGCAGTTGACGTCAAATTGGGTTATGCACGAAACATAAGAGGAAAACCTTGAGTTTTTATTGGCTGTTTAACATTTTATAGATCATATAAAATACGGAATACAAAACCAAAGGGAACGCAAAGCTAACTCGTTCTGACGCCCTCATGACGGGTAATCAGTAATTTAACCACCATAAGGGGATTGGAAAAGAGTCAAAGAATTTTTATAGCACCATTTCCACAAAGAGTGCTCAAAAGCGCTTTACAATAGACATGGTACAAACATACATGAATGTAAGTAATAAGTAAGACAATCACAAATTTTAAAAATAAAATATAAATCGACACTGAAAAGGTGTGGTTGTTAAAGATAGTATAGAGTTAACAACGATAATCTCTTTTAAGCGAAGGAGTTTTAAGACTAATCTTAAAACTTGATAACGTATTGATGCTGCGAATAAATACCGAGGTTTATTCTACAACTTTTGGGCTGCAATCTGAGACTCTCTTTCATCATAAGATGTCCATTCTTCTCCTCAAGGAGATACGAATCATTAGAAGACCGCAACGTTACTGTCGACGAGGTTGATATAGAAACTTAAAACCTTTATGACGGTATAAATCTGATTACGTATAAAGGCCCATAACGATTGTCTTCTGGGTTTCTCTATCCATTGTGCTGTGCTATTTTATATCATTTGCATGCTGGAATGTTCCCTTTTCACCTGTTTTTGCGACGAAATGCCTCAACATGCAAAAGTTTATCAGTGTTACTACCTACCTTGTACAGATAGAGTATAGATGTGAAGAATAACATATAAACGTAAATATTTGATCCCGAATTCCAACATTTTAAATACCTGCAGTCTACTGAAAGAAAAACAAGAAAGGGGATATCTATACTTAAAAGAATTAAGAATATTGAATAAATAGCGTTTTGGTCTTCCATCTAACACTAAACAATTCAGGGCCCTGTTTCACGAAATTTTAAATAAAGATAAAATCCAAATTTTAGTAGATACTTCAATTTTGATTGGCTAAGCACTAAAATAAATCTAATATTATCCAATCAAATTACTAAAATTTGGATTTTATCTTAGTTAAAATTTCGTGAAACAGGCCCCTGAATAGTTATTTGCCTTTCCCTTGGACTCAGCTTTGGTGTTGGGAATCGGCTATACCTCTTGTAGAGATATAGACTTACTTAAAGATACATTATAGGAGATTAGATAAAGAGCTGGCAGTTCTCACTATAATAGTTAAAAACTAGATAGGGTAAAGGGAATTTGCTGAAAATTTCAGTCAAATTGATCCACTCTGAACCGAGATTTTAGCGATTGAATTTTCGGCCTAGCCTCGATCATCATTAGTCGATACGATAAAAACATAGTCTCGATTATCCATTTCATGATTAAATCATGAATGGAAGTCGAACAGCAAATCGGAACCTAATCCAATAAACCTCGCAGGCTAGCGATGACATCGAGAATTGATTATGGCCTGTCTAATTTAATTAATGTCTATTTCATAATTTAGATCAGGCTTAAAGAAAGACCTGCAATGGGCAGATTTAGCTCTTGCATAATGTATGTTTAATAGACTACGAACTAAACATATCAGAAATTTATCGGCTAGTACGTAATCGAATTTAGTAGACCAATAAAAAGAATAATTCACCCATATTTACTGTCCAATTGTAACACTGACGATAATGTTCATCGTCAGTTGTCCGAAATATGCATATTCACAAAACTCGTAATAAAAAGTCATACAATTAGTAGTCAACAAACGTTTCAATAGGTCATAAAATAATTCACCTCAGTGAACTTAATCATTTAAAAAATAATCCTTGGTAAAGACATATACATATAAATCGACAACAAATAGTCAGGATTTAGTAGGTTACATGTAATTTATACTCCCTACTTATTCAAGCCTAAACTATATCCTCTAGAAAAGATTTTTCTTATTTGAATTTAACAAAAAAATAAGGAATGAAAGGCATTCTTCAAATGGTAATCTAGATGATTAAATAAGAAAAACCATGGTTAGGTATAATCTTGACCTCGATGTTCATGGATAGAAACGAGTCATTCTTCAGCAGCTGATCGGCGTTCTTAGACAGAAAACGACGACGTCATGAAATCAATAGAAATGTAGATGGCGTATTATTCATTAGGAGACTAAAGTTCTTTGAAAAAAAAAACATAACGTAATGATATAAGTAGAAAATAATAGTAAAATGACATAACCTTATAAATTATAAAATAGACTTACCCCAATAAAGGCTTTTAACAGTTAATGTTATTCACCACAATGCAATTAGCCAAATGACACAAAATGTAGATAATACACAGTTAGTTAATGGAACAAGGAAGCTATCACATTATATCATCTGATTGGTTGCTAATAATATGAAGAACCGTTCTCGACCTCAATACTGCCTTATAGTTCTAATGTTAAATATCAATAGTAATTGGGCGGGGTTCTATTTCACAAAAACTTTTAAAAGCTAAAATGATATACTGGATTATTTATTTAATTTGTGTGATACCTCTTGAAAGCAATATTTTAAGTACTAAAATTCGAACAAATCTATTAGCTATGTTAACTGGCATGATATCAATTGTGTTACGGAAAGAGTAAGGGCTGCCTGTATCGTGCACGACAACCGCCAGTGCTTATTGCTACATCAAGAGTCAGTTCGGACTTGGATAAACTCATTCCCACCATATTTTATTAGCGATATAATCCCGAATGAGAGAGAGGATGATGGATGGCGAATGGTTAGCGCGTGCGCGCTGTACATATCATAAGGTTTGTCATAGAGTCAACTGGTTTCGATTCCCCGGTTGTACTTGACAAGGAGTAGGGGCGCCTGTCCAACCTCGTGAGTTTTCTCCGGGTCCTCAGATTTCCTCCAACTGCTAAAAGACCCCTACGTGCAATAAAATTGAAATGACTTGTTTGTGTCGAGTGGACGTAAAACCACATTTCTCTATCTCTACGAAGGAGAGATCGGATCAGCTGTCCAATAAAGTGCAATGCGATTAACCATGTATCTATTATTCGTCATTATCACCAATTGTTTAGACATGCGCTCCCAAACGATACGTGGTATTAGATGCTCTAGAAAAAGTAATGCTATCACCCATACCCTGCCGTGGGCATTATTAAAAGTCCTTTAGGTTCAAGTAGCCACGGTGGTTCAGTGAGTAAGATGTTGGCTCGCTAACTTGGAGGTCCCGCCTTCAAACCCTTCGTTTGCCGAATTTTCCAGATTGGTTTCCCCTTTTCAGTGGTGTTGGACGGACGACCTGACAATGGACAGCACATACTCGTTCCGATGGGACGAAAAACCTCGGTCTCGTGTACACATTAGCGAGCACGTATAAGAACCCTTGACAGTTGGAATTCGATATAAGAGTAGGTCATAACGCTTAGACAAAATTTCCCGCATAGTACACTGCATGTCGGAGCAGAACAGTAGGACGTTCATTTTAGGAGCCCTAAAATCGGTATACTAGTTGGATTTGCTTTACTAGAATGCTTTTCAATTGAGTTTCATTTGGAGACTATAATCTAACAAATGCAAACGCCGCACTGATTCAGTAAGAAGCTGGCTCACTAATCACTGCATTTGCAACTATGTTTGAAGGCATTGGTAATTAAATTCATTCGTATTTCCGATATGATGTCCTTGTACTTGCTTTGTTTTTTTAGACAATAGTTTATTCGAAAATTGAAAGGGATTGAGGAAAAGACTTAGTCTATATTATGATTTCTTTCTTAAGTACAAGAATACATATGGATAATGTAAAGGAAATAGGTGAATAAACAAAAAACACAATGCAATGAATAAAGCTGCGTAGTGTCAAGTGTCAAGTGTCAAGTTTAACCATAATTAATTCCGGATATTCGCATTGACTTTTAGTCAACAATAGGAAATAATTCAGTCAAAAAATTAAGGAATATCACCAAAAGCGAACTCGCCCAGACAAACGGATAGACGGACAGATGGACAGAAGGGAGGAGAAAAAACTATAGTCCTCCCCTTAAATTAGCAAAATATTTACTTTAATTTTAAATACTTAAAATATTGTAATAAGTCAGTTTCGTAAAAGAAATATATAAATATATAATCATTTAAATAATCTTTTATAATTATTATTAACCAACTATATCATATTGCAACTAAAATTAAATTCCCATACTTTCATTAATCTTATAAAATTATATAGTCATATCAGATTAGGAAACGCTAAACATTATGGAAATGAATAACCCACCTCCTATTTCTATTTAAATCTGTTTTTTTTTACTGTAGTTGAGCGAGGATTTTTAATTATCTATCATATAAGATAATATGCTCATATAAAATACGAACACACTGAATCATATAAAATTATATACACATATAAAATACTGTCAGTAATTATATAAAATTATAACATTTATAAATATCAATATAGATATAATAAGGTTCATGATCTCAGGGCCACAATGCTTCACACCGAATTTCAAAATAATCTATTAAAATATGTTGCTTCTGTCGCGTCCACAAGATTTATAATAACTTTCATGAAATTGGGAAAAAAGCTTATTGTAAAATCAAGGGCCAGAAAAATTCCATGAAAACTGCCCCATCTATATATCTTGCTTACAAGTAGTTTCGGCAGAAATTTAAAACATATTAATCCGTATCTTGTCGTATCATAAAATTTGATGACAACTCTGACCACTATCTTGCTGACAAACATCACCAGTAGTATGAGCAGGTTTCTACAAATGGGATGTAACTCTACAAATATTGTACGGATTCAGACGATAAGAAATAGGGACAGATGTCTCATCATAATACTTAAGTTTCCTGACAGTTTCAGAACAATCGGACGAAAACCCTGGCCTCTATGCTGCCAAGGTAGTCGCGGTAGCTCAGTGAGCAAGGCGTGTGGCTCACTATCCTGGAGGTCAGGACTTTCCGTCATGATTCCCCCTCGTAAGTGGCACAGTACGGATGACCTGGCAATGCACAAAGCATAGTCGTTCGGACAGGACGAAAAACCGAGGTAAGCGCTTACGTAAAAGGACCTTTGACAGTTTAAATTGGATAGGGGATTAAAACCCATTTCATTAATTAATTTCTATCCTGCCAACGAGCATTATATGAGCATTATACAAGCAGCGTGGACGGGCTTTGATAAAAGGGGCATAACTCTACAAATATTAAATCGAATTCTAAGGAAAAAATATATACAATAACATCCGATAAAAGCTGCAGTCACTATTGCGCTGGTAAGTTAGGCAGAAAGGAAAACAGTGTTCCTCGTCATGTCATAAATCAAGCTCACATACTCTGCCCTTTCCCCATTTTCAGGAAGCTATTTGAGCCCATGTAATAAATCATTGTAGATTCAACTTTAAATTAAAATATGTACATTGGCATTAACCAGATATAATTCTTAAATTTTCAGTTTTAAAAATTAAATAATGTCTAATGATTATTATCATGTAGTAATATACATCAAACATCAGTAAACAAATACCAGGCGACGTCCTGTTAATTAATTTGCCACAAACTAGGTCATTTCGGGACTAAAATTTGGTTCAATTTTATTTCAATAAATCACTTTCGCTTTATTCACTTAAAATGTGGAAGGAGACCGGAAAACTCGGAAACAACCCACGAGGTTGGATAGGCGACCCTACTCCTTGTCACGTACAAACTTGGAATCGAAACCACGCCACTCGACGCACACGCGTCAAACCATTCACCCCAACCCCTTATCACCCACGGACTCACCTGTTTTAAAACAGAACAAAACTCTCTTACCCGAAATAAAACAACGCCGCTAACAGGTGTGCCTCTGTTGGTTTATACTTATCACTAGAAAAACAGTTCCAGAAATGTCAGAACTCGTTACCGGTAAAGTTGTCATGCTATACGGGTTATTTTAGTACTATGAAAGGTGCGCTGTTTAATATATTGAAGTGGTTAAACAAATAGGTGATAACCAGAACTGGGCTAAGTAGGTATTTTGCAAGATTCAACTTTCTTAGACTAACTCACTGACAATTCCTGCCACCATCGATTTCTGGAAGTAGGTTACTGGTGTCCAGTCATCTCGTTCAGAGATTAGTCAAATGGAATAAACAATATTGATGAAAACGGGTGCTCAAACGAAACAATTACCTAAAAATGGTAATTGCCTCGCCCTAATAGCCGACCTATCTTAACGTTTGATATAAATTAAACAACACTATTGGCGTTCCTAGGGAAGACATCAGGCGGGATAGAGACATCATTGACTTTCCTAGAGGGACGTGCAGCCGCCTCGGCTTAGAGGTCGGAATACGGACATCACGCTGGGATAGAGACAACATGCAGTGTTACTAGAGGGACATACCTTTAGTCGCCCCGGCTTAAGAGACCGAGGGAGATCACCGGAAAGACTTAGAAAGAAGAGCGTAACACCACAAAACACAAGCTAAGGGATAGGGAACTTATGTTTAGTTTATTTTTAATGTCAAAGGCGTGTGTGTGAGATATATAAACGTAGGTATACCAATAAAGTGTTCCAGAGTTAATTGATCATTGAGTAAAAGATAGGTTGCCAGGCAACAAAACATACGCCCACAGCAGCTAATTCGTCCGGGGGCGAGAAGGGTTGAAGCATATCTATTCTTTTGTAGCTAATTGGGGCAATTTCATACAGATCAGATTATAATTTTCGTCCAGAAGTAATTGACGGAAATTGCTAAATTTTCAATAGGTTTCTTCATTTCACTAATTCAAATAATGCATATAGAGTTCATACATATCGGATGATAATTTTCGTCATTCGAGCATTGACAAGATTCAACAATATGAAACAAGAGCCATAACTCTAGAAGTTATTATGGGAAATTGCTGAAATTCAAAAGGCTTCTTCGTTTCACTAATTTAAACGATCCATATAAACTTCATATAAATCAGATGATAATTTGTTCATTTGAGTGTTCACAAGATTCAACAAAGTTAAACAAGATTATAATTTTCGTCCAGAAGTAATTGACGGGAATTGCTAAATTTTCAATAGGTTTCTTCGTTTCACTAATTCAAATAATGCATATAGAGTTCATACATATCGGATGATAACTTTCGTCATTCATGGTTTCATCAATTTAAAAGACGCATATAGAGTTCATACAAATCGTATAACTTTCGTCAATCGAGCATTCACAAGATTCAAAAAGTGAACCAAGGGTTATAACTCTAGAGGCTTCTTCATTGCACCAATTCAAATGATGCAGATAAATTTCATACTGATTGGATGATAACTTTTGTCGTTAGACCGATCACAACATTCAACAAAGTGAAACAAGGGCCATAACTCCAGAAGAACGGAAATTACTGAAATTAAATAGGATTCTTCATCTCACTGATGTAAACAACATATAACAGTTTCAAAACAATCAGATGATAAATGTAGTCTGTAGAGTGTGCACAAGAAATTGTGGACGACGGACGTACATACGTACGAACGGACATACGTACGAACTGCTACTGAGCAGTAGTGAATAATCGCTTGTGTTGCTACGTCCGATGTAAACAACGCACGTGCTATCGAGCGGCAATACTCAAAAAACACCGAAAAACACCGGTAAACAACCGGAAAACACCGGAAAACTACCGGAAAACACCGTAAAAACACTAAATACCGGAAAACACACTAAATACAAGAAAACACCCTAAATAGGTAACCCAGAGCCTGGTCCTCTGTTTGCAGGTAGTTCGGGTTAGGGTTAGGTTTTTCCGGTGTTTTCCAGAGGACCAGGGGGGGGGGGGGGGGTTAGGGTTAGGTTTTTCCGGTGTTTTCCAGAGGACATGGCTCCGAGTTACTTATTTAGGGTGTTTTCCGGTAGTTAGTGTGTTTTCCGTTATTTAGTATGTTTTCCGGTATTTAGTGTTTTTCCGCTGTTTCCGGTATTCAGTATAACATGGTGTTTTTCGGTAGTTTTCCGGTGTTTTCCGGTATATAGTAGAGCCCCTAACGAGGCCGCATGATGTGATTTCACACGTAGACCTATAATAGACTTAAACTTAAAAGTCAGTCACCTTCTACAGAGTTAAAAGAAGGCGTTCACATTACCTCTGTGAAACAAATTACATGTATGAATATGAGAGTTGTCAATGACAGAGGGCAATGCCTTGGACGTTGTATGGATTGTCGGCGTATAAAAATGATGGACAAAATGAAAACAAATTTATATGAAACAAAATATAAGGTCCGAATATTTCATTGCAGTCTTTTTCGATCATCTTTTCGTGAGAAATATTAAGTCTCTAACTCAATTTCATCCACAGTCTTCGACATTGCAAATACGACTTATTGGTCAATTTAAATCAACACTGATGCTGTTATATCTCACCGTGAAAAGATGGGCTTCTGATATCATAAAGTAAGATCTTTGTAATGAAGCGACTCGATGAACGAGGCTAAACATATTCAACAGGAGAATACTATCGGTGTAGACTGGAATAACTAGACACCAAAAGACGGTGATTCAATTTGGACTCTTCGCGTATTTCACCGAACATAACTGATTAGAAATTAGAGTAAAACAGAAACTATTGAATGTGAATCAGTTTATTACATTCATATTACATTATTATTATGCGTTACGACCCATTTATGTCAATTTCTAGGTGCCAAAGAATAGAGATTTAGCTCCTATAGATTGATTTGGTCTGACGTCAGTA